GAGGAAAAGTTGTCAAAGAAGCCATTGGTCCCATCTATAGCAACACACAATCCCTTCAAATCACCAACAGCAATATTGACAAGGTCAACGACGCCATCGATCGCCTCCGCCAGCCTCTCGATGCAAAGAACCGAGAAGATGGCATCATTCGCGCAGGGTATGTGTCTTTCTACTCTATTTTGACATACAGCGTTGAATCTTTTTTACTGACCATTCTCCAGACCACAGAGCTCCGGCCTCACGCAGTACCTGTCAGCGATGAAACGTGTTGAAAAGGCGCTGGTCGACCTCAGTACAACAAACCTGCGATCAAATCAGAATGCGATCACCGACTTTAACTCCCTTTTAAACACCGGAAGCGCAAAACTTCAAGAACTGCTACGGGGAGAACTGAGCCAGCATGCCACTCCGGTTGAGCCCCTACACTATCTGACCAAAGGTACGCGTATCACGACCAAACGAGCTAGATTGAAACTAATGCGCGACATTACTAGATCTCCCCTTTCCATCCATACCCGAAGAAACTATCTCCCATATGACGCCCTTATGCTCGGCGGTCGGCTCCGCATCCATTCATGGATCTCAGCGCGGCAAGGGGGATAACCCCGCGTTGAAGGTGTATGCGGAGGTACGAGGACCGTACATCGCATCCAGCTTGCAGAATCTCGCCATTGCATCCCTCAATACCGTCAAACGGCGACCCACCGATGGCCCTTACAAGCAGGGTACCAACGGTATCGGTATCTACTCCAATGCGCTGGAGGCCTTTATAACTACTGAGCACGGTATTATTGTGCAGATGTTCACTGGAGATCAGCAAGGCCTGGCATTGCAGGCTACGTTCTTCCCGGCCATGGGCGAATACTCCAAAACACTGCGTGAGCTCAACCAGTATATAAAGGCCAATCTCATGACGGACTGCTTCTTGGCATTTGAGATCATCGAAATTGTGACTGCGATGTCCTATCGGATTGATTCCAAGGCCGCGGAACTGAAGAGCCTTTTGATGGAGGCTCTTCGGCCTGTGCGCGAGACTGCAAAGTCATCCCTCTACGAATTGCTCGAGGAAACGAAGCGCAAAGCTGCTACCGCACCACTCCCACCGGATGGTGGATCGGTGCCTCTTGTGGATGAAGTGATGAGCTCATTGGCCACACTAACAGGATACTCGGGTCCTTTAGCTTCTATCCTGACATCTTTGGGAGATGGAAACTGGCGTACCAAGTCCAATGCCGCCGGCTCGGCTCCTCTAGATGTAGGTCCAGACAGCGGAACACTTCTATCGCATTTTATTCTAGATATGATCGAGTCCTTGATGACCTCCCTGGAAGCTCGAGGACGGGCTTTCCATCGATCCAAGGCAGCGCTTGGTGTGTTCTTGTCCAACGTGTTCTGCGTGGTCGACCGGTCGATTCGACTGAGCCCAGAGCTGGCACGTTATTTGGGCACCCCCGACAGTATCGCCCGGATCGACACTTTCCGCAAGCGCGCGACGTCTACCTATCTCGATGCATGGAAGGAGACTTCTCAGTACCTTCTTGATGTGCAGTATACCTCCCGTGGCGCTCAGCGCAATTCTGGCGGCAACGTGGATTCGAGTGCCATCGTCAAGTCGCTGTCGTCCAAGGATAAGGATGCGATCAAGGACAAGTTCAAAGCATTCAACGCAAGCTTCGATGATATGGTGTCTCGGCACAAAACCCTTCACATGGAGCGCGAAGTGCGCACTGTGCTGACTCGTGAGCTGCAAACCGTTCTCGAGCCCTTGTATGCGCGCTTTTACGATCGATATGTGGAGATCGATAAAGGCCGCGGCAAATACATTAAGTACGACAAGGCAAGCCTATCGGTACAGCTGGCGCAGTTGGCTTGATTTCCCTGAGCGAAGATTGAAGCCACGAAGGATTTATACGAGCTAATATCATAATAATGTATGCCACCACTATAGATTATCGCTCGCCAGTAAGACATGTACATAATGTATTGTGTCATGTGACATGTAGATCATCTCCGATAACGTGACTGATAAGCCCCGCTAAAATCGAAGTGCAGCAAAAATTCGTTGCTCACACATTGCCTTGTCACTGTCTTATCCTCCGTCCCGTTGCTCAATTCTTCATTTGAGCGTCTCAGACAACCACCGACACAATGTCCGGAAGCAACGATGTCTACCAGACCCCCCTCAACTCGCGCTATGCGAGTAAGTCGGTCCCGACTGCCCCTCCTATAGAGGGGCAACCCCGGAAATTGTATAGATCAGAATTAACCATATTCAATTAATTAGGCAATGAGATGAAGTACCTTTTCTCCCCCCGGAAGCGCTTCTCCACATGGAGACAGCTTTGGACCTGGCTCGCGGAGGCTCAAAAAGGTACGGGAGAGTTGAGGCTCAACCGAGATCGGAGGTAGTTGAAGCAAGACACCCAAATTGACTGAATCATGGCTACAGAGCTTGGACTTCCTATCACCGCCGAGGCCATCGAGCAGATGAAGGCCCACGAGGTTATCCAGGATGACGAGTTCGCCGTTGCCGCCGAGGAGGAGAAGCGCCGCAGACACGATGTCATGGCCCACGTCCACGCCTTTGGCCTGGTTGCCCCCGCCGCCGCCGGTATCATCCACTGGGGTGCCACCTCGTGCTACTGTACCGACAACGCCGATCTGATCCTGCTCCGCGACGGTCTCGACATCCTTATCCCCAAGCTGGCTGTTGTTGTCGACAAGCTGTCCCAGTTCGCTCAGCAGTACAAGGACCTCCCTTGTCTGGGCTTCACTCACGGTCAGCCCGCCCAGCTGGTGACCGTTGGCAAGCGTGCTTGTCTCTGGATCCAGGATCTCCTGATGGATCTGCGCAACCTCGAGCGTGCCCGTGATGACCTGCGCTTCCGTGGTGTCAAGGGTACCACCGGTACTCAAGCGTCTTTCCTGCAGATCTTCAACGGTGACCACGCCAAGGTCGAGAGCCTGGACGAGCTTGTTACTGAGAAGGCTGGCTTCAGCTCCGCTTTCATCATCTCCAGTCAGACATACTCGCGTAAGATCGACGTTGATGTCGGCAACGCTCTTGGTTCTTTCGGTGCTACCTGCGAGCGCATTGGCATTGACATCCGTCACCTTGCCATGCTCAAGGAGGTTGAGGAACCTTTTGAGAAGGACCAGATTGGCAGCAGTGCCATGGTGAGTTTGCTTGTCTGTTGTATTAATTGGGACTTTTTGGCTAATAATCCATAGGCCTACAAGCGCAACCCCATGCGCTCGGAGCGTCTGTGCTCCCTCGGACGTCACCTGCAGAACCTCCCCAAGGACGGTTTGGACACCTACTCCGCTCAGTGGTTCGAGCGCTCTCTCGTAAGTGTACCCCGGGATTCATTTGGAATCTTTTATTAACTTGTACTAGGATGACAGTGCCATCCGCCGTATCAGCATCCCGGAGCTGTACCTGACTGCTGACGCCTGTCTCATCCTCCTGAGTGAGTTTTCAGGATCATAAAAGCTCAGAGTATAGCTAACAAGTACTAGACAACGTCTCCTCCGGCTTTGTTGTCTACCCCGAGGTCATCAAGCGCCGCGTCAACGACGAGCTTCCCTTCATGGCCACGTGAGTCTACATCCAACCAATCTAATGGATATCGCTAACAGCATATCTCAGTGAGAACATCATCATGGCCTGTGTCGCCAAGGGTCTCTCCCGCCAGGACGCCCACGAGGAGATCCGTAAGTTTCTGTCTCATATCTTCCCATCCGAACCAGAAATCTAATGTACCTAGGTGTCCTCTCCCACCAAGCTGCCGACAACGTCAAGAAGCAGGGTAAGGACAACGACCTGATCGAGCGCATCCGCCGCACCGCCTTCTTCAACCCCATCATCCCGCAGCTGGACTCCCTTCTCGATGCCAGCACCTTCGTTGGCCGCGCCCCTCAGCAGGTCGAGAAGTTCACCAGCACCGAGGTGGCAGCCGCCATCAAGCCCTACGCCAGCACCATTGCCAAGGGTGAGACCTCTGCCCTGTACGTTTAAGCTACCTTAGTACAGTCGTATTCTGTGTATCTGTTGGAATGTGAAAAGTTATATAAAAAGACGGAGATGGGAAGATATGAGAGGTCCCATAAACGAGAAGAGAAGGGAGTCACATGTGTATACAAATTGAAATGCAAGGCATTATGTTCCACTTGTGGATATCTCTTGAGGGAAATTTCCCACCCCACTTCCCTGCTTCCCCGATGCCCCGCGCAAATCTTCGAGGGGTTTAGATAGGAGGGGTCAATTTGGAAGTGTGTCATCGACACTTAATCGTGATAAGACAAGAACAAGCTTACTAGAGAAAAAAAAGATATAGGATATTCAAAGCTTTTGCTGTATAAAAAGAAAACTGACAATTGAACCGCCCAAACATGAAAAAGAGAGAAGATAGAAATGCTCAGGTTATCAACCTGCATGGTAATCATAACTATATGCAATAGAACGCTGTAGACATGCAATCATAACAAATAAAACGAATGAAAAAATGAAAAAAAGAGAAAGCTGTCTGGGTCAATTGAGTGTCGAACAGCAAATATAGTCCGTAGAGAGGTCAAGACCATTGAAAAAGGAAGATCTGACAAAGTGAAATCCACCAGCACATCATTGACAGTGGCATAATACCCACCCTGAACTGTCCGACAGCGTCATTGCCAATAATTCGGAGTATCTCCGGAGCCACCAAGCATAATCCCAAACGGCAGTTGCAACAAATCAAGAACAAATCAAGCCAGCCGTGTGGATGTCCTCCTCCGCGCAATCTCTCAAGGGGCCAAAAAAAAAAACAACGGCGTGTTCCTCCGAAGCGCAAATGCATCCCTGCCCAAGACCACTCTACCCTCTCAGACCCAAATATCCACAGAACCAAAAAGAAAAGGCCAACTTCGGCGCGTAAAAGTCCGCAATGGGCAAAACCCCCCACTCTCGGGGATAGGGAACATCCAATCCAAAACACAATCCTTTGCCCCCACACACGGCGCCTTTAATTTTGTTCGGGTTGAGCAGGGGGGGTTGATTCGGATTCGGAGGGCAAGAAGAGGTCGCGGACTAGCCAGACGATGTAGAGGACGGCCAGTACCCAGAGGGTGGCCATGAGTTTGTATGTGGAGGAGCGCCATGTGACGCGACGGATGAGACGACGGCCATCGGGACCTTCGATAGGACCTCGACGAGGGGGTTGGCCGCTTGATTGACCGTTATATTGACCGTTATATTGACCGTTGTATTGATCGTTGGATTGACCGTTGGACTGCATAAAGGGGTAGGCGAGGGCCTCATTCATTTCGCTGTGGGATATTCGACGACGAGACATTTGTGTGGACTGTAGAATCCCGGAGGGTATATATGTTTGCTTTCGGAGGACGGATGGTTTTTTTTTTTCTTCGCTATGTTATATGTCGGGAGAGAGGATTAAAATATAAGATGTCACGGGTGCACAGGTCAAGGAATTGAAGAGATGAAGTTTTGAGGTTTTGACCGGTTTTTAGGGCACAATTGATTGTTTTTTTTTTTTTTTTTTTTTTTTCTTTTTTTTTTCTTCAGGGAGATTGGTTTATTTTGCCAACGCACACAAAAAAGGAGGGGCCGAAGAATAGCCAGTCAGAGATAATAATTGCTAGACAACAGCAAGAGCTCGAAAGGGGAATCTTGAGTCTCCAGAAAGCGGATCTGTTGGACGGGTGGATGGGTAGCGGTGGGAACGTGGCCCGTTGCATCATCTTATGGCTTTTTCTCTCTCTTTTCTTTCTTCTCTATGGGATATAAAGGATATAGGATATAAGGATATAGGATCTTCAAATGAAGATTCCTCCGAGGAATTGTTCAATTAAGGTGAACAAAGAGTGCTTGCGCCAGGAAATGCGAGATAGCCGCGGTGCTCGACAAGTATCATTTTCTTTAGCGATGGCTATTGAAAGGCTAAAGAGGGGGGTGATGGGGGGGAATTGACAAAAGTACCGAAATGTTAGATTATGCACGGTCCTATCGACCTGAGTCATATGGTGCACAGTTATATACTCTGTAGTTCTATCTGATCTACAAGGTACAAGGTACGTATGTATATAGTCTATAGTTATATATATATACATATATATCTATATATAAAACAGATGTAATTCGACAAGGAAACCCAGTATTGTTATATAGACATTATACAGTGTATAATACTAAGCTATATCAATTAACTAACTATAGATTCTAGTACACTAGTTAGTTATGTTTTATATATTAGCCTAAACCATACCATTGTTCTCATTCTGCAGGTTTCTTCCAAGGTCGCGTGACGATGACTCATCGGTTCCAAGGTCGATACCTACATATGTATATGTACGGAGTATACACCTATTCAACCTTTGTTAATCAAGGGGGAGTTCCGGTCACCCATGGCTAAGGTTGTAGGTCAGCTGAACTCGAAACTAAGACGGGCCGAGTAACTATGGTAGTTTCACATGTATATCCCCAACATTCCATTTGATATCTCGCATGTGAGTCATGCCTCAGGCTTGTGATGGCCTGAGGCCATATGATTATGTCATAGGCCAACTTTGCATACGGGTGAACGGAGTTGTAGATTTAGTACTTCGTACCTTTGGGATTACTATAACACTTCTCTTTGTTTAGTTATATATTTTGTTTAAAAAAGAAGGAAAGAAAGTCTATAAGCAATAACTCTGTACCTTATAACTCTGTAAATCATAACTCTGTAGATCATACGTTGCTTATTTTCCAGTCGTGTGATCTTCTAAGGTTCCTCCGGTCCCCGGAGAGCGCAAGCGGAGAAAACCCGGGGACCGCTTGACCTCGGCAGTGAAAACGTTCCGATGACTCGCAACGCTCACACTTCCTCTTCCACACTTCTCCCTAGATAAAACACTCTCTAGAAAACACATCTTTAGGCCATTCGGCCAATATACACCCACCATGTGGAAGCCTTCAGAAAGGCTGATGGACACCATCAGACACTATGCCAGCTTCCCCGCAACCGGTGTCTCGCTGAGGCAGATGGTCCAATTTGGAGACCGTCCCTCAACAGGTATGAACTCGAACCGATCTGGCACTGTCGCTAGTCAAAATCTAAACTCTCATCTAGGTACCCTATTCCGCGCCTCTCAATTTCTCTCTGAGGAGCTCCCGATCCGTCTCGCACATCGCGTGCAGGATCTGGGTGAGCTGCCAGACGGACTCAGTGAGATGCCATCGATCAAAAAAGTTCAGGACTGGTATGCGCAGTCATTTGAGGTATGTGGCTCACCCATTGGCAATCGATCCCGGTTTCATATGCTGACCTGAATACCAGGAAATCATTGCTCTTCCTCGCCCCACTCTGACTCAAGAAGTGAAAGCACGCCTATTGCGACCCGGCCGGATAAACGGCGGCCCTTCAAAAATCCTCTCCGAAACAACTCAAAATCCCAGCGTGCGCGAAGGACAGTACCGGTCATCTGTGACCGCAGCCAATGGGAACGGCGTTTCAAAAGCGCACGCCGCGGCAGGCCGACGGTACTTTTTCCCCGCGGACGACCGCGGAGACTGGCCTCCGGAACTCAACGACTACAACCAACGATTTGCCAAGACCCTCCAACAGATCAAGCGACGCCATGACGGGGTCGTGACCACCGTCGCGCAAGGTATCCTGGAATGGAAACGTGCGCGACAGCGCATGCAGATCGACTCTACGATTCAGTCCTTCCTCGACCGGTTTTACATGTCAAGGATTGGTATACGAATGCTCATTGGCCAACACATCGCACTCACGGAACAAACGCACGTCAAACACCCCAACTATGTCGGAATAATTTGTACCAAGACCAATGTTCGCGACATCGCGCTCGAGGCCATCGAAAACGCCCGCTTCGTCTGCGAGGATTACTACGGTCTTTTCGAGTCGCCCAAGGTGCAGCTGGTCTGCAAGGAGGACTTGAACTTCATGTATGTTCCCGGGCACCTATCGCATATGCTCTTCGAGACCCTCAAGAACTCGCTTCGGGCGGTCGTCGAACAACATGGCGCCGATAAGGATGAATTCCCCGTGACTAAGGTCATAGTTGCCGAGGGCAAAGAGGATATCACAATCAAGATCTCCGACGAGGGCGGTGGTATCCCCCGGTCATCGATCCCTCTCGTATGGACCTACATGTACACCACCGTGGAGCAAACGCCCAACCTGGACCCTGATTTCGACAAGAACGACTTCAAAGCGCCAATGGCTGGATTTGGATATGGCCTACCAATAAGCCGACTGTACGCACGGTACTTTGGCGGCGATTTGAAGTTGATCAGTATGGAGGGGTATGTTTAATTCTCTGCTTCTTACTCTCTTTCATAAAACTCTTGCTAACTGATCTCCAAAGCTACGGTACCGACGTCTACCTCCATCTCAACCGCCTCTCTTCAAGCTCCGAGCCCCTGCAATGACAATCACCTGTCATGAGAGACGGTCGGGTCCGGATCACCACTTCGCACCGCCTGCACCACCCAATTTACAATGACCCGGAATACAAACCCACGCCGTCTCGAGGACTGACACTGATGAATGCTCAGGCCCACTACGCCCGCATGCTCAGCCGAGAGGTTTCGGAGCGTAAGCAAGTAGGAGACATGGAGAGTCTGTTTCACTCGGAGAAGCGGAGAAGAGAGGAGGAACAGATGTAAGACGTGCCTCACTTGGCTTAGCTATGACTTTGGTCTTGGCTACTATCAGTCTTCTGATTGGTTCCTCTATTCTCTCGTCTTGTTTAATCCGTTCCTCCGATTTGGATGTTTGGATGATGCAACTGTGATCAGCTGCTCCACCAAGAATGCGAAGACAAGTTCGCAAGTTGGACTATAGTGCCACCGCGTCGCCTGAGACTCTCGGGTAATATCCCAGAGATGAAAAGAGGAAGAGAACACACAAAAAAAAAAAAAAAAACACAACAACCAGTGAAGCTATTCTGTTTTCTGGATCCTCTCGATGATACCCCTTTTCTCTTTCTTTTGTTCTCTTCCTCTTCCTCTCTGGGCTAGTGGTTCTGTTGTTGATTTGGCTTCTCTGTATAGTACGTTCCTTTTAATCCGTTTTAGCGAATCCAACCATTATATCATATCTGTGTTTAGTAGTAAGTAGCCTGTAGTCAAGAACTATTTCGATTTGCCTTTAAAGACGAACCATGCAAGAACCAGCACGCTAAAAGAAAAGCTTGCATCAATTCATAACTCATAGATCCCCATCCTCATCATCCCCCTGACCCTGCCTCCGACCCCAGACCCCTCCCAACCAACGAAGCCCCTCCTCCTGCTCCATCCCCAACACTCCCAGAAACTCTCGGCGAATTCGCACCAGAAGAAGACCCCGAAACCTCATGGGAGCGCGAACCACCACCCCTAGCCTTCTTCGCATCCATCGCCCTCAAATGCGCCGGCTTATGCCAATTATGGTCATTAATATTCCCAATAACTTCCCGATACCGACCACGAATAAGCGACCCTTCCCCGCCCTTCCCGTCAGGCGCGATGTAGAACCGCGGGTCGTAGAGTTCTTCTGCTTTGTCTGGGTCGTTGGGGGCGAGATATTTTGCCAAGAAGCGGCGGCGGGTTTGGGGGATTGTCTTTTGTGTGTGTTAGTTGCGTTTAATTGTATTTACAATTATGGCGTTTGGCAATAGATTCAAGGGAAACGCATGGTAAGTCAGGTCAGGGTATGGTGTCAACGTACTTCTCGAGAGGCGAGCGCATATGTAACTAGCAGCTCACTGTCCATGAGGACGGCTAGTGCGGCGTGTTTTTCGTCGCGGAGATGTGAGCGTGTGCGGGCATCTTTTTCGAAGGCCGTTTGGGGCTCTGTTATGCTGTTTGGGCTGGCGCGGTTGTATGATGTCGTGAGGGGGTTTTGGGCGCGGGCGTTGAATCTTCCTTTTTTGGGGGGGGGGGGTTAGTTTTGTAGACTTGTGGTTGTTGAGGTAGAATTTGTGCCGTGTATTGGTGTAATGCACAGAAGCAAGGATTCACGCGGTTCAGGTGAGATAGAGATGGATGGTGGATAGTTCGTAGTTGGACTTGAGAACAAGGGGAGAGGGACACATACCTGTGTCTGATCCATTTGACGTGTTTAAGCCCCAAATTTCATTATCTGATTGAGAGCGGGGCATTGGTATGCCATCCAAGTTTGGAAGTCCGCCATTTTCACTGGTGTCGAACATTGGTATACCGTCGGCACGGTCCAGGTCGTCGAGTTGCATGCCGCCATCAGATTCGGATTCAGATTCTGTGTCTGAGATGATGTGTACGGGTTGGTTGGACATTTTGAAGGGAGTGAGATAGGATATAACTCAGTGGCAAGTGAAAAGCAGACCGCGACGGGGTCTTTGAGTTGATGTGTGGTGGTGCGGAGTCAGAGATTGACGAGGTGCAACCAATGACTAGTGAAAATGAAAGAAATAGAAGGTCTCTGCGGTAGGCTCTAGTTCATGTCTGTGACTAACAGAGAATTTCATGTATATCTTATTGTATGACCCAAGGATTGATCTATAGCTAGTGTCAGTGGATGGGAAACAGACATTGGTGGTAAGTGAATGAGAGACTGGTCATCTCCCCGAGAGGGATTGACAGGGAAGGATTTTCACCTCAATAAGGTGTTTCAAACATACGTGGTCACAGCACTTCAGATAGAAGTCGAGATATAGACGATTCAGCTTGTTGATGAGATAACCTTGTGATAACCTGTGCCCTCTTGAGGTGGGTCCCCGTACTATAGCTAGATTGAGTAGGCGGTGAGGAGGCATAATGGCAATTTGGGGCAAACTGCTGGCGTTGAACCCCCTAATTGGGCTTAGTGAATATCAAGTATACTGCGATCTGAAGTTAGTCCTGAATATTGTTCAAGATACTAATCCACTAATCCTTTTAGAAGGTTATCATTGAGACAGATATAATACGAGTTTTACAAGAAAGAAACGAAAGGAACCAAACGGTTATATTGAATCAATGATGAATGACGAGAATCAATATAGTGTGATGCCAAAAACCCAACGCCATAAAACAATGCCGCTAAAACGACCAGCGGTTTAGGAGATCAAGTGAAAAAGAGAAAGTAATAGTCTAATTAGCTGGACAGTCATGCATGTAAGAATTTTTAGGCCAATGGTACCCAGCCTCGTCCCTGAGATTCAATGTTAGTAAAAGCGCAAACAAGACAAAACTAGCGTGATAAACATACCAAGTCGTAAAGTTCGCATTATCGTATGCCTTGCGATGTTTCTCAATATACTTAGTTGTCTCATAACCTGGCGGGTCACAAGTAACGCTCTCATCATCAGGGTCCTGATAGATGCGGACGTAGTCGAAGCGCAGGATAGCAGGCATGAAATCAATGATGCTCTTATTCTGCGGCGCGAAGTTATCCGCCATACCCATATTCATGATCAGTGCCATAGGCTCAAGTGGGATCGTGCGTTGCCCGACATTGCCGTTAGGTCCGATGGCGCGAGCGTCCAGTGTCCAGGTCTTCTCGGCGCCGACGAACCACGTCACCTCGCCTTGTGCACCTGGTGTGTACTCGAAGGAGTAGGTTTGGAATTCGGTGCCGTTGAACCAGCGGTGGTTTAGGTTGGTTAGGCTAGACATGGCTTGTTGGTAGACACCGCCTCGGTAGGAGTTAATTTTGGTGACGCGTGGGTCGTAAACGGCGGCGAAGTCTGGTGTTTTTAATTTTTGTTAGTGGATTCAGAGTGGAAACATTGAAAGATGCTCACCATAGTCAGGCAGGTACCACAAATCAAATGGCGCAGTCTGCAGACTCTGCGACGCACTACCGACGTAGGGACCGCTGTCACCATACAGTGGAGAAGTGCTACCTTCAATGACATCAATTTCAGGAGCACTGCGTGCAGTACCAGGAGTCGGGTGATCAGAGCCAGGGCAGGCACACCCAGGTAACCGCATACCAGGCAGCCAGTTGATACCATCGAGAGAACTTTGGTTCGGGGTGATGCCTGCATCGCAGCCATCATGATAGCTGTATGGCCACATGCCATCGGTGGTAGCAGCATAGCCAGGACGAGCCAGGTTGCCCATTGCCCAGAATCCAGGCCAGAAACCTTCGATATGTCCATCACCCGGAAGGGACATGCTGGCTTCGAGGCGGCCACCCTTGAAGCAGAGCTTGTTCCAGCTCTGTACCATACCAGATCGGTATTCTAGGTCGTGATTTGCGAAGTGGTCAAATCGAAGCTGGAGGGTGCCATCTGCCGTGGTTACTGCGTCGGGGTCATACCACTAGGCAGTGTCAGCATTTGAACGGTAATTTTTGGACACAGTAATCTGGACTAACCTCTTTGTCCTGTGTTACTCCGTACCATATATCGACTGCTTGGAAGAACGGGTCATCGTCCTCGAAGAACGTTCGACCGGGCATGTTAAACTCATCGGAGAACTGAAATGGAACGTCAGCCACTTGTCGTTGTTAGTGACATATCAAACAACTCACCACTAGCTTCATCTCCTTTCCGTTGATGTTCTTCTTGGTGTGTGCCTCTTTCGGTGTGTCTGGGTCAATCAAGCCCGTTCGCAGATTTTCCAACAGTGGCCGTTCCCCAACATCCAAACACAGCGTGTCTGCAGGGTGGCATACATTGTCAGAATGTTTTCCGAGGCCCACCAACCAAGTTCTGCGATTGCTGGTTAGCCAAGGGGAGAGATGATTAAACAAGCCAACAACATCTTACATGAGTGGGTAACCAATGAAAAGCACCAGAAGACCTATTGTGAAAACTGCCAGTCCACCGACATTCAGCACACCCCGTCGATTCCAGATATCACAATCTCGATCCTTGTCCGCCGGGTCCGGGTTATGCATGTAGTCATCCTTCTCCACATCCTCAGGAAACAACAACAACCCGTCCGTAGGCATGATATTGAACTTCCCCGACACAGTCTGTGTGTTGACATCATACTCCTCACTACCAGCGTGCGAAGGCGCCCTTGAGTCATGGAACGGATCCAAGGGGAAGGTGCTCTCACGACTGATGGAGCTGATACTCGAGCGAGCCGCAGACCACCTGTCCGGAGACCGGGGCCGATAAGAATCACTCACACCATGTCCCTGTGTAGGCCGCAACTTCGGCGGCAACAGGAATTCCGAGGACTCAGGGACATTTGACGCGCCGTATGGTGAAATTGCCATCCCTTGAGCGCCTACCGCCGTGGGCGTTTCGGGGCCCTGTGGTGTCAAGGGCCGGGGAAATGTCCGCGATGTGAGAGGTGCGTAGCCCTCATTTGTCTGAAGGAAAGGATCTTGCCTCCCTGAGTTGAGTCGGATGTGAGGCGTCGTCGCCTTCCCTTCTGAGCCATCAGATCCGTGGTCCGACATTTTATTGTTGATTTTTTCAAGTTCTGGACAATTCCAACACGCTCGTTTGCTCTGCACTGGTAGAACCTTTCTGTCTACCTTCGATTGCCGCCGCGAGAATAGCCCTTTTGCACCAGTCGTTGGTGGAATCCGTGGGTCAGGTTGGTAAGATGATGTGGTGTTCCGCTTCTTCTTCTTCTTCTTCTTCTTCTTCTTTCTTGCGATTCTTCACGTTGTAGTTTCGCTATATATCTTAACGGTAAAGACTGAAGACCTAGATAGGTATACTGCACAGTTGATGAGTGCGATGTTTTAGCGAAAGAACGAACACGGCAGGTCGGATAGCATCGAAGGTCCCTCGGCGACACGATAAAAGAGACAAACGGAGTCTAAACGGAGAAATAAAGCCAAAAACACAGAAGAAAAGAAGAGCCTAGATGGTCCGAGGGGTCTTGTTTGGGTTCACGAGGAGACAGGAATGACAGATCCAAGGGGGCAACGAGTGGTATGTCTATGCTCTCTCTCCTCGAGTCTTTGTGATCGACTGTGGACGATAGTAGAATACAGTTCAAGACTCGGTTCCATAACTCAAATCCATATTGTGTATACAATCGACTTTCTCGTTCAATTAATTGAAGTAGACTGGTGATGTTTGAAGCTCTACCCTACCTCCCATGTCCTGGGTAGGGCTATTCTAGGGTGCGGCATTCCCGTTGCTTCCCAGGGCCCGAGGAATGGCCCGCCCTGAATGCTGGCCGGAATTCGGGGATCGACATGGCGACGAATCTGGAGAGATCCAGATGTAGTAATAATAGCAGTTCAAGGTTGCTCTGTATAGATGGGGAGTTGTTAAAGCGAAGGGCGAATCAGCCGGATGAGAGACATGGCCCGAGACCCCGGTCTACCAGCGCAACATGAGAGATGCATCTATTCTTTACTTTCTCTAAAACATGTAGCTACGAGAATAATTACCAGCGCTGTTTCCTTCAAAGTTAAATGACTAACTCAACCTGTTTTGCACAGCCATTGACACGCGTCCTGCCAAACTCCAACCCATCGGCCTTGAAGAATGCAACAAATCCCGAACAAAAAGCTGTCAAGACCACCTTACACCGAAGGCAAGGTAGGTTGGAACCTCTGATTATCCATTCCATCCCAATATTATCAATGTCAAAGAACAAGGCAGCGAGAAACCCATACCGATGTATCTCGATGCTTTCTCATAAAATGTCGTATTTCGGTGGAATAAACATCTACATATCAAATAACAGAATACAAATTATACCCTAAACTAATCTCCCAAGGCTTTTCCATTATAGACACGAACAGCCGGGCTATCTACGACTCAACAGCCTTAGCGCGCAAACCAACAAGACGACTCTCAGGCGCATGTAGTGCCAGAACCCAGTACTCGATCTTGGTGCTAGTTTGCTCAACACGGTAGACCTTCAGCTCAGCAGCCGACTGGTCAGCACCAGAATCTTTCTCGACAGCCGCGGCCCGGACAGCATCCAGGGCGGCGGAGTATTGATTCTTCGGGTCGAAGGAGGAGGGGGATAGAATGGAGATGGACTGCGACAGGTCGGTATCTGGGGAGATCAGGGAGGAGAGCTGGTCTGCAGTGAGGGAGGTGGGGATTAGCAGGGCGGATCAAGGATATTTATAGGGGTTTTTCAAGGGAGCAAGTCCATGAAGGAGGATGCGGAACTAGGAAATGGAAATGGAACCAGAACAGGATCGAGACATACCAGCACTAGGCCACGCGCCCTTGGCAGCACCATCCCACTTCAATGCCACAGGCTCGAAGGGCTCGTCTGTATCGGAGATGTAGTATGCGTCGACGGACTGCAGCGGCTTTGGGACTGACAGGGAGCTGTGCACAGTTTCGGTTTTGACGGTGCCGCCCCCTTGCTGCGGGGCGCTGCCGCTCACATCTGCGTTGGCTTTGTCCAAGAAGGACATGTAGGCGTCGTCGGAGGACATGATTTGTGTTGAGCTTGAGAAAAGAGACTTGGTGGGGAGGGAAGAGCTAGTTTGTGGTTGCGGTCTTGAGGTAGCGGGGAAGAAGCGGTTTTGGTGCTCTGTGTTTGGAATGTGTGTTCTTGGCCTCGTTTGGTGATATAGATAGTGTAAGATACGGTACTGGGGTTGAGGATATCTGATTTGGAAGGTTGATCGTAAAGTGTAGGATGAGATTGGCAAAGCCCGTTTTCTTGCTGAAGCTGGCAGGGAAAAGTGTGGGATGACGCAATGGACCTTGGACTGGCGCATTTTGTTCACCACCGGCCTGTCAGGCTGGAATATCGTATATTTGAACGGATGAAAAGATCGAAAGAGTTTAGATATTGTAACCAGATATATGAAGAAACTAGGAAGAATTAGGGAAGGGAAAAAAGGCAGCTCAACATTTCGGGTGCGTAGGTGCATATATATACAAGACACCCGAACCAGATATATATATATATATATTGAAGTGCTTGGGTGATCCAAGAAACGATTTAAAAAATTGATATGTATTGTTGTAGAAAATTATCCCAGATACACCCTGAGATAAATTTATAAATTTACAGACAATTGTACAGCTACATGCAAATCGTGAAGGATATTCGCTTTTTTATTGAATATGAAACGTTGCACTACCACCAATAGGCTTAAACATCTTAAACAGTCTCCACAAGGTCCTTCTTGAGGGTACCCATGAAGGCCTTCTTCTCCTCGAAGGTCTGGAAAGCACCGTGACCGAACTTGGAGGAGGTATCGATCCACTTGAGCTCGACCTTCTCGGTGGCCCTACGGGAAGTCTGGGGGTACAGAGTCTTGCGCAGAGTCATAACACGCTTCTTGACACCGGGAACGGAGCCCTTGACCATGACGAAGTCGTTCTTGACCTCACCGTAGTGGACGAAACCACCCATGCTAGACAAATGTTAGAATTAAGAAACAAACACAGGGAGAGAATATCATGTGGGAACATACGGGGTGATCTGCTTCTTGGAGATGTCGAACTCGGTGGAGGCGTTACCCTCATCGGTACCCTTTCCAATGCGGAAGATCTTGTGGTTGCAAGAGGTACGGTGGTGGTATCCGTCCTGACCGGCACGGGCAACAGTCCACTGGACGTGGTTAGGGTGCCAAGCACCAATACAGGCGACCTTACGCAGACCCTTGTGAGTCTTGCGGGGCAGCTTGGTGGTACCCCAACGGGAGGTGACACCGGAGAAACCGTGACCCTTGGTGACGGCGATGACATCAATCATCTCGTCCTTCTCGAAGATGGAATCGATATCGATGGTCTTCTCGAAGAGGTTGCGGGCGAAGTCGACCTTGTCGGAGACAGAACCACCGTTGACCTGGATCTCCATAAGGTGGGCCTTCTTCTGCTTGATGGGAGTCTGGCGGATCTGGGTGTGGGCGAGCACACGGACGACAGTGCAGTACTTCTGGATGCGCTCAAGCTCGCGGGTGATGGAGGCACCGGAGCTCTCGGCGTGGGACTTGGCGTACTTGGTGAAGGCCTTCTTCTTGGACTTGTACCAGTTCTTGTAGAAGCGACGCTTGACCTCATCGCTCAGGTGCTCAGCCCAGACGGTGGTGAGGGAGCGGAGACCACGGGGAGTCTCGATGTAACCGACGACACCGACGGCAACGAGCTAGAAAGAAGAAAAAAATCCTTGTTAGGTCCCGGTCGCTTTTTTCCTGGTCGTTCACTTTCGCACACAACGGGGGAAAAACGTACAGGAGGGGTCTCGATGACGGTGACGGCCTCGACAATCTCCTTCTTGTGCATCTTGGCACCAGGACGGTCAAGGTCACGGACGATGGTGGTCATACCGGCCTTGTAGCCCATGGAGGCAGTAAGGTGGACGGGCTTCTTGGCATCATCCTTGGGGAAGCTGTCGCAAAAAAAGTCTCAGCGCACAAATTCACAAATCACAAACTCATTCAGAAAGTACTGACCTCTTAACCTTACCACGGTGACGGGCAGCGCGCTTGCGCGGGAGGTAGGCAAGGGAGCCTGGAGATATAATCAGTATACTGTACACACACAGAGGCCGTATCTCGAAATTTCGATATCGAGGAAAAAGGTAATCACGAACCGTGACGAGGCGCTTCGAACTTCCGGTGACTCCTGAATAGCGAAAGCAGGTCAGCAATTGTATTCAATGGCGATTGTATATAAATCTTCAATCGGGATAGACTCACATCTTGACCCTGTTATCGTTAGTCGTCGAGGTGGTGGGAGGACGATCTGGAAATGTTCAAGTTGATTTTGCACGCTTGGTGTGTGGGCTAACCTAAGCGAGACGCTTGGCGGTCAAGAGCCTGAGGCACCCCACAATAACCCAAATTAGCTAATCCAGCCCTGGTCCTGTCACGTGCTATTGAGATTTTCCGGGCCCTGAGACGATTTTTATGGGTCTTGCTGCTGCCAAGGCAAACGGCCAGCAATATGGTTTTAGGACATCCACATTGTGGGCTCGAATGAAATGTACTTTGTAGACCGAAATACAGTACGGAATATGGAGTTCTACAGTAATACATATGTACACCTTAATGAGAAAAGAAAGGAGATGTAATAAAATTTACTCTACCAAATTCCAGAGTATCAAACAAATGATTTGCTTCAAGGATGCCTAATGCACCATAAAAATTCACAGTGAAAGGAGACTAAGAAATCATAAAAAAGAGAACGAACAGACATGACGAATTTTCAGCGCACGCGCTTGGAAACTTGGTATGTCATCGTAACTCACACATTCATACCGTACATCACACACACTGAAAGATAGGAAGGACAGGGAGGAGCAAGGAAGTGAGAGATTTGGGGCTTTGCCAGGTTTAACCAGACCACGGTCGGAAGAGGAAAGACTTTTTATGCCGTTGGCTCAACCTTGGATGGAGTACTGGCACGAGCATTTCCGGCGCCATTGGCTGGGTTGCCAGCAGCGCTGCCGTTGGGGCTGCCCTTGGAAGCAGCAGCAGCCTTCTTTTCTTCCTCAACTTCGTCATCGTAGTCTTCATCGACATCCATTTTGCGCGCAGGGGGCTCGTGCGTAGGAGGAGCCTCGGGGCGAGGAGGTTCTTCCTTGACCGGGGTGTTGGTGGAAGGAGGCCCAGAGGGGGGAGCGTTGGATGCTGGTGCACTGCCCTCGGCTATCGGGGGAAGACTGGGGCCAGCAGAAGGGCGGGGAGGCATGTCTTGGATCGAAGGCAGAGTAGGAGGGTGGTGAGCAGCCTCTGAGGGGTGATAGTTCTCATTGGCACGACGGGCGTCCTCGCGGCGAGCCTCTGAGGAGCTACGTCGTTGCATCTCACCAGGAGAAGGCAAGCGAGCGGGTGGGCTCGGGCGGCGGTTGTTCTGGTCATCCAGACGAGCGCGGCTCTCTTCATTTGCATGCTTCTTGACTGGACCAGCATCAGCCTCCCATTCGCGGCCGCGCTTCATTGCAGATGTGGGGCGATCTTCGCGATCACGAGCGGCAGCTTCAGCAGCAGTAGCAGCCGAAGCAGGGGCCGGAGCACCAGAGGCGATGGAGTTACCACCTGGAACTTGTGGGGGGAGGGTAGGACCGGGGTGGAACTGTTGGAGAGGGTATCCTGATCCCGGCGAAGAGGGACGCTCATCGCGAATAGGGCGGATTTCAGGAGCAGGACTGAAAGGACGATTTTGATAAGGAGGGGGAGGAGCACCGCCATTGGGCCCGGGTGGTCCAGCGGGGCCAGGAGGAGCGACAGGCAGACCACTCGGCAAAGCACCTCGCGGGGCACCAAAGGCATTGCCACCACTAGGAGCGCGTTCGTGGCCTGGACCAGGAGCGTTTCCCAGCTGAGGTAGGGTGTGAGGCGGCGGGTAGGCATTGGGATCACCCATCTTTGGCGAGCGAGGCGCGCCACGGGGATCCGGGAACGCCCGACCAGGCTCCTGTCGAGGACTCTGAGCAGGAGCACCGGGGATCCGGACATCGCGCTGGTCGAGACCGTTAGATGGGGGAGCTTGGCTCTGAGACTGAAGCTCGTTGATGCCACGGTTCCAGTCAGGAATCTGCCTCGGGGGAGCAGGAGCTTGTGGAGGGGGGCCGATGGGGGCTGGGGCGCCCCACTGAGGAGCTGGAGGTGCACCAACGCCAGGTGCCTGATAAGCCTGAGGGTGAACATCCTGCGGCTGAGGCGCGGGAGCAGTGGGCGGCTGTTGTCCAGCCGTGCCAGCAGACAACTGACTCTGAAGAAGCTGCAGACGAGCCTTGATGTGAACGTTGCTCGGATCAAGATCTGCGGCGCGTCCGTAGGCATCCAGGGCATCGGCGATCTGGTTGTTGCATGATTCGTACAAAGTGCCCAGGTCATACCAAACCTCCGAAATGTAAGGGTTCAGGCGGATCGCACGTGAGTAGGCGTCGAGAGCATCGCGGTATTGGTTGATCTGGTAGTAAAGAACACCAATCGAGCACCAGAAGGTAGGGTTTCGGCCATCGCGATAAACCGCTTGCTGGTAAGCTTCGTACGCCTTGGGGTATTTCGCCATGGACATGTAGCAACGGCCGAGGAGATACCAGCTTTGAGCGTCATTGTTATCTAGGGAACGAAGTGATTAGTCTCAATGTATAAAGTCCAGATGGGGGATTGAAAGTGTACTTACCAGCATTGACGGACTTTTCCAAAAATTGGATGGCCTTCTCCTGGCTTTGGAAAGCATTGCTCTGCTGGTGGTAAAGCCATCCAAGTTGCTGGAGAACTTTGGCGTGGTTTGGATCCCGCTCAAGGACACGCTGGTAGGCGGATTGAGCAGACTCAAACTGAGGATTTCATCAGCATAAGGTAAGAAATCAAAAGTGGAGGGAAGCATGACTTACGTCTTTCTGTTGCTCGTGAACATGGCCAATCTGGAACCAGATGTCTTCTTCGGTCAGAGGACGTGGGGGATCGCTAACAATGTATTTGAAGCACTAAAATGGATTAGTCACAGCTCTCAAAATTCATAGTAGGAGATTTCACTTACCTCCAAACTCTGGTTAAACTTCTGTTGCTGCTTGTATATGATTCCTAGGCGGAAGTAGATCTCATTGGCCTTCTCGAAATCGGGTGCCATTCGCATCACTTGCGAGAAAGCCTCCTCCGCATGATCCAAAGAACCATAGCGATCATACAAGATACCGATTCCATACCACAGCTTGGGTTCCTAATGAGGGGGATTGGAATCAGCGACTAAATATTTCAGGGAAGATGTGAGGGGAAACCGCTTACCTTAGGGTCGCGCAAGTGGTAAAGGGCTTGCTGGTAAGAGGTGTATGCCTCTTGCAAATTATCCATCATGAGATGGCAGTGGCCCAAGCTGCCCCAAGTCTCTCCATTGCTTGGATCCAACTTCAAAATATTTTGCAAGTACTCAATTGCTTTTGGGAACTGCTCTTTTGTCCGAAGAATGCATGAAATAGCATTCATGGCTGAGATAGACCACTGGTTGTGACGCAGGGCCTGCTCGTAGGCATTCATCGCACCTTCGAGATCGCCCATCAGTTCGGTCAAGCTTCCTACAAGCGAGACACACTGTCAGCAATCGCCAATTTAAGTACATGACCGGGTATTCATTACCTATTTGAAGCCAGACTTGTTCATTGAGTGTGGCGATCTTCTGTGCGGTGGTGAGAGAAGGGACTCCCTTTTGCCCTTGCACAGGAAGTGCTGACATATGCCCATTGGCCTGCGCCTGCGCCTGCGCATGCGCTGCGAGATGCGCTGCCGCATGGTGAGGAGCCACGCCCGCGGTGGGTGATGGTTGAGTATGAGACATGGTTCCCGAGAATCGTGAATATGGTTTGAGTTGAACCGTGTCGCGACCGAACTCTCGGGGTAGGTTTGCGACACGATGATGCAATCCAAGTTTACACCACTATTAGACACAGAACAAGTGTACTCTTGTGATGTCGCACGCCAATCCTGAGGCGCAATTTCCGATGGGCACGGGAGAGTAAAAGGACAGAAAAAAATAGACGAACGGGTCGCGAAAGAAGTAAAGGTCCCTAACGTGACACTATCCAGCAGTGAATGGCGGCAGTTTTCCAAAATCGATTAGACCTTGGCGCTGTCCCGAAGATAAATGAGTGGCGCGAGATGGGCAGTGACACAATCTCGGGGGGCAACGGGTGAGGTCACAGCTATGTCGAGCTTGACGCGCGAAGGTAGAATGCAGAAAGGGAAAAAAATAAGATATTGAAGAAAGAGGCGAAGATCCAAGGCGATACAGTGGGGAAAGGGGAAGTCAGAATTGAGGATGATCCGAAAGCCTAAGGGGGGAAGAGAGAGGGAAGAGTCGAGGGGCTGGCAGGAAAGGTGAAATTCGCCAAGAGACGCTAGTGGTTGGGTAGCTCCCGGCCGTCACGACTGATTATCTAATACAAGCTGACGCTCAGGAACGGCTTAGCGTTGTGGAGAAAGATCTGGAGGCGGTTATGCTCGTTTTATTTTTATTTTTGAATTATTTTCTTTTCCTTTTTGTCCCTTTTAGGAAATTTTGGGGCTTTTTGATTTTTGATTTTTGATTTTTCCTTTTTTCGCTTTTCTCTTCTCTTCTTCCTTTTTTTTTTTTTTTCCTTTTTCCTTTTTCAGGCCCTATCTTCAAACCCCACCCATGATCTCATGAAAAAGAATTAAGCATATAAGGATTTTATAATTATTTACTCGATACATACCTTCTATAGGTATAAGAATTAATCCCAATTCATTTTTCTTTGCTGTTCTAATTAAAATCCATAATGCCTAATCTTCCTAATACGAACACACAAACCCCCGGCAAAAGACGCCGAGTGGGGACTCCCCCCGTGGTTGCGTTAGTGCAACTGTGCTCCGTGGTGCTATGTAGTCCACAGGGCCGTGCAGCCGCATTGGCTTTCTTAGATCCCTGTTCCCCCCCTTTTGCCCAGCACTTTTTAGGTACTGTGCGTACTTAATCCTCCGTCAAATGAGAACGGAGACCACCTCCGGGAATAATCGTTTTGCTTGAATTTCTTTGTCCCAGCCCTTTTGCTTTTTATTCGACCTATCTACATCCAGAGTAGCTGTACCCAATATATATATATATATATATATTATAACTATTGTATACGTCAATAGGCTGCAAGACCAGCACAGACAGACTAAACCCGGAACTGTGCAGGGTGCAGCTGTCGAGTGACCTTGTGTCCCCTCTCCTTTTTTTTTCCCTTATCATTTTTCTCCGGACTTCCTGTACACAACCACAAGTTGTACCCCCTTGACTCTTGAAAGTCCATGAATTTGTTTGGCAAACCACCAAAGTACCATGCAGGGTGTCTTGACTTGCATATTCGCCCCTTCCGTCATTATTGTACCCGCTTTAAGCGGATTAGCGTATCCACAGTTTATTTCAATTTTAAAATTTCCTCAGCCACAGGTCAAATGGCCCTGTGCTTGTGGCTGGTGCATACTTGTGGATGCGATGATCTTGATTACATTTTCGGTGGACCTCGGGAAACTCCCGGATATGACAACCGTGATAGTGCCTTCTGAAATTCCATGACTGAGTAGTGCAGCCCCTTATGGAGTACTCACATACCATTGTCTCCCTACTTACTCGGTCCAAATGTACATATAGTATAACTCGGTGTATAACATACGTGGCCACAGTAGGGACCATGTGTACCTTATATTTTTTCCCAATGACGGGCTCCACTTGTGCGTGGGCCTCAATTTTTCCATCAGGGTTTGCTAGCCGAGCCGCCGTCTCTGCCGTTGGGAGGCTGTGAAACGGGGTGTTTTCCAACATGTCTTATATGGTTCCTAGAGATCTGCTGGGTTACACAGCCGCTTGTTATTTTAACTTGCCGACCGAGTCAAGAGCCTGTATATTTTACCGTTTTACCATTTTTTAAAAAACTTTTTCTTTCTCTTTCATTTCCCGATCTAAATCCCTACGGTCTTGAGGTGTTCTCGCCGGTTCTGAATCAATCAGCACAGAATACATAAATTCTATTTGAAAAAAAAAGAAAAAGAAAAAAAGGGAGAATGACTTCACTGTAACTGCAAATGTCGGAAGCATGTCAAAAGCCAAAGCACCCCGGGCATCACGGTAATGGCCCGACCAGAGATAGATCAGCCGCGCGCATGCCTCTGCCCATCATTGTGTCCACTGTGGGGAACGCCCATGATTTATCCTGAGACCATAAATAAATAGTAAGAACCAACACCCCCTGCGACGGGATTTTGCAGACGCCATGCTCCGAGGCGGTGGGTATGACCGTGCGACACCATTCCAGAGTTAGAATCGAGGCAGGGGGTGTGGGCCAGGAAAACAACGCTAGACTTGACATTGCATGAATCACTGGCGCTTCCGAGTTGATCAGCGGGAGAGAGAGAGAGAGTCGTCAGGCAAGGCCATATGCAGATTATATTTCATATGAAATTGAGTTCTTCTCGGACGTGGCTCACATACACGGTCAACGCTCCACCATCGCAGTGGATATAATCCACCTCATGATTAGATTATAAGAGGAAAAATATAAAATAAAAGCAAGGCAACTCAAAGCCAACAAAAAAAGAAAAGACAGAAGGTTTCAAGTCATGTCTTGCCAAGACTTGATAGTGCAAAGCGCAGGGATTGAAGCCCGGTCCAGTTGGGACACAGATGTTCGATTTGTGTGACCTTGAAAAAAGACCACAAGCCAAAATAGATGCGTCCATTTTCTCCCCTCCCCGATCACTGATAAGATAGGGATCGTGGGGAGATTGGCCTGGCAGTGCGCCATTTCTAACCGGGCTCGGTGATGCAAATGCGTGGTTCAAGGACTTGGGAGGTGGGGGGGGGGGGGGGGGGGGGCACAGATGCTTCTTGTGTGAGGTATGTGAGGTACTTTCTGTCGGGTAACATGTTTGTGTTGCTTTGTGTTGGCGATGGGACAGGGATATAAGTCTAGTCATATATGATCTCTAGATGCAGATGCTTATCATTTGACGTCAGGTGGTTTTAGGCGATCAGGAGGGTCTCATGGTTGCATGGGTTACCCCAGGCGGGCTCAAGCCTTCAACACGGCCCCGGGGGTCCTTTTCAGGTACCGCTAAACCAATTATATCAGGCAGTTATTGATGTAGGAGTCGCTAGCTGACTTCCAAATCTAGCCCGTCACATCTTGATCACTTGTGGCTGCAACACCCCATCAGCCACAAACAAGGGAACCTAAGTTTTTATGAGATCTCTTGATGGACATAAGTACTGAGGGAATATATTTCGAGTTGAACTACGGAATATTCGAGTCAGCGAACTACCTTCAAAATTTAGTATTTTTTGTTGGTCGCGTGTTGCATTCGAAATAAGGCTCGATATTATATATGTTCTGCGACGAACCCGGGGTTTCAACTCGGCATTTGTTTGGATTTCCTCTTTTATACGGCTACATACATAATACACTATATATATTTATGAAAAACGGACGAATCATGTAAGTATCAATACCTTCTTTTTATTGTAACTAGGGTTGCCTTAAAAGCCAACCTTGCTAATGAACCGGCACGTGATCACATTCGACACGGATATTATTTGAGGCATATTTCATACGTATCAAGAAAATGTCACGAAATATTATATCTAATCAAGCATGGATATAAGAAAAAAACACACACTACAACGTTCACGGAAAAAAAGATAGCCGTAGACACTAAGAGCGCCCAGCCGCATTAGCTATGATGGTTCATTGAGAGACTAAGTTCCAACTGCATTTAATGCCAAATTAATCACGAAGATCGACTATGCTAGGAGATAAGAAGGTAATCTACCAAATCGGAATATTGCCAGTTTGGTTCAGACGTAGAAGTAAAGTAAAGAAACATTGAGATGATCGGAGGGACTTAGAAAAGTATATGTGCAGTAAATAGCTCTAGGAACGGCGGTACAATATTGAAACACGTGGAGGATACTGTGAGTACCGAGAATCGAGGATCGAGCGCATAAGCATGTGCAAAATCTCCCAACCTACCTTTGTACGAAATGGTCAAGGTTGGCGAAGATCGGCAAACTGATATTCCAAATCTTAGTGGCGGCCTTCATTTGTTTCCAAGCTTCTATATTTCAAGTCTTCAATCCATCATGCGATTCGATAGTGCCGGTAGAGGTTCGTTCGTGGTGCAGTTCGATGAGCTTGCGGTCAATGGACGTGCTGGGAGGATTAGTGACATATGGATGAGGGATAATTTCTGGAATAGGAGCTGGATGTGTGTGCCGTAGGGTGCGACTGGTGCCTCGTGGGCGAAGAGCCAGGAAGAAGAGCTGCTCAGATGGAAGTTTTCTTGAAAATAGCGACCTCAGGTTTGCGTGCAGTCAAGGGGGAAAGGTGACTTCATATGTAATGTTGTACCTATCATTTCCCAGGGGAATACGTGACGAATGACATACAAATCGGCCCAATATGACAGGTAGATAGTGTGGTCGATCGGACATCTGTGATACTTGAGAGATATGGAAGAGTCGATCATTTATGATGGTGGTCCATAGCCAGCACATGAGCAGACCCCAACCCCTCGTGTTGGGTGGTTTAGAATAGCACTCAAATTTGGGGGGATGCGATTGATCTACACGCCACCTGTCATTGTCATGCCATGCCATTGCGTGCTTGGCTAATGATGGTTGTATGGTTGATCACTGGCTGAATTTGAGGAAAAGCGCATGATTTGCGTGTTGATTGAGCAAAGACTGACAGCCAAGGGGAATTACCGGACAGCGTGCAGCCGTAAATAAAGGAAAAACAGTAGACTTGACCGGGAGCGCGGCAACGTTACGTTTGCCGAGCACAGAACACGCAATCAGTCGCTCCTGACCGCCCACCCGGGCAGCCAAGCAGAGAATACGGTTTTGTATACAGTGCCCAGGCATCCAGATAGAAAAATCCTACAAGCCAAGAGTCGAGCTCTGTTGAGAAGAAAGCAAATTTTGGATCTGAAGCGGTTGTGGGAGGTGTTGATTCGTTGATATAATCGGACTCATCTCAACGGGGCAGCGGAATGAAAGGACCACAAGGCCAAGGCTTCCAAGACTCTTCCTGTCAGGGCTGGGGTATCTGACAAGAGGGATCGATAGGTACGGAGTATCTATTTTGGCTCTTAATATGCACCTGGGAAAAACCCTACACAATTATTGGCAAAAGTTAGGTAAGAGATATTGAACAATCTGAAAACTATTTCCCCGAAATCGAAATGCCAACACCCGCCAACCTCTCGGCGTCTGGGCGTTGACCTTCCCTTGGGAGGGTACTATGCTGCCCCTGATTTAGTTGTAGACACCCATGGGTTATAGCCCTGTGAGGTTTTGTGAGGTCTACTTCTGCGAGCATTAAATCACATAAGATTGAGATGCATACAACATACAGCTTGTCTATGTGGTTTTGGGAGATTCTAAGATTATATAGATGGGGCGATAGGAGTAATATATGTTATCACGTGCGTATGGCTGTTACCGCCAAGACCACAGGGTGCGTCTCAGCGCGGATCACCTCGTCGTCATCGGCCAATCAAAGACCGGAAACTGTTAACTTATGATCCCCGATGGCTGCTTGGCGCCTTGGCGGATGGTAAAACCTCGTAATTCGATCTGCACCTTCGACCAGACCACTCAGCATTTTTGTTTCACGGTAGGACAACTGTACATCTTGTCCGACGCAACCCTACCCTGTTATCAAGTATGCTGTGAGATAGCCATGATCGGGATCTGAGATAAAAGTATCAGCAGGATACCCACAAATGATTCTTGTACCCCATACAAGGCTCGACTCAATGCCAAGGTCTCGGCATCTGGGCGTCTTGGCGAGAGGGATTGCAAACAGCAGGAAATGCTCCTCCGCTGTCTGGCACGGCCTTTCCTGGGCTTTCCTGGCTTTTCCGCTCTTTCAAGCTGCGGCTCTCTGTGGTCCCTTATAAGTCTCTCTTCCGCCCTTCCTGCCCGCCCCCTTCCCCCTTCGACTTGTCAACAGAGAGCCCCCTATGCCCGAAAGATTACGACTACGGAAACCATGCGGTGAATTCTACATGCAATAGTCGCCCTCTGTGCGTCTACCTTGTACGACTCTTGCTTCGTCTTCACCTACTGCTTTTATTTTCTCGCCCGACATGCAGTCACCGGAGATGTCATATAGTCCCGCCTACTATCAGGATCAAGGACCTCTTGGAACGACACATCCTCGCAGCTCGATCGTCACCCCTCCACCGGCTACCCGTCGATCTCAAGAACAATCTATATTGGGTCACCCCGTAGGCGGATCTCGACCCTCCTCTCCCATACCAAGCCGCGACGTCAGTCCCCGTACCTCAAGCTCACGGGCACACCGTGTATACCATAACCAAACACTGGGAGGATCTTCGTGGCCCGGTTCAGACATCCGAGAGACAGACTCCGTTCCAGCCGGTGGCTCAATATTAAGTGGTGCACACAAGGAAGAGCGGTCCCCCAGCAGCTGGGCAGACCGGCCGTCATTAATGTCGGGGGAACATTCCAACCCGAGCATAATCCGTGCCCGAAAACGAGCCATTCCGGATGATGAATTAATCACTAATGAGGGCCAAGATGCTCTCTTGATGCTGGTAAGTGCGCAATGTAGTGGTCCAATGTTTCCTGTACTAATAGAAGTACTGACAGTTCCGCCTCACAATCGTCCCATTATACTCATTCGGCGCTTCTCTATATACCATCTTCGCCCTCCTCTTCGCACTTCTTATCTCACCTTTCCGTCTCTGCTCATTTTCCTCATACCTCCGCGCCACGACGTTCGTATCACAACTTTGCGATCTCCTCTCTCCTGTCCTTCACATCCATGAGCGGCTCGTTTGTTTGCAGCCACCAGTGGAAGACCGATCATCCTCGACCCAATCCACCCAATGGATTCGCTCAGAGCCAGATTCAGACCAACCGTCAGTCATATCTGAGCCGAGCGAGGTTTATGCGGTGACTACTTCAATTTCCGTCCTGGTCCTATCCCCGTTACTCAGCATTGTGATCCTCCTGTTCGCATGGACAGCCGCCTTTTTCTGGGTATTCTCCATGGTCCTGGGTAACCCGGACGGCACTGAGCGGAAGGACGATGGCCGCACCGCCGTTCTCGGAGTCTGCAAATGGTGGCGGTCATGGCTATGCAAAGCCCGAAAATCATAATAACTTCCAATAAGAGCCCGCCCGAATCAAGCAGGCCACATCAGTGATATATCTCACCGCCAGCTTCACGAAAGCTGCATCACTCCCCCTTACCTTGAAATATTATCCCGCACTACATTGATACCCTCCCCTCCCCTCGGTACATGGGCGCACACCGAGAATACGTGGAACGACGATTTACTTTTACCCTTCACATGCTGATATTACCTCCGTCCCTATTGGCTATGACTATACACATTCTGCATCGTTGATGCACGCGGCGTCTGGGATTGGCTTTTATTTTTGCACGGCGTCTGGCCTGGCGCATAGTAATATCGAAATTATTTCGATGTGTATCCTTTTTGTTCTTGTGTCTTGCAGATTATCGGGGTGTGGTCGATGCCTCCCCTTGCTCGACTCAAGACTTTTGATCTTGTCTTGTCTGGTGAGCTGGTGGGGATCCTCGACTTACCTTGGAACTGTATTTGTATGTATGAAACTTACCTGCGAGAGGAGGTTGTACGTATGCACTACTCTCGAGTGCGAATCTGATACCCGGGTTTATTGTTTTTGATTCGTGGTTTGCCTCAAGTAAACAGTAGAGGATTCTGTCTTTCACTCGATCCTTGCAAGATAGATGGCCAGAAGTATCTGTAGTCAAAGGGGAAACTGGAGGTCATCGCTTTAGATGATTGTCTCATGCCTTTCAATTTATGTGGGTAATACAAGCATAGCCGGCTGCTTATGCGGTCTCTGCCCTTAGGACGTAGTTCATCATCTGATCCGGTTGACCCAAGATGATACCAGGAATGTGATATTTAAGATCCTACTGGCTATCGTCCTCAAGTATGCTCTTTTACCCCGCCAGACGAGGACTAGCATATATTGGAAAGACCATGTGCCTGATATATAGGCTTTGTATACATGTAGAATCACAAACGAAGTCAAGGTCGGCACAACCTGGCAAAAACCGCATAGTACAGATATGTACATTAAACATGTCTTTACATTTATTTCCCTATAATCACTGTGTAGTATCCTATATCAGAATGGGAATTTCCCCTCACTATTCCTGCTTGCCTTTGTTGAACCACCCGCTTACGCCGTAGGACTATCCCTGTAGAGATATCTCCACACTTCGCAACTCCCCCTTTGTGACTCTTAGGGATCTTACTTGGTTAAATTTTAGCTCCCTCTACCCCCTGAGTTATGTAAGAAACTCGTCGCTTCCAAGGTTGTCCAAAATCCAAAGAACTTCCCCCTCCCCCAACTGTCATGGAAGCATGCATCCCACCCAGACAGCCGGAGGCCCTAACCTCAATATATCCATTGCCGCACCCCCAATATGGACATATGCCGCAGGGGACACTATAATCGGCAGCGTGAACCGCCATTCGCATATCGTGGCCCCAGATGCCAAGATCTCACTTACATTGGTCGGACGCGCAAGAGCCCGCTTAATAACAGAAGGGTACCCATCGAAAGCCTCATCCTATGGCAACTGGAAGCTTTTCAAGCTTCCATCACAAACCTTGCTACATGGACCTATACACATACCCTCGCCCAGCACCCCAGCCGACTGCATCAACATCCCTTTCTCAATTAATATCCCCGAAGCAGCTTCACTGTCAGCAGTCGGCAACCACACACAAGAGGAGAGTTTCATCCCACTAGAAGCAAACTGCATCACGCAGCACCCGTTACCGGGGACATTTTCCACCGAATGGACCGGAGCTAAGGCCTGCATAGAGTATTATCTCCAGGCGCAACTGCGGTATATTCGCAATGGCTTATGGTATGTCCAACGTGCGACAGCACCCATCACGCTAGGCTATCCGACTGTAGACGCGGGCGGGATCCGGTTTGCGCTGCAGCGGTGCAGCATCGTGAGCCGGGTGCGCAGCCACCGATTGCTTCCGTCGATGCGGGATGTGGATTTATCCTTGATGCAGAAGACGCAGAGAATTCTTCGGTTATCTTCTGTTCCTGGATTTAGCTTTGAGGTTGTGATGAGTGTGCCGATTGCCATCCAGCTTGATGATTCGTCGCCGATTCCGCTTGTTATCAGGGTTATACCGCAGCGGGGTGGGAGTAGTAGTGCTATTTGGGATGTTGTGCAACGGGTTGATGTTATTGCGGTTAAGATGAGTATTCTTTCGAAAGTTGAGATTGTGCTCAAACCGAGTGAGGAGAGCTTTTATAGGATCCCTAATGATGAACATGTGTTTGTTCAGCATTTGGGCCTGGAGAAAGCGTTTGAGCAGCGAAAGGATCCTATTGTAACTTTTGCTGGGCCAGGTGATACACCGGTCGATATTGGGAGCGTGCTTCAGCTTGTTCTTAGACACGATGGTCTGATGAGTGACGGGAAGCGTCTCAGTCCTTTGGCCAGCATCAGGCCAAGTTTTGTCACTTTCAATACCAGGCTGAGTCACTCGATACTATGGCAGACCTCTCTTAGTATTGCGGGGGAGACACGAACTGTGTCGATGACGACAGTGGTCACTGTGTATAACAGTGCCTCTAGATTGTGAAGTTGTGCTCTGTTGGGGCCATGAGATTTTTGAGTTTGACTGATGTTGATTTTGCGGACAGAATTCACTTCTGTCGCATTGTTTTGCGGGAGCATATCCCATGTCAAATATAAGACAAGGAGAGCAACAACGAATGGCCTAATGATTGCACGGCTAAACACTTATAATTGAATTGTCATATAATATCATAATAAACAGATAATTGTAGACATGGGAGTATCAAAAGAATGAAGCTGCGGCCGCTTCGATAGTTACCGATTCGTATTCAATGTCACCAGCATCATGGTCGACAAAAGAAGAATCAGGGCCATTAGCATCATCATCAGACAGGCCAACGTCGTGGATATCCAAACCAGTCACACCACGAGATAACATCTGGATCTTTATCTCCATATCATGTTTTCTCTTCTGCTCCTTCACCTCCTCTTCTGTCGTCCTCTTCAACTCCCTCTCGTACGCGCGCTGCTCCTCTTGGTCCCGGGCATTGTCCGCCCATACCTTTAGGTGTTCCGGGTATCGCAGACACCATATCACAATATCCCGTGTTGCATGCGCATCCTCCAGCGCACTGTGGCCCTGCTTCCCGACTTGGATATCATAATTGACCAATTCATTGGTAAGGGTCTTCAGACTCCATGTGCGGTTGAGTGGTTCGCTGGCGTGTACAGTGTAAAACACCGTTTCGCTGGTAATGATGGAGGAGTCGACAACGTTCCAGTGGATGATACCTAAGACGTCAAGATCATTGTTGAGAGAATGACCAACAAGGACAGTCTCGCTATCCATGAACTCCCATAATTTCGAGCGCGCGCCTTCCCAGCCAAACAAGGCTGTGCCTTTCTTGACAGCCTTGTTCATGGCACTAGGGGTCACCCCACTGAACCGAGAATCCCAGTTCACGACTCTCGATTTCGGCTGCACATAATTGTCGATGAGAACTTCGCCAGTCAGAAAGTCAATTGCGCTCAAAAAAGCAAGCTCCCGACGCCCTGCTTCAACTTGCACCATCTCACAGTCAAGGACAATTGCTCTCCTTTTCCGCAAGCCGTCCGCGGAGCGAGGAACTTGGCGGAAGTGTCCTGTCTTCGGAGGGGGCTTCTTCGAGGGGCGTCTGCTGACATCCGCCAAGCCAGCCCGAAAGGTGAAGCCTCGGGTGACGAGACGGGTTTCTGAGTGACACCGTGCCGACAAATAGCGAAAGATCAAGCTTTGCTCGAGCGGCTCGAGAACAACATGGTAATTTGCGTTTTGGATGGCAGGTGATGACGCATTTGGGGGGTCAAGTTCGGAAGTCTTGTTCCATAGGTCTTCAAAATCCTCTGTCCCCAATGGAGCATGTGACGGGGCCTGGTTTGATGTGCGCTTTTGAGCCGGTTTTGCAGGCTTGGTAGGCAGCATATCAGAGCGATCCAGGGACTTCTCTATCTTTGTTTTCTTTGGAGTGGGTTTCGCAGATTTGACAGACAAAGCCTCAAACAGATCCTGGGACTCCTCAAACTTTGTTTTCTTTGTAATGGATTTTGTAGGTTTGACAGGGAGGGACTCAGAAAGATCCTGTGACTTCTCAAGCTTTGTTTTCTTTGCAGTGTTTTTTGTAGGTTTGACAGGGAGGGAATCAGAAAGATCCTGGGACTTCTCAAGCTTTGTTTTCTTTGCAATAGATTTCGCAGGGTTGGCAGGCAAGGGCTCGGAACGATCCTGTGACTTTTCATCCTTTGCGGGCTTGACAAAAGACTCAGACAGATGCGGGAGCTTGTTATATTTCACGGACTTTAGGGCTGATTTCGTAGGTTTGGCAGACAAGAGCCCAGAAAGGTCCTGGAACTTCTGTTCCTTTGTGCTCTTTGGCGCTGGCTTTGCCGACTTGAGAGACTTGAGATCGGAACCATCTAGGGGCTTTTCATGATTCTGGGAGTGCTTGAGCAATGCCTTTATAGTTCCAAAAGATGTGTCGCATGGACCGCAAGCAAGTTTGTGGCCTTTGGACTCAAAATGAGCTTTAACAGCACTGATGTTTTTGAAGCCACCTTTCTGACATCCAGGACAGACAAATAACTTGTCAACGGCTGTTGTGGGTGAAGCCATGATAGACAAAAGAGAAGTTGATGTGTTTTTTTCCAATTTTGTCGTGACTTGGGTGTACGGAGAGCTATTATGGAAGGAGCAATATGTGTACGTCTTGCCTAATCGAGCCCATACGTGGGAAGCAGAGATTGGGAGGCGTGGCACTTTGCCCGTAATCGCTATAAAAGCGTATGGGTCAATGAGTCAACGATATATAATCCATGGGACAGTTTTTAGTGTCCAAATTACCTAGCTCAACTTGTGATCAGACAAAAGCGCAGAGTGAATTGATAATTGATTTGAAGAGGGAGGAAATTGGCCAGGCCGAAATTCTGCCCAACTCTACCGGGTTAGGAGCCTGAAATATCAGGCAGAAAAGGCCCATCGGATGTCACCGCCAATCACAGCGCAAGAAAAGGGTTTCTCCAATAACGATGCTAAGAGGTTTGTATTTTCAATTTGAAGATATTGAATTCATTCGAACTGTTCGTCATACCTAAGAGACCTTACTCGAGAAATCTGTTTAACAGGAAATATGAACATGATGATGACGACACGAACACAGAACGACTCGGTGAAAAGTGGAATACTGCTAGGAATCGCTAGCAAAAGTTTGACCATATCAAATTCGGCATAAACCAAGTTAAGACCTCTGCGTATGAAGTAATAAAGTAATACAGCCTAGATCAGATTCGTATAGGAATACGTTTATAGTTATAAAGGCCCATATATAATGACCGAGGACGACATAAGCAATAGATGCCTCGCTCTTTTCCCTTATACGCATATAGTTAATATAGTACTTATAACCCAAGAGGATTTGGCCCGGAATTAAGCCACCGAGTAGTAGTCCTAGCTATTGGTATAATATATAGAAATTGTTATACTACAGTTCGAGTTTAGTGTGAGAATATCGTATCATGTATATCTAAAGTTCACCTTCTTCCGCGTCAGACTCTTCTTCCATTTCATAATCGTCATCATCCTGCGGGGCTCTCATTCCGAAAATAGCCTCTTGCCCTTGGACGTATAAACTCGCTGGATCTGACAATTCTGGATACTCTGGCGTCTCCCCCATCGCCAGCTTCTTATGAGCTGGAAGTTGAGAATCATCGTCAGCTGCGTCATGTCGCCCTCGTTTACGTGATGCTGCGGGTGCAGGTACAGGTGCTGGTGTTGGTGCTGGAGCTGGTTCTGGGGCCTTTGCTGGGGCCTTTGCTGGAACCGGAGCCGGAGCCGGAGCTGGAGTGGGTGGCCGCTATCTAGACTTGAGTGGTGCAGGGAGTCCCCAATTGGTGGGATCATAGGCTCGGTAGAAACGACAAAGATCCATCATACACTCAATAAGGCCAGCTTGAGGAAGGCCTTGGATAGATGCTGGTAGATTGGGTATTTCAGAGGTGAAACCAATCTGCAAGTTTGTTCTACGTAAACTCGAGTTGAGAAGGTACCTAATCATCTTACCGTCAAGGAGGTGTGCAGTTTGCTCGCTGTCGTGAACTCTTCGAATAGCGTCCATAACAGCAGTTCGGGCTTGGGGTTCCGAATAGAGACCAAGTTGATCCCACAAACCTTTTCGGGTCCTGAACCTACACCCAAAGGGAAGTGGACCATTTTGAAGGGTAATGATTAAAATTAATACAGAGTTGAATGGTGCTGGTTATAAAAATTGTTGGACTAATTCTAATTGAATAGTTGCTGCGAATATGGATTGAGAGTTGGAATGGGTTTCATCGACTATTAAATACTTGACGCACTCTTTTTGACCGATGCAGTGTAAATTTAGAACGCAGATTTGAGACTTGAGTTTTGAGAATGTATTGTTTATTGTCTTTGACATCGACAAAGAGAGCAGCAAAGGACATGGCTATGAGGATTCAGGAGATCCTCTTTTAGATCAAACAAAGAGGCAGTAACCAAAGGGGGATGCTTTAATTAGCCTCTAGGAATAATGATCCGGAAACAATGGCGCTCTAGATTAAAGTAGAATGATATATGGTATTATCTATAAGTCCGCTTTATTATTGAGGCAGAACATGGGTACTATGTGGAACTAGGAATCTGTGATGCCCTAGTCTGAGTTGATTCCCATACAATGTTAATTTGACATATTGAAGGAGAAGACAAAAACTAAGTAGATGAGAGGGGCATTGGACTTCTATCTCTTAAGAAGCTATATAGGATGGGAGGTCAGGATTCCAAAGCGAGGCTGTTGATGCCTGAACTTCAAACCGTCAAGAATGAAGTCAATGAATATCAAGTTTCAAGTTTCAATATTATGTGATTGAGCCATGTTGCTGGTCGCGGGCACCTGATTGTTAAAAGGGAAGAGAATCCAGGGACCTGACCCTCACACATTCAGGGAGACGATGGCCGATTTCCACTTCATGCAACAGAAATTGGACAATGACCTCATCTAGTCCATTTCTACTCTTCTTGACCCAATAGGTATTCCAAATCTCCTTTGGGGAAACTATCTGCTCACTGTTTATGGAGACGATTGTGGATGTCAGTATTTTCTTGATTGACTAGAGCATCCGTCAATGTTTTATAGGAAGCAGCTTTTGTTGTTACAGATAATCTCGCCCAGGCCGCATTCTCCTCATTTATGAGTGCCAGGTTTCTACCCTTCAACGAAAGCCCGGGCTGCTCGCACTCGGGTGCTTTCGGAGTCCCAACAGCATTTAAGCATCTGCATATTAATGATGAGCTTGCGGTCTCGCTTTATCGGAAATCGGATGTGCCATGGGAGTTTGAAGACCTTGAATCCTTGCCTGATAGGAATTCAGCTCTTATGCTTGCCTCATATGACCGACCCCCGTCAGCATCTCTAGGCCGTGGTCGAGGGCGCCTCTTGTCACATCCTTGTGCTGTGAAGATTCCCTGTGCTGTGAGTTATTGCGAGGCCCTGATTCCGCGACTTTTTTCTCATGACCGCGACTCTGTTTGCGAGACTTTCTTGTTGGCTATTCTGAGTTATATGTTGGAGTATGTCGATGGTACGGATGTCTTGGACGAAAACAAGCAGCAAGAAGGCTACCGGAAGTTTTACGATGCGATCAAACTGGGAGATCTTGCAATGTATTCGATACTAAATGAGCTCCGACTTAGTTTGATCGAAGAGCGTCGCCTCCCAGTGAAAAATGATTAACAAAACAGGACGCATAAGTCAACATCTCAATTTAAACAATTGGAATAAAAAATAATCCAGAAGTCCGTTGCCACTCAATCTCTAGATTACAATCGTCTTTTCACAATCACATCTTCAGACTGAGAAAAGTAATAACCGTTGGTTTTGATGCCACTGTTTGCCCAGTCTTCAAGTCTAATACGGGTGACCCAAAGCCCAAATTTTGACAATCTCATTTTCCCAACAACGTCTGTTTAAAAGGTCGGTCATGAAAGCTGAGAAGATTTTCGACAACCATATCGTGGGTGGTTGGATATAAATAAGTGAACACGACAACTTTGCGATCTGAGATGGAAGTTCGATAATGTTGGATATTTGATTCATTATAATTAAATGTGATCTAACAGTCTTAACCGATGGTCGATATTCTCTGGGTGGACTAGGGATGAGAAAGACAATGAGAATGTAGTTCACCGAGAGTTTCTCGCACCCACATAAGTAGATAGGTTCACTCGAGTATATACACGGATTCTCACCTACTTGGGAGAGATTCGGAATCACTCTTCTCCCAAGGATAATGTTGTTCGAGGTCTCGGATGAGTTGTTCGTGCACCGCGCTTCGCGGCCGGACCGACACCTTAAATGGAGCTGGATGGCTAATGACCCCAGGGAGAAACTTTAGTGGGATATCCTGGGTAACTCCGTTTTGTATTGGCTTCGAGATACGGAAGACAGCCAGAGCCTGTGAAACAGTGAGAAAGACGTTCGCATCTGCCAGAGTACGTCCAGGACAGGCTCGACGACCAAACCCAAACACAAGCATGTGCGGATCGCGCTCTGGGAGTTTCCCATCGGGGGAGGTCATAAAGCGCTCCGGGTTGAAGGTCATTGGGTCATGATAGACGGTTGAATCGTGCGTAAATGCCCTAGGATATTAAGAACTGCGTCAACAACTACTGTATCCTGCAATAATCAAGAACAACTCACCAGATGTTTGCAAGAACAGATGATCCCTTGGGGATGAAGTACCCCTCGCATGTATCGTCCTGAGTTGACGTGTGTGCGACACTCATGGGTACAACTGGATGCCATCGGAGAACTTCCTTGACTAGTGCATCCGTATATGGAAGATTTTCTCGATCTTGGAATTGAGGTAGTCGATCGCTCCCAAGCACTGTGTCGAGTTCCTGCTGAGCCTTGCGTTGCGCTTCCGGAAAAAGAGCCATTGCTAGGAAGAAACTCGCAATAGAGGAGACAGTCTACTTTTTTTCAGTCAAAGATAATGCGTGCAGCCCGGATTCTCTCTTACTGTATCTGCGCCCCCTGCGTATAACGACCCAGCTGACCACTTGATGATGTCTTCTTCTTCAGTCCCAGGCTCCACAGGATTGTTTTGAAGAAGATTAGACAAGAAGGATGGCACGAAGCGACCATTACTTATTTGCTGCTTGGTAAATGCATATGGAACGTCACTGAACAACTGTGCTCTTGACTTGTATCCTTGAGCGATCTTCACGAATCGTGCCCCAGGGAACCAGCCCGGGAGATATTTCACTAGCCAGAGAGTCAGACAGATATTCCACAATTCAGTATATCGATGTAAATCATCAATCACTACTTACTTATTGGAATAAACTCTACTGCCCAAGTTGCTGGAAGCAAAGCATACGAGAAGTCCTCCATCGCCTTGTCGGCCAGGTCTACCAGAGGGTCCTGAGCATGAGGTTCAATAGTATACCCATACCCAATCTTCAAGACGATCGCTCCAGCATCTCTGCTTCAATTAGAATTTTTAAACTAAAATATGTTAAAATAAAGGAATTGACTCACTTGCGTATGTGCTGATGAAGTTTGTCTGGCTCATCCAATACCCTCAACAGGAAACGAGCAACCTCGGTTGTCTGAACATCGTTGAAACGGGCAACGGAATTCTTTGAACCCATCTCTTGATACAAGTGTTTCCGTGTTTTCCTTACGTGGTCCGGGTTTCTGAGCGCCCCAAGAACATATTGCCAGCCCGACCTAGCGATGTCAGTTACCCTAGGGTCACGCATGCAATGCTTTCACTTACATATCAGTAAACATGTTTTCTGGACGCCCTGAGTGTATAGAAGAATGCTTTTCTAGTAGCTGCACCGCCAACCTGGCATCATTCAGGATGATGACATGTTTGTCCAGCACAGTGAGTGAGCTAATGGGTCCTAATTTGGCAACAGTCAACACCCTATGTATATCCCGCAGGAATTCTCTCTTACCATATAGCTCCTTATGTTTCAGCCAGTGCATCCAATCCTGTTGATCTGGCGTTGGAAGATCCTTCAGATTTCCAATTATGGGCTTCTGTTTAGGACCAGGAGGAAGAGGAAGGGGGTATCTTTTGCGACCGCGAAGGGTTGTAACAATCCAAAACCCAAAGGCAACCAGAAGACCTAACCATAGTGTCGACAACATGCTGATGTTGAAGTTAAAGATAAAAATCCAAAATATCAAGAGAGGGGTGCTGGATCGGACGGCCTTTAAAGCGTCAAAGAGGGGTTTGTTTTGGCACAGATACCTGCAATACGAATATTAACTATTGATTGGTCTTAGTATCTTGCAAAGGTAGCATTGCAGGATGTATGCGCTCGATCGAGCATCTTCCACTCTACGATAGGTCGGTCATCTGCACATAGGAGGGGTGAGGTGGGGTGTACGTGCATATTCATATAGTCTGCATCTACGCCATACAAGGCCTGTCTGTGTGACCGAAGCTATCCAAGCCCTCTGATTGGATTGACTTTTAAGATTTATATGTTTAATGAGTTTGTAGAATCGTGGCTACTCAGTACAGCCATGGATATAATAAAGCGATGGCTATAGCAGCTTATTACCACGACACTAATTGACGGTAAATAAACTACCAAAAATGGTTTATTTTCAGATGGAGGAAAATATACAGGCTATTTTACTACTAGACCACAACAAAAACTAAGGTTCCTGTTTATGGCCTAGGGGGCCTTATTCCAGTCTGACATAAGAAACTAAACCAAGGGAGTGACGACGACTTCTATTTGCCTTTACGGAGCTCATTCGTTCCGATATTCATGTTACATGTGAAACACATCGAGGTTCCCTAGTGTAGAACCAGTTAAGACCCATCAAAACTCGATGGATAGAGACGAAACGGACTCCGATAGAAAGGTGGCGAATCGTCCAGTAGTCCATAGATCAACCCTGCGCCTGGATGCGGTGGATGACGATGATACATACCTATGAGTGATTCGCCTATTTTGTGTTATCGAATTGTAGAATTCGTTGTTGTATAAAAGTAGGTACATGGTTATAGAACTTCAAACTGCAACCCCTCTACCCTACAGCAATAGGCCCCCTGGGGGCGTCATCATCTGTCTTCCTTCCAATCCGATATTAGGCCACTACCCTGACCCTCCTTTATCCCAAACCAATATTGATCTCCAATTTCGAGTGTACTTTGACCTCTTGTCTATTTGGCAGGTGAAACAGCTCCTGGAACTCAGTGGATGTCCCGGGCTCTAATGTAACAAAAAGAAGTGATTATCCGATTCACCCGACTCACGGTTGAAGGCTGGGCGCTTGCTGCCTTTGGAGAAGTTTAGGCGCAGTGCTTTGATATCTGCTGTCGTGATATCGTGACAGATAAAATTACTGCGATACTGGCTCAAACCGAGGTTCAATATTGTGGAGTGAGTGAATATTGTGATTGGCTTATGGTAATGTGAAACTGCTGTTAAGAGGGAGAACTTGGCGGTGTGATAGCGAGTGTGACGGATATTGATGGGGGATTAGACATTTCGTTTTTTTTTATTGCAATTGATATGGAGTAGGAAACCTCGAGGGGATGTGAGAATGAAAATATATTTGCTTGCTGATATCAAATTTGACACTGAGAAATGGTTGCTTGGCAAATGGCCTTGATGTTTAATGAGCCTACTAGCCTTGAATAGAGATTGCGAAAATTTCAGCTGAGGCTGCAGTGTAGATCACTGCATCGACCCTTATGTAAACGGGTAAAAAAACGAAAGTTTGTGAACACAGTAGGAACTCAAAGTAGGGCGCATAAAATGCATGGGCCAAATGCAACGCCCGCCGGAATAATATGCCTTAATGGGAAAGTGAGCTGCGTAGGAAGAAATAGAAAGGGGAACTTGGAGTAGTGTTCTTGACGGTAAAGATGACTGTGTATTGAATCCTTCGACCCATCACTATGGGTTAGACCAACTCAGCCTTGAGATAATTACGCATTTTCTAGGAAGGTAGGATGTAGGAAGAATTTGTGTATAAAAAGGTGATCAAGAACTGCGGAATTATATTAGAATTAAATGCTACCCCATTTATCCTTCGGGTTGAAACCAAAGAACTAGAAGCAAGAGACATAGTCTGCAAATATACCGACCAACGCCCTCCTACAAACCATTTTTGCAGGCCGGCGTTGGCCATCCCGCTAGACCTCCAGACAATTCGGTCCCTTCAGAAGCGCACGAATCTAAGTATAGAAGCCGGTTATAGTGACCCAGAGAACCAAACCGGCAACGACCTACTTGGCAAGATCTCCATTGCTCAAGACTATGAGGATAACGATGGTGACTATACCTCGATGGAGATACCATGCAGAATTGCGTGAGTATAACACTGATAACCCTAAGATCATCATTTGCAAGAAAGCCGGGTTTAGCCACGGCAGAATCGCCAAGGGTTATGACGGAGTTTATGAGGTTTTGTGTGAAAATTTTGACCCGTATATGTCGTGGAAGATCGAAACGCTAGGATCGATTGTGTTGTATGAATACACCCTCTATACCAACTTGATTGCACCGCCATTGAGTAAAGAAACAGACGACCCTGCTGGTTTCTGGGGCTCGAGCCTATGATAAGAACTTGGTCACTAATAATAATGCTGGTAGCTACCCTTGGTTTGCGATTGAGATACTTTAGTCTGTGATCTGTTCCAAAAACTACGAGGATCCTATCGATACTGACGATGATGGCCCCAACTGCAATGGTAGCGTTTGGACGGCGTCGAAGTGGCCTTAAGCAAGGTTAAGCAATTCTAAACCAGATATGGAAGCATCACGTGTATGGCGTGGGATTAGAGATAAGGACACCATGTACAGAAAAAAGTTGGTAAGGATTGGACATATTCACCCACTAGAATGGGGGTGATAAATGAATTCAGCCGGATATTTAGTTGGTTTGATACATAGGTAGCGACGGGAGAGATTGTTAAGATCTTTGAAATAAGAAACCAACCCTGATTTGATCTACACAAACCGCGGAGTACTAGCGGTATAGAAATGAAAGATCCCGTGCAGAAAACGCTGAAGCTATGAGGTTACTCCACGGGTACCTGCATATGCACGGTTTGTCATCGTTTGAAGTTGGTAGTCATGGAGTCAAATCCACAAATGGGATCCGTCCCTTGTTCCGGGTGTAATTCTGGTGAGCCAAATCGGCAGAGATACTGGGTTCGCCGACCGAACCGCGGGATATGGTGCAGGCTCACCACAAGCACGAGATGCCCAGGTTGGTCAATAAGATCAACGTGCAGGATGTATAGTGTATATCTTGACAGTCTGAATCAACCGGAAGATCTAGGCCTAGCCAGATAGCTGGAATATTTGTAGTATCCGTTAATTGTCAAGCCGTGTCGGACCGAAGCTTCCAGGGGCATGAAAAAAGTGACCGACGAGCAGAAAGTGCATCCAACTGCATGCATACTTGACAAAGAGGATTTGGCAGAGCCCAATATGTTGCTCTAAATATACGTTGATGGTCTAGAGATGGACGCCGACTTCGTGCTTTGCGACGGGCAAGTTTTCCTCGAAGTGACTCATAAGCCGGGTACATATATTAATAGCGGAGACAATTCATGCGTATTGCGCGATACCGTATCTGGCTGACGTGTATAAATCGATACACCAACGACCGCTTATTGGCTCCCGATCATTGACTGACAGGAGGGTAATCGCGAGATTACCGAGTTCGATTTAGCCTCATCCACAGGGTAACATCCACCTCGGAGCTCGGAGTTACTGACATATTAGTGATAAGCGCCATGTCACCTGACACATAGTTAGCTTTCGTTGTTACCTGGCTACCTTCGAGCAAGAGTATCCCTCACTCTCCCACCTTTCATCTTTTATGGTGTGGTTGGCTCAGTTGCGACGTATTCTCCAGGCAGAACAGAGACACGGTTTGGTGCGGCAACGAAGAAAGCTTACATTGAAAGCATCCAACCTGTTTAGACGTGTACAATGCCCTTCACCACCGGAGAAGAGAACTTGCTTCGGCTGAACCAAGGGAGTTTTGACTTCAACATCCAGTTCGAGCAATTATTCTTCTCCATCATTCCGTCCGCTTTGTTCATCGTAACATCAGTATGGCGGACACTTTACCAGGCACGGAAGCCCAACGTGGTGAATGCGCCGATTTTCCAATTGATCAAATTGGTATGCTCCTTTTCAAATGTAGACTCTCAATGTGCTGATCAACTTGGTGCAGGGTGCTATTACAACCTATGTCGGACTTGAACTTTCACTCCTGATATTAGTTGCGGCCGGGTCTTTCCATGTAACCAAAATGTTCATAGCTTCCTCGGTCCTCAACCTTGTCTCAGCCCTACTCATGATCACACTGAGTGTTGTTGATCATAGCAAAAGTCTAAGGCCATCTGTACTGCTAAGCAGCTACTTGTTCTTGACTCTTTTTCTAGACGTGGCTCAGGCAAGAACGCTGTTTCTGTCATCAGATGACAAGCCTGAATTAAGTTATAGCAGTATCTTCGTCGCTGCTATAGCTCTGAAGACCGGGATCTTACTATTAGAAGCCCAGCAAAAGTCTAGATGGGTGGGCTGGGACGAGAAGGAGCATAGCCCAGAAGAGACGAGTGGCATCTTTTCTTTGGGAGTGTTTTTCTGGCTTAACAAGATGTTTTTGGTTGGCTATAACAAAGTCATGACAATTGGGGACCTTTACCCTCTGGATAGCTCCTTCAACGCCAGACCGCTTCACGATAAGTTTCTGAAGAACATGGATTACTCTAGGTTGAAGGGTGACAAATTTGGTCTAGTGAAGGTGCTTATGCGCACACTAAAAGTTCCTCTTCTACTTCCCATACCTGCACGTCTGGCACTTCTTTGCTTCACATTTTGTCAACCGCTTTTTCTTGAAAAGCTGTTGGATTACCTATCCAAGACTGAACTCGACCCGAACGTCGGATACGGATTTATCGGCGCGAGCTTGCTTATCTACTCGGGACTTGCTATATCAACGGGATTCTATTGGTATGGAGATATCTGAGATAACTACTAGTAAGCCTAGAAGGCCCGCTGCTGATATATATGTATAGGTACTTCCACCACCGAATGCGTACTATGTCTAAGTCAATACTAGCTACGGAGATCTTTATCAAAGCCACAGAAGCTCGTATCGGAACTAGCGATGACAGTGCTGCGGTAACTTTAATGAGCACAGACATGGAGAGAATCGACGCGGGTTTGAGAAATCTACATGAGACTTGGGCGAGCATAGTTCAAGCGGCTCTCGCCGGGTGGATGTTGTACGTCCGAATTGGTATACCGTTCGTCGTACCAGTGGGAGTTGTTATAGTCTGTTTCATCGGCTTAGGGATCCTGATAAAGTTCACGGGGGATTCCCAGAGGTCCTGGATGGCAGGTGTCCAGAAGCGGGTGGGCTTAACGGCCACAGTCATTGCTAGTATGAAGAACTTGAAGATATCTGGCCTCTCAATTACCATAGGCGATTTTGTGCAGAATCTACGTGTGCAAGAGCTAGCGGCTGGATCCCGATTCCGCAAAATAGTCATCATTGCGGCACTTTTTGGTTTCATTCCGCTATTGATCAGCCCGCCATTAACATTCGCATTTACCCAAAGAACCTTCGATGCCTCGACGATGTTCACTAGTCTTTCTTTCCTTACGCTCTTGACCAACCCGCTGTCACAGGTCTTTCAATCTATCCCCCAGCTTGTCTCCGGATTGGCTTGTTTAGGCCGAATCCAGGCCTTCTTGGAGTGCGAGACTCGTCATGACTTCCGCCAAGTTCTTGGTGACACAAGTCGAGATATTGAAAAATCCGGAGCAGAAACCGAAACCTTGTCTGATTCTGAACCGGACTTCCTACATCCTCTCGTTATCAAGCGCGGGAATTTTGGCTGGGAAGAAGACAATTTCGTCTTGAGGGATGTTAGTACTCGGGTACCCAAGTCCTCACTAACTATTGTTGTCGGGCCTGTTGGTTCTGGGAAGACCACGCTATGTAAGGCATTGCTTGGAGAGATACCTTTCAGCGAAGGTAGCGTGGTTTTAGGGACCAGATTTCCTCATGTTGGATTCTGCGACCAAACAGCATTCCTCTCGAACGGGTCGATCAAAGACAACATTATGGGATTCTCTCCGCATAACAATGAGAGGTATGCCGAAGTCATTAAGGCTACCTCCCTGGACTTTGATCTTGCCACACTACCGCAGGGGGATAAAACGAATGTCGGCTCGGATGGAATCGTCCTGTCTGGAGGCCAGAAACAACGGGTTTCCCTTGCACGAGCTTTATATTTGCAATCTGATCTTCTAGTGCTGGACGATATCTTTAGTGGTCTGGACGCGGACACTGAGGAGAAAGTCTTCCAGCAGGTATTTGGGCCAGATGGACTGCTCAAGAAACGGGGGTCTACGGTTGTGTTGTGCACCCACAGCATAAGGCATCTCCGCGCGGCGGATCATATAATAGCGCTCGGCGACGGCACTATTATTGAGCAAGGTAGCTTTGACAAACTGATGGCCAGTCAAGGATATGTTCAACGTCTGGGATTGAAAGGCTCTTCCGATAACGCTGCCTCTACCGAGAAAACGACTTCAAATAAAAACCCGCAGGAATCGAAGCCGGAAATTCTTCATACTACAATGACCAATACATCGTCCACTGCACCGGACGCTGGTGTGTCGCGGCAAATTGGCGACAAGACGGTGTACAAGCATTATTTTAAGAGCATGGGATGGATTCTGGCAGGATGCAGCTTGGCTTTCGCTGTTCTTTTTGGTTTCTTCACGAATTTTCCGACAGTTTGTGAGTGCCTCTGCCTTTAGATAGTATATTCACGATCATCGTGGCCTTCTAGCCAAGAGAAATGCGGCCTGTCCTGAAGTCGGAAGTGTTATAACTAATTCAAAATATTTCAGGGCTTACATACTGGACGGATGACATCTCGAAGAAATATCCAACGCACCCTTACGCTTACTACGCTGGTATATATGCTTTGTTTCAAATATGTGCCTTGATCTCGCTCCTTCTCCTCGGCATTTGCATCTTAATCATCTCTGTGGAGAGAGCAGGTGCTAGTCTCCACCAGGATGCCCTACAGACACTTGTTCAAGCACCGCTATCCTTTTTCACCAATACGGATACTGGTGTTGTCACAAATCTGTTCTCGCAAGATCTGAACCTTATTGACACAGAGCTACCAAATGCAACATTGAACACTGTCTTTTCCGTAAGTTTACTACAATTGCATGCCAATTGCCCAGCGGTGGCTGCTACTCGCATTGAGGAAGGCATCAAAGTCCGTCCAACTGTCTGACACAGATTACAGATCTTTCAATCGCTCGGACAAGCGGCAGTCATGCTAACATCGTCCGTGTACTTGGCCATAAGCTACCCATTCCTCGTCGGCCTATTGTGGGTCTTACAAATGTTTTACCTTCGGACGTCCAGGCAGCTGAGGTTGTTGGACCTTGAGGCTAAAAGTCCTTTGTAGTAAGTTCGTCACTAGTTACTACCATATACCGGGTGTGCTTTATTTTTTGTAAACTAATCTATATTTATTCAGCACCCATTTTCTTGACACTATCAAGGGAATTACCACCCTAAGAGCTTTCGGTGAGTGAGATGTGAAATGAAACACAAAACTGAGAACGAATTTAATAAAACGGATGTGAAAACCACGGATTATGGTACGGCGTCGCTGACACTACAGATATATAGGTTTCATTCCCGGCGATGTCGACAAGAATACTCGTCTAATTGATGCCAGTCAACGGCCCGCGTATCTTCTCCTCATGATTCAACAGTGGCTGACCCTCGTCCTCGATATTGTAGTCATGGTGCTTGCAGTAGTCATGACGACTCTGGCCGTTCGGCTCCACTCTAGTTCTGGCTTCGCCGGTGCCTCTTTGTTCTCCCTCATGAGTTTCGGGGAGAGCATTTCAGGCATTGTCATATTCTACACCAAGCTAGAGACTTCTATTGGAGCGATCGCTCGTCTCAAGATGTTCACTGAAAACGTCAAGCCCGAGGATAGAGATGAAGAGGACATTGTTCCTCCTGTCCAGTGGCCACAGAACGGTGTGGTGGAATTAAATGGCGTATCTGCGAGCTACAGGTAAGAGACATATATCCCCATAGATGCTACGCCCACTACATACTGTGCTAATGTACCGAGCAGTGCAGAAAATCAACCCGACAGCTCGTCCAGCTTAGCCCTCCGCAACATCAACCTCACTATCAAGACAGGCGAGAGAGTTGCAATCTGCGGTCGTACCGGCAGCGGCAAGTCCAGTCTCATCGCCCTACTTCTCAAACTCCTCAATCCCACCCCTGATACAGCTGAGAACGCAATCATCGATAACACACCGCTCCACCGCATCAACAGGGCTGCACTCCGTGAACACATCATCGCAGTACCCCAGGAAGCTGTATTCCTACCCGATGGATCTACCTTCCGAGCGAACCTGGATCCTTCTAATGTTTCAACTCCCGAAGAATGCCAAGTTGTGCTTGTCGCCGTAGAACTGTGGAAGTTTGTTCAAGAGCGGGGTGGGCTGGATGCAGGCATGAGCGCGGGGACACTCAGCGCGGGACAAAGGCAACTCATGTCGCTTGGGCGCGCGTTGCTGAGACGTTTTATTCGGGCGCGGAATGGCTCAGATTGCGGTATATTGTTGCTGGATGAGGTGAGCTCCAGTGTTGACCACGAGACAGAACGTGTTATGCAGGAGATTATCCGGGTGGAGTTTAAGGAATACACGATCATAGCAGTCAGTCATCGGTTGGACATGATCATGGACTTTGATAGGGTTGTTGTCATGGATAAGGGGGAGATTGTTGAGGTTGGGAATCCTGTGGTGCTGGCTGGACAGGCGGAGACGAGGTTTGGAGATTTGGTTCTGGCTGGGGCTAAGTAGAATGTGCTTGAGGGTTTTCTTCCTCAAGGAGCTGAAGAGTTGGAGGGTTTGAGGGAGGGTCGTTGGGGCCGACCATTGTCAAACTACTGTTAGATAGGAATGTCGCTGCATGGATATTTGTTTAATCGGACTGGCGGGCTACCCTATATGCACCCCTTTTCCTTTTACTTTTTTTGGTCATAGACCTAGGAGGATCTGTGGGAAGACCCAAAATCCCAGAGGGCGCAACTAGGGGATAGAGTGCGGCGACGGTAAAGCAACATAATTTCATTATATTCAACGGAGTGCAATAGTAGTATATATATGTAGGCTTGATTGAGTGGGTAATGCGAGACCCGACAATGATATCTGTGTCCAGACACTAGGATGGGGTTTTCCCATATTGACTAACCCCAAACTTGTGTGAGCACTTGAATAATTGACTCATGCGAACTAGGTATCATCGACTGGACGGTACTTGGTCTTTCACACACTAATCCATTGGCCCACTAGGCTGTGACTCCCCATCTAAGATATTTCGAATATATGGTATAGCTCAGGGCCCAGGCATATTTGTCGGCTGTATACTGAAAACACCAGAATGTATTTGCCTTTGTATTACATCGTGCTTTTCCAGAAGGCAAGGGTCTGGTTGAGAACTCACTAATTAACGAACTTACTGTGCCAGCTTTGACCCATCAGATCGACGTGCGTCACAGAAAGAGGCTACAAAGCATTGGCTGCAGTTCTCTAGCTTTGTTGGGAGCAGTGGAACACAAGCTTGCCTATACATGAAATAGTAATGCAGCTTAATGACTCAAGGTAGAGTTCTGTCCACGGGTGTTACTCACGGTGGAGTTTTCTTTCCTCTGCATGAACTGTATCCATCATCACCATCTCCACATACATACGGCTTTATAGTGATCAAGTAGGAGAAAGTACACCATACGAACCCTGTCATTTCGATCTCTCGAAATAGAAATACACATCATTGGCTCAATAGTGTCGATCAGCAACCTTGTGAAAATGCCAATCTCAAATCTAACCCGATCGAGCCTGGTGTTGCGCGCACCCGTGCCAAGCTTGGAAGTCAAGCCTTTCCCGCCCCATAAAAAGCAATTTACTCCAAAATCAGGTTCGTGTAAGCAAGGGGTAAATTGAGATGGCAATATGCATCACATCGCCTATCCTCAGCAGCCGAGCCTATAATGATGGGTAACCTATGGGCATAGCAGCACTGAGAGCCAGAAGTGAGTCCTAAATACTAAATATAAGGCAGACATGCAAGTAGAGCAAACAACTCTGGACAGGACGGACTACAGAGGAAAATGAAGAAAAGGCACAAAGTTGAATTGCTGGAGTCTGGATTCTGCACGGGCCGATGCCAATTAAGTACATCTGGCGAAGACCTTTTTTTTTCATGCAGAGAGAGTTCGGAGGGGATCTATATCTATCAGAAAACAAATTGTTAATATCAAATATGAATACAGGGAAAGGGGTCCTCACAGGTCACTCGTTTACTTGTGGGACGGGTGTCCAAACCCGGCTGCCATATCATCCCACACCTTCTGCAGGGTCTGGATGTTCTCATCTGTGGCAGAGAGGCGTGCGATTTGATCGTTGAGAACGGCACGCTGGTGAAATATGCTGTTCTCGATTACGCTTCGCTCCTTGATGAGGTTTCTAATCACCTCGTTGAGCGCCACCAGTGCGTCTCTTTGGTGAATCCGTTGGGCATAGTCCTTTACAGGCTTAGGTCCACTTGTTGTGGCTATTGAGTCATTGTTGACCGGGTCGCGAGACGATCCCTGGGAAGGCATTTCTGTGTAACAGTTAGCCATGTCTCACAATAAATTCGCATTAAATGCTTGTAGATCGTACCGAAAGATCGTATCGAAAGAATGGGGATGAGGGCTTCAATGAGCCTTGGTAGATATGATAGAGTGTGGTGGATAATATGGAAGGAAGTTGGCTGAGAGAAAGTGAGAGTAAAGGAAGATGAGGTGGAAGAAAAATGAAGTGAGATATCGAAATTCGAGAAACATGAACAAGAGAGGAATGCGGGAGAGGGAATAAGGGAGGTGCTTGGGCGTTTGTGCGAAGCGAAGTTCAGATGGATTCCATTGAGGAAGATCAGTATGATTCGAGAAACAATTTATCTGTGTGCAAAGGAATCAAGGGGTTCGACGCCGACTGTATGCACGTGGAAGAAGTGGCCCATTTGTCAAATACCCACCTTAACAGTAGATTTATATAACCTAAGATATTATTATTCACAATCTCCTAATAATGCTTGCTAATTTTCGAAGTGTTTCGAATATAAGCCAATGCGTGACTCCTTTAGCATTCGATCATACAGAAGTCGTGATAGTACGTTTATTGTGTCCACAGCAATGCCAAGGTTAAGTTCCATCTTGTATTTTTTTTTTCCACTGGCGTTTAATGGAGCAGTGCATCTTGACTAGGGAAGCCACGACTGGTCCCAGGCTGACATACTAGGCGAACTCTTAACCGTGTCATCCATTCTAAAGGTACACACAGTGGTAGAGGCCGCAGTGGCTGACAGGGTAAGGCTCTTATTCTCTTTACAGTCCTAAAACCGGCAACTATTTGAAGGCTCACAGGTTATCAATCGGAAGTCGTCTTTCAGTTTCAGTTGTCGAGCCATGGGGCAGTCTCGTCGGAACGAGCAACAATGCAGAATGAAATCCTGCAAGACCTGCTTAGCCACTACCTTCCTGAAGAAAAACTTCGGCCTCGGTAGCCCCTCTAATGTGACTGAAAATAGCTCCGTTGATCTTATCCGCTGGTCATCGTAATCCCTCTAATCATCCTAACAGTACTTGCAGCTTCATCGAGGACACCGAAAGGCATTTTCAAAATGGTTCCTATGTCCGAGTTCAAGCGAAACCTTTGGCGTGCGCGCGACCGACAAGAAATGGTGTCAATAGGTCAGTCGTGTATTTCTTCGATGCGAGTCCAAACCCGGCTACCATCTAGTCCCATCCGCTCTAGAGGCTGTGCGCAGGGATTTATGCAATTTCGCCGTCGAGTACTGCACGCTGGCGAATGATATCGTTTTCAATCACGCTGCACTCTAGAACCATCTTCCTGGAGCACCACAAAGGCGTTCCGTTAAGGTTCGGTTGGCTCCAGGATCAGCTGTCTGATGACTTCAGTGGGGGCAGCTGATGTGTCTCATTTATGAGCTCGTTGGGCAGAGTCCGAGATAGGGTTAGGAACCGCCGTTGCCTTCGGCTTATCGGTGACTGAATCTCGGGGTAATTTTGTGGAATACATTGCTGTATAGCAGAGTTAGCCTTATTTCAGAACTCATTTGCCTTTATACTTTTACAGACTGTAATTGGAGGATGATGTTAGAATGCTAGGCGAGGGAGATGGAAGGAAAGTGAGATGTGAAAACTAGAGATGTCTTCGAGGAAATGAATGTGGAGAGAATAAGTAAAGGGATGAGTGGCGCTTTGCTTTGCTTACTGTACGAGGTGTATTCCATATGGGGATCTTGTTGAACAATGCCACTATACAGGTTTATACTAATTCCGCGAAGAAGGAGATCGGCTTTTTCCTAGTCATCTTCGCGGCTACAGAAACGGGTCCTAAGTCTCGCAGTTCAGCAAGGGAATTGGCACTCACATAGGGTCCGTGGAACCTACATATTGCCGGGTGTTTGAATTGTCAAACCTAGCCATTTGATTGATTGATTGATTGTGTGTGTGTGTGAGAGAGAGAGAGAGAGAGGAAGATCAAACAAGGAGGTGAACAAGGTGCTATCCGCGTTAGGCAGGGATTGTCTCAACACATATACATCCAAGGCGCCGTTTTCCTAATGCTCAGGCCAAATTTCTTGAAATCGTATTTTAGCATCAGGTTGGTACTCATACCGCCATTTGGAAATAGGACTGTTGAAAGGTACAGTCCAAGTCCATGTTTGATTGGGAGAACTGAAAGACTGTAAGCTCGTTCGCCTTGTGGAGCGAGACTACACCGACAATGAAATTGGCAGATGGAGACGGATGCAGTCTTAGTTTATGATATTGTTCTGATGTGATACAATATAGCGCTAAAGCGAGAGGCTCCGGTCGAGTTATAGTCGTGTTGAACTCCCCCGGGATCTTCGGATCTTTGTCTTATAACTCCTAGGCACTAGAATGCCTGATTAACACAGAATACTTGACTGGCGAGGCAGGTATGGGTGACCTAGACTCGAAGACAGATTGCACACTGCTCATTACGGTTGATTCTGTGATACTAGAGCTTGGCTGCTGCGAAGAAAGACACTAAGCCATCGAAATTGTGCTTTGACATCTAGTCGAAGTCCTCTAACAGCTTCTCGTCGATGACCAATTCTGGATACTCTTCCTAGATGAGCGAGGGATCGGTGGCCGGCAGGTGACGACGGGGCCGGGGAAAGACTCGTAATACCTCAAAACGAGCGCCTATGGCCTCGGGGGACGAGATCGGTGGAAGGCCATGATGAAAAGAGCACGGCTGGGTTCTCAAATTCCGAGCAACAAGCCCTTCCTGGTAAGGGCAACATCCCGCCTTGTGTTGTGCCTCAGATAGACCTCCGCGGAGCCCAAAAGCCCAAAGCCCAAAGCCCAACCCAGGCCCACCGATAGGCTATGGGCCCCAGACAATGCAAATATGCCGAGAAATCGAGATGCCAAGTAAAGTTGAACCCCTTTTTAGATTTTTTTTTTAATTACCATATATTTAGAACCGTTTCTCACTATTATACCTACGGTAATATTATATGACTTTAAATGATTTAGAATCAATCCTAGTTATATTCCTATATCAAGTTTAAAAATGCGAAAAAAAATACGTTGATTTAGATGATTTAAAAATTACAGAGGTTTACCTTGAAAGTAGTAAGTAGTACGTCTGTACAAATCTCATATTATATCCAACATCGAAACATCAACTTTCCCATTTCCCGCAATTCCTCGACTTCCGCCGGTCAAATTTTCATTCAAAGGCAAAATGCATACTCATATAGCTACCATGATTTGATATTCTAAGTTTGAACTTCTGGTCCTCTTGGTGGTGGTGGGGGAGGAGGAGCTGCAGCAGGAAAAGGCGGTGCAGCTGGCACAGGTCGAGGCGCTGGTGGTGAAATAGGGCCTCTGGAGGGTGGAGGAGGAGGTCCCGCTGTAGTGGTCATGGGCGGCACTTTGGGAGGCAGTTGGGGTGCTGGCGGCGCAATAAACCAGAGGGAAAAAAAAAAAAAAAAACATACAACAGCATGTCTAAGCCAACACCCAACCCAGACCCAGTTTAGGCCCAGTTCGACCCAGTTTTTACATAAATACGGGTCTTGGCGGTCATAAACCAGTTAAATCAGCTATATTATACAAATAATTAGCGTGTTTGAGTAGTTTGTAACCCAATTTGGGATCCCGGTCCCAGTACTGCTTTACAAAGGCCGACCAAGACCTATTACTGGGTCGAACCCTTCGACCCAAAACCCAACCCAGACTACGTTAGGTCAAGGCTAGGTCTAGGTTTTACTAGGTCGTGCGGAAGACTAATCTCACCAATACGAAAGGAAAGTATGAGCCGCGTGGCCATGATCTAGAATTCATTCTCACCTAGATGTTTTCGAGAGTAGTTCACCCAACCCATCGCAGAAAGTTTCGTACAGTTCGGATTGAGTTCCACAACAAAGATTGCCCTGTAGCATCTAATTTCCAGGATAGTGAATATAGTCTATCAGCCTCTGTCGCTCCAAAAGCTGCAGCTAAACTATCCCAGGCAGTTATATCTCGGTAAGAGAGTTTGATTCGTGTGCGCCCCGATGATTGCCGCGGTATAACCGTGTGGCGTTCTAGCACCCGGGCAGCTCCATATTGGACGAGTAGTTCTGTTGTTTGGATCCACGGTCGTAGGCTACTTTCGTCGAGCTTATTAAGCTCTTTTGCAAAGGTGCTGAGGTACCCAAGATAAAGTTTCCAGGGGGTAGAGCCGCCGAATCGTTCATTGGGGTTACCGCCGTGCTGGAGGATTAGAAGGACAAGTCGGGGGTTTGGTTGGTCGCGGGGGCCACCGACTGGATAATCGAGCTGTTCGGCTTGTCCGTCCAACGGTGAATGTATTCTCCGGCGGAGTGCATAGTCTAGGAGTGGCCGGCCTTGCTGCTTGAATACGAGGCTCGGGTTGGAGGTTAGGCAGATTTGGACGTATCCCGTGAGTCCGTGCTGGATGGCTAGAGAAAGTAGGGGTTTCGGGCCTTGAGTATTGCAATCCCACCCCTTCACTGGACAGGCTGGTAGTGAGTCACTCGACCACGCTTTATTCCGCTGGCTGTCGAGTAGCTTATCCAGATGAGCTGTCAGAGGGAGAAGTGCTTCTGGAGACTCCGTCTCCAGGAGTGCTGCATGCTTCATAAAATCAGCAAGGAGCAGCCGCGTTGGTTGTTCTAGCATTTGCATTTGAGCTAGCAGCGCTCTGCAGGTGAAAAGATTGACGTTGAAATCTTTCATATTCTGCATCTGCAAAAGATGCTGGGTAGTATTTTCGAGAAGGAAATCCCGCGCTGTCCGATGCAGAAATTCAACGCTCTGGCGGTAGAAAACGTGTCTCCCGGATCCCCAGTCAGTGGTCTCGAGTAAATCCAAGCAAAATATATTAACACGGCTCTTTGTCCTCTCAAGCCGTTGGGTCAGCTCCTCCTCACCAAAAGACTGCGGCGCTGTTTGCAAAAGAAATGCTGTCTGATCTTCGTCTAGGAAGGAACATGTCATCAATGAAACTCCGCCAGGACTGTACAAAGCCAGCCTAAGAAGCTTAAGGGACTTGAATCGATATACTGGCTCGATTTTGGCGAACATCTGGAGGAAATATGCTTCTAGTTCCTCCGGTACCCCCCTTAACCGGTCGAGCAAATCTGTAGCTGTATCATGGTTCTTCAACCCTCGCAAGAGTGAGCGACTAACTAGGGTAACCCAAAGCCAGACACCTTTTGCCTTGTCGATCATTTCACAGACCAGTTGTAAACAGATTCTAGGATCTTGTTGCTGGAGGGCTCGGAATCTTTCGTTTGCCTGGAGTCTGGTGTTGATATAGAGTTCAATATCAGAGTACGTCAAATCCTCCAACCGCAGATGCGGATATGAAGAGAAATTGTTTTTAAGTAACTCCCAGGGCCGGCTAGAAACACAGATTTTGATATGTGAACATTGAGATGACTCTTGTAAGAGGCGGAACACCTTCTCAAGCCGATCGTCATCTCCAGCAAGTTCATCTAACCCATCGATAAACAGACATATTCGGTGATGGTGAGCCGAGCGCCTGAGGAGAGATTGTAAAGTGTAGATCAATTCATCGTCAGACCATGCCGGGAAATGCCCGAGTTCAAGATCCCAGGAGCGCCACCTGGAGGGTGAGAGCTCCCAAATTGGATCTGGCCATTGTATTAGCAGGTCATATAAAAGACAGCGCAGCATCCCAGACACTGATTTCTGTTCCTCGGTACCAGAACTCCAAATGAAGTGGGATGTTATTAGAAGTTGATTGTCCCCGGCCCATACGGCAAGAGCCTCCCTGGTCCGCGGCTCATGGAGGAGCCACTTCATGAAGGTAGACTTCCCGGATCCAGCCTTGCCTGGTACCCAGTACAAACCACCAGGTCCACAGAGCCAACTGGGTAGGTCAAACCGCATGGATCCGATGTCTGTAGGTGTGCGAAAGACCCAGCCAAGGGTGCGATCATATTTGCTGTCTATCATGTTTTCCCGGTCATGCATTCTCGAGAAATACAAAGAGTCGAAAAACATCCGTTTGAACGATCTTCGGTTCTGATCGTCAGCTTTTTGTTGGAGAGTCTGAAGTATTTTGGCGAGAACCTCGTTGTTCTTATTTCTCCATTCATCTAGGAGGTTCTCGCGAACAATCTCTCTCTTCCGATCGTCCTCAAAAGTCGATTGGGTTCGCGCTTGGATGGCCAGGCTATTTAATTGTTGCAGCAGCTGTCCAAGCTCTTGTTTTATTTCATTTCTATACTCGGAAAGGGTGTCTCGAACCCTGCCTTCCATGCTTCGAATCTCATTTGTTATTGTAGCAAGAGATTTTATTTGGTCCTCACTATAAGCAGATAAGCCCGATTCCGTTAAGTCAACTGAGAAGGGGTAAGTAACCCTTACTTAAGGATCAACAGCAGATGTATGATGACGACCTGGCCAAGACGATCCAGAGTGGTCATTCTTTCCTCCAGCTTGTCCTTATTCCACACAGATTTTAGCGCCTGGCGGAAGCTCGTCCATTTTCGCCCCGGCGTCGCCACCTTCAGCTCATCCAGCGTCACTAGGAAATCTTCCGCAACCACATAACTCTCCTGAGCAATATCCCGGAGGCCTTCCTGGGCGGCAGATAATCGTTGGGTTGCTGAAATTCCATCTAGCGAGGATAGGAGGCCCTTGGATAAAGTATTTAGTCTTGAGGAGATGGCAGCCTTCTCGGCATGGTCTGCTAGAATGCCGTCGGTGCTCCGATACAGCTCTTTTCCCTTGGAGATGAGTTTCGTCGCGAAGTCGACAAATTGTATAACCGAGGCTGCAAGACTAAGAGCGGATAGGGGGTCCATCATGAATCATGGGAATGTTCCAGGTCCTTGACAATTTGAAAAACACCTCGAGTTATGTCAGTTTAAAACTATCTCACGCGGGGCTAGATCGACCTCCATATAGCAAGGTGCAAGGCGAGACCTCTTGTAGTGTTGGCCAATAGCTGTGCTCCACGTTTACGTTTGCTTGGCATTTCAGGTATACACTTTTGGCTGGCGGTGGCTTAATTTTCTGAATCAACACGATATCGGTTGTTCTAGTTAAAGCTGTACGCTAGCGCTCTAAGGAGCACTAGTGGAACAGGTTTACCCTATGCCTAGCGATGGGGTCAGTAGAGACCAACCACGTTACCAGGCGCTGGTAGTCAAATAACGGAGGTTTTACCCAATGCCCTAGTCTTAGGTAACTGAAGAACTTTGCATCATCCTTCGGTAAATTCGGACCTCGAAGGGAATCAATACGTTATCAAGGGTATTTGAATATGGACATTCTTGCTACAAGAGGGATTTGCGAAGACCGCCATGGGAACCAGCGAGGCAGTAACCCTAGGCTGTTTGTGGGGTAAGCTACATTTCCAGTGATCCTCCTCCTAAGGACATTACAGCAAATTTAGACAAAGAGATAAGATATCCTTCATGGTTTACCGCGGGGCAGTTTGCCGCAAATAGGCTCAACGGCTGCTGACGAGCTTTTGTTGTGAGATGAGTATCAATTCTTTTTTGTAACTCTGCGATCACCGAAGCAACTCTCGGCACTCATGCTGGGTTGTCATCAAGAATTATGTGTATGATGTGACCCAGTTTTTGGATGAGCACCCGGCGGTGCGGGTGACATTCTACAGCATGCGGGCAAAGATACAACAGCGGCTTATAGCACATTCCATCCCCTAGGTACCGTTGAACAACTTCCTCAAGGTCCATATGTCTCATTTATAGGTTGAAGCTCGATATAAAGCAAGACCAGAAACACACCGAGGCCCAATCGATCCTTCTAGATATCAACAGTTGATAACGGGACCCATCATCGAAAGCCCAAATACCGAGAGGACTCCAACTATAGATATTCTAGATTAACCTGGAGGACTTCGAGCTTGTCGTAAAACCCGTCCTAAGCCCTCGAGCCTGGACATACTATAGCTCCGGCGCAGAGAACATATAACCGCGACGACCGGGCAAAGATTGTTCTCCGACCCCGTGTTATGCACAATGTCGCTCTAGTGTCTCTCCGTAGCAGAATAATGGGTCACGAGAAGAGCCTCCCTGTGTTTATTTTTCCAACCGCCCTCGCAAGGCTAGGCCACCTTTACGGCGATATCTGTTTGGCGCGTGGTGCTGCGCGCCATAATATTGTCTACGCGGTCTCGACAGACCCCTCCACTTCCCATGAAGAAATTGCTGCATGCTGTGGGGCTGAAGGTGTATTTCATCCCAATCTTCGACTCAGTGGAGATGCCGTGGCCGTTTAGCTATACCTACCGCGTAACAAAGAGCAGGGGGGTCGCGAGCGGGTACCCAAGCGTCTTTGGCTATTAGCGGAAGCAGATGGGCGGTTGAAAGCTGAACTGGAAGCAAGTGTTATTAATAGCATAGGGGCAAAAGTGCAACATCTAGGAGAGCCAAGTAAAGATACCCCGGTGCTCCGAGGTTCGTCAACATTAGACTGGGATGATCTTCAATGGGTTAAAGCTGCATAAGCTGTCATTTGAATCTCAGGAGGATGTGTCAACTGGTAGAATCTAGTGCTAAAATAGTTGTGACCAAAACAACACGTCTATGAGGGAAAGAAAATCAGTATGGGAGGGGGAAGGACACGTCAGCGGTTCAGGGGCGTGCAGGATATTCAGGTGCAAAATAGTGGTGTTCAGGACATTCAGGTGAATTGGCTGAAGGGACTGAAGATTAGGGCGGCAAGAGGGGATTCCCTAACGAATCAAAAAAAAAAAAAATAGGTAAACAAAAACATACAAGAGCATGTCTAAGGTGGTGGTCACCTAGCGCTCACGGTTCGGGCGTGGGCGGCTAGCAGCTCTATTCAGGGCACTCAGGGCAGATATTCACCCACCTGAATATTCCTCACTCGAATATTTAGCCCGTATAGCAAAAAAGTACAATGCTTATTATGACAAAAAAAAGCTACAATTATGATCCGTTTTTATCTCTCTATCCTCGAAAATCATGTGACACCTGGTACCAGGCATACCATACAAAGGTGCATAGTACAGTTAGTCATCGATGACCGCACAGATTGTTGAAAAAGCGGGGGTTTGGTGATTTTAAGAGTTCTCAATATCTGCCATCCATACCATACATTTGTCATACAGCCAGATATCTAAACTCTTCGTTTCCTATACTAACTAGCAATATTTGAGTATTGAATAAGTAGTTGGAAGGTTCAGATCAAGCGTTTGCTTTTGCTTTTGCTTTTGCTTTGTTAAGCAATCTCGTAGCAACTATGGCCTCGGTATCATGACTTCTGCGGCATCGCTGTTCTAACATGAGGAAAGAGTCGTCGGATTTCTTCCCATGTGATATGTTAACCTGTCGGAAACTTGTAGTAGACGTAAATGAAGACCCCTTCTCTTTCTAGTGCTCTGTTTGACCATGAGTCCTCAGCCGTATGCGTGTAGTCAGTTGCACTAGCCTATATATCGTGAGAAATGCATTGTTTTTGTTAACACAGATGAATGGAAAATCTTTCGTGTTCTAAGATCATCTTCAAGTTTGTCGAATGTATCGGATCTAGATACATTCCATAGCTAGGATGGTATGTATGGTCACTCCAATCGAATAGTATATGCATCAAATTCGGCTTACGTGCCGATTCTTCGCCTATTGTTTTTCCTCGTAAGGGGTATACCGAGGTGGCCTTCGCTCTTTTGCATTTTTCGCGGCTCGACAGTTGCCTCGTTACTTGATGGATTTATCGATCACCTTTCTAGGTATTGCGACAGATGTTATCAAGATGTTGATATTTCACTTAACGCATACAACGAACTGGCTAGTGACCATATTAGCAATATGGTAGCCATGGTTTTGCGTGGTTCTCCTGCATCATGTATAAACCTAAAGTAATAATGAAGCCTTCATCGAATCATTGATCCCCACTAAACCGAGGCGAAACAATCAACATAAAGATTTCCTATCTCAAGACCTTTTTTTCCCGAGAGTCGAAAACATTGCTGATCGTCGCTGTGGGGAAAGACCTCATCGCTGTCCATTCTCAAGGTCTTGCTCTGGCTGGCGTCTTATCAGACGATTGAATCTACGCTCTATACTGTCCTCCAGCTATATATTTTGTTAATAACGGACAGAGTTTTAAGGGAGTTTGGACTAACATCACTATTGTGCTTGAAAATCAACCATACGGCCAGCGTCAGCAACGTAGTAGCCACGGCAAAAAGGATATAAAACCACCAAGGTGGGTTGGACGCCAAGATATCGATGTTCATACCAAAAAGACTCTGTATCCACGTTAGACATTTGTCTTACACAGCGACACATAAACTGAGATCTATACCGCGATGAACATCAGTGGGAGAAAAACAAACTGGAAACAAAACTCGTCAGCAACTGGTGCGGTCGACAGTACTTTCGACCTACCGTAATCCAACTAAGGCGCTTCATGCTCTTGTTTGTCGATGCTGACTTCTGTGCTTCTGAGATTGATGTAAGATTGAACTCCTGTCACAAGTTAGTCGATATAATTCTTAGAGCTGGAATGGATTATTGATACTAATTGAATAAGATCCTTGGAAGTTTCCATAAGAGCTTTCAACCCTTCTGAATAAACCTCTTCTAGTCTGTTGATTTGATCTTGAAATATCACCATCGCTTTATTTTCTTCTTCACTTCCTGTAGATTCGTTGTCACGGAGGACAACCCATGACTGACTCTCGTACTTGTTCCGAAATGCCATGAGCTCGGCAATTTGTTTATTGCAGCTCCTTCGTAGCAGATCCCACAGTTGGGCATCGCCCAGTAGGTCTCGAATTAAGCGCGGGTTTCTTCCATTCGCTCTTAGCAACTCCGTACGCTGTTTAATGGTTAATGGGAGCCTTATCGCGAACGAAATTTCTCTCACTTTTATTGCCAAGCGACTTTCTGCCGCCTGAAAGGTACGGTCCCACTCTTGTAGGAGTTGCTGAACCAGGGGAGCGAAAAGATCAGCGGCGCGAGAGGGCACTTGTGCATATTCGGAGGTGCTGAAATATATTTTAGATTCTAGAGCACTCTCCGAGGCCGTTATATCCTGACGCTTAGTCATCATCCATAGGATACCATAAGTCTTTTCGAGCCCCCGTATATCCAAATCGGAGGTATCAGACAATCTAGGCCAGTTATAGTTAGAGGGGATAGGCAGTGCAATTGCACGAGTAGTGAAGCGGCATTCAACAAAGCCTTCACGTATTAATATAGGAGTCGCTCAAATATGGACTATATCAAAAGAAGACACTTACAATCTTTTTTTGGAACTTGAGTCAAAGTAGCTCGACTAGGTACTTTACTAGGCTGGACTCTCCATAATAGACCTGCCTCTTTCATTCGTTGACCAGTAAGAAGCTCAGCTGGGGACTGTTGTTGCACTCTACGCCACCAACGATAGTAGAAACCAGTCGAGGAATGCAAAAAGGGAAATCCATCTGCAAGGATACTACCTCGGAGGAGTATAAGCCCTGGATTGTCAACAATAGATTAAGGGTACGTACAAAATACGCCTGGAGCCACTGTTTACTCCCATAAAATCATCAGTCCTTGCAGCAAATTCCTTAACCTCCTGAGAAAGAGGATAGCCCCTGCTCGTAATGTCGCTTTCCGACGTCTTCCTAATAGTCGTGGTGTTGGCAATGGTCATTTCAAGGTGGCCAGGAGAACCGGGCAAGAGGGTCCTCCACGTGGAAGCCTTCACGAAGCTGTGACTGTCAGTGCTTCTTAAAAGAAGTAGTAGCGCAATTCGATAGTCCCCCCTTTGAGCCGCAAGTTCAAGTGGATTTAAATCGCTGAAATCTCTTATGTTGGTAAGAGCACCTTGTTTGAGAAGTTGAGCGACAGCGGATATAGAGCCTGCCTCTACCGCAAGATGTAGCGGCGTCCGCCCCTCGCTACCATCCCGCGAGTTGATGTCTGCGCCTTTATCAAGAAGTAGTTTCACGGTTTCGGAGCTCCCACTCCATGCAGCGGCCTGCAGAGCATTTCCGTACTCGCCTCCTTGAGCATTGACATCTGCGCCTTCCTCAAGAAGTAGTTCCACGATTTCGGGGCGCTTCTGCCATGCGGCAGCGGCGGCCTGGAGAGTATTTCCATACCTACCACCTTGAGCGTTGACGTCTGCGCCTTTCTCAAGAAATAATTTCACGAAATTAGGGTACCCTTCCGATGCGGCGGCCTGGAGAGCATTTCCATATTTTCCTCCTTGAGCATTGACGTCTGCGCCTTCTTCAAGAAGTAATTCCACGATTTTAGGGTTCCCCGTTGATACGGCGGCCTGGAGGGCATTCCCGTACTCGCCTGCTTGAGCGTTGATGTCCGCGCCTTTCCTAAGAAGTAGTTTCACGGTTTCGAGGTTCCCCTTCGATACAGCAGCCTGGAGAGCATTTCCGTATTCCCCTCCTTGAGCATTGACGTCTGCGCCTTTTTCAAGAAGTAGTTTCACGATTTCGGGGCGCTGCTTCCATGCGGCAGCGGCGGCCTGGAGGGTAGTTCCATACCTACCACCTTGAGCGTTGACGTCTGCGCCTTTCTCAAGAAATAATTTCACGAAATTAAGGTACCCTTCCGATGCGGCGGCCTGGAGAGCATTGCCATATTTTCCTCCTTGAGCATTGACGTCTGCGCCTTCTTCGAGAAGTAATTTCACGATTTTGGGGTTCCCCTGCCATACTGCGGCCTGGAGGGCATTTCCGTACTCGCCTCCTTGAGCATTAACGTCTGCACCTTTCTCAAGAAGTAGTTTCACGATTTCGGGGCGCTGCTTCCATGCGGCAGCGGCGGCCTGGAGGGTAGTTCCATACCTACCACCTTGAGCGTTGACATCCGCGCCTTTCTCAAGAAATAGTAGCACTTCGTCTTCCTTCCCTGCAGTTGCAGCCTTATAGAGGTCCATTGACCACAGCCAGTTTTGCCAATCGTTCTTGGGGCGAGCCATGCGTTATGGTGATATCGAAAGGGGCAATGTGAGGGTTCTTATCGAGAATCTGGATGGTAAATGTAATTCTAGTATTGTGGATATACCGTAAGAACCAGTATGGCCGGAACCGATCGAAAAGGAGACAGCTTGATGGTCTCGTATATCTACCTATGACGGGTACAAGTAGACCTCCCAGGGGGTAGCTATAAGGAGATTGTCGGTGATAAGTGAAGCTTTCCCAGCGGTGATGTGAGCTTTTAGCAGATCAACTTATGCCATGCACGAGGAAGGTGGCTGTGTGCAGATATAAGGAGCTGAGTGCCTCGTGTAAAATATTTCCATCCAATAATCATCAGACTAATTTTAGTTCAGGAGGTCAGAGCGGCGCTTACTCTCTATTAGTACTTAGTTATCTATCTCACCTAGCGACCTTATTATCCCAAGGGCAAATTATCTGGGAGGGCAGGTGTTGATTTGATAGGATGAAAATCCTGGTGAAAGTTCAGGCGGTCGCCAAACGGGCTACTTTGTCCAAAGAGCTTTATATAATTAATTTCCCATAGCAAAATCCCCACAGCTCAAGAAATAGGATTCGGTCACATTCTGGTTCGCCTCATGGCAGGTATAGGGCAGGACTAGGTGCCATTGAAGCAGGACACCTTGCCAGATCCTCGAAACTTGCTATTACTGTTTGAGCTGTGCGCACTCCCATCGAAAATTAAAACTCATGGTCAAACATTTTCATCAGGAACGATCATTTACCGGCACAACGATCGAGGTGTCGTTTAATCTTACCTTTCTTTTACCGGGGGTCTTCCCTCCTACTAACTTCAACTTACCCTTCAGGGTTATTGGTCAGTATGCACTCGGAGCGAGAGTTACCGGCCGCACATAAACCACACGCAAAGTTAGTAGTAGTAGTAGTAGTAGTCGGTTCCCACTGGCGGATTTATATTCTATGAAACATTTGGTTCTCCTTGGCGGCCCTTCTTTATTTTCATTTGAATTCTAGGAGGGCGTGTCAACCGGTAGTAGCTAGTACCAAAGAGTTGTGAGAAAAAAAAATCAGCATGGGAGGGAAGGACACGTCAGCTGCTCAGGGGCGTGCAGGATATTCAGGTGTAGAATAGTGGTGTTTAGGGCATTTAGGTGAAATGGGCTGAAGGGATTGAAGAGTAGGGCGGCAAGAGGAACGTTATAAAGTACAAAAAATAAGATAAAAAACAAAAACATACAACAGCGAGGATTCGCTGGTGGTCACCCACCCAACTACTAACTCACCGGCGTGTGGCTTAAGTACGGCTGAGCGGACGGGAAGCCCTGTTTTCCACACCCTATGGTCGTATGTGTCGTCTTAAACGTTAGAGAACATAACCTAAGCATCCAGTGTAATAATAAGCGGGTTGAGGCTTGAAAGGTCGTAATACAGCAATTACAGAGGCCGATTTGTCAGTGCCAAGATGGGCTGGGTTGAGCTTTGGACGTCGGGCCCATTTATGGGCTTTGCGGAGGTCTAGCCTCAAGCCATTAATGCTAAAGGTACCAGGGAGCGAATCACCCTGCTCATTTGACAGCAGTTTCCATCGCTGAAAGAAAAAGGAATCCCATGTTTTTATATTAGTCATGAACCTCTAAGGGCATTAGATTTGGAGGCTGGGAACCAAGCGCAGAAAGTTAACTGTCACTGCCAGTGAGTCTCATCTTGTGTTTGACCGGCTTGACCAGTGTCCTGATGACGACGGGGTGGGCTTGGCACGATTATCATTAGACCTTTTCGCCTTCTAAAATTTCACCATGCAATATAAGAATCTCCAACAAGGCAGTTTGCTTCGCCTTGTAGGGTTGCACCGTGCAATATACCGAGAATCTTCAACAAGGTGGTCCAAATCGCAGCAGAATTTCGCAAGGATATATATAGACTTGAGTGCGGCTCGGGGTTTGCGGCGATAAGCAATCGGCACCGGGTGAATTAGTGACTCCGCCGATCACCTCAAAGCTGACCTTCTCTCTGTTCATTAAAGATACCAAATACAACAAATATGGTGTCGCTCGAAACTGTAAAAAACAGCAACTCTGCTATCAAGGAGTATGGCCCCAACCTGGTGGCTGTTTTCGGTAGGACTCGTCATCCCTAGCAAGGGACGATCATTGACGTCGCTCTAGTTGGTGGCACCAGTGGAATCGGTGAAAGTACCGCCCGTGCTTTTGTGAAATATGCTGTTTCTCCGCGCGTGTATCTCGTCGGACGGAGCGAGACTCGAGCTTCCCAGATTATCGAGGATCTCCGCGCTTTGAATCCAGAGGGACAAATCAATTTCATCAAGGGCGATGTTTCGCGTCTGCAAGAAGTAGACCAGGCATGCAAAGAAATTCAAGCTAAGGAGGACAAGATTAACCTGTTGGTTCTGAGTGCTGGCATTTTGACCACCAAGGGGCGTGATGGTATGTTTTTTTTTTCTTTTTTTTTTTCCGGCCACTGATCAACTTCTCTAATGAATAAATCCCAGAGACCGATGAAGGATTGGATAAGAAATTCAGTCTCCATTACTACTCTCGCATGCGTTTCTTGTACAATCTGCTCCCTCAATTAACAAATGCCGCTCAAGGCGCAGGCTCCGGCCAGCGCAGTCTATCAAGTGTCCTTTCTGTTCTCGATGGCCGCGGAAATGCACCCCTGATTATGAACGATCTGTCCTTGAAGAACAACTACTCTCTACGGAACTGCGCCAATCATGCAATTACCATGACATCGCTGTCAATGGAAGAGCTTGCCTCATCGCATCCATCAATCTCCTTTGTTCACGCATATCCAGGCATTGTGAAGACAAGTCTACTGCGTGATAATGGATTTTTGATCAAGACTGCTTTGAGCGCATTATTCCTTTTGTTCTCCCCGATGACTGTTGGGTTGGAAGAGAGTGGCGAGAGACATGTCTACGTGGGAACCAGCCCGAGTTTCACCCCGAGAGGATTTAAGGGAGGCAATGATACTGCGATTGGCTCGGATGGTGTTCAGGGGTCTGGTTCTTACTTGGTTGGTGCTGATTCGGCCACCGTGAGTAACCAGAAGGTCTTGGAAGGCTACCGTGCGGATGGAACGAGGGCATCAGTTTGGAAGCATACCCTCGATATTTTCAAGGGTATCCGTGGGGCTTAGGTGCAAACTTTCGGGTTTGAGGTTTGGAAAGTGTAAATAGGATAACTTTACTCTTGGCATTTAATGATTAATACACTTGATACCACGAGGCCTGCTTTGGTTCAAATTGAATGAAGGAGACAGCTAAGGTACATGTTCATGTAGTGTCTTGTATCATTGATATAGGGCGTCGTCTCTATTAGGCAAGCCAAGGGGAAAGCTTCTCGCAGCGCCCGTCAAACATGATCACAAACACCAGCCTCTTTCGTCTCTATCAAACCGCCAACCGTGCAGCCTTCAGATGTTCCCTAGTCTCTCAGTATAGGAGGATGCATGCCACCCTAAAGTACTGTCGTAGTTCCTTGCATTGACTGAGATATCATAGTATGAGCCAGATTCTGTGGAATACCGACGTGCATGCTTTTGCCGGGGGTGAAGGGGGGGAGGGGTAAGAGCTGGGGGTTTCCCTTTACATTCTGGCCGACCACCTTTCCATCTCTCATAGACCTTGATAACACATGTCACTGGCATTTGCTTAAGTAAACAGGGGAACACATCATCAAGGGCGGGCTTTTTTCATGTGAAGCATTCTTTTTGAATCACTTGTTCGGAGCTTCCTAGGGGTTATTTTGCGTAAGGTATATAGGCATTGATTAGGCAACGTCTGACAACCCGATAGGCCTATGTATTAGAGGAGATGCCAACAAACCACCTAAATATCTATAGTAAGATATATATAATATATATAGTAAGGATCTGTAGTGACTTAGAGATATCTCAAGTGATTATAAGTGGACATGTACTTCGTACCTCGTAAAGTACACAGCCCTGCAGATCGCTAATCGCCCCACTATCCAACGCGTGGCCTGTCTCCAAGGTAAATTTGGAAGTGAGATGACAGTTTTTCTTTCTTTTTTTATCACTTCTCATTGTGCATTGCTTTGAATTCACATTTATTTTGATGTTTTGATATTTTGCATTCACTTGTTTAGCCCGGCGTGATTGTTTTGTTGCCTTTCAGGGAATACGACACCCTACGTATCAATTAGGCACCCGCCCTTCAAGATGCACGAGGATTATTACCCCACAGATCAATACTCCAAATGGGACCCACGGGGATGGTCCTTGATGAAGAAGATTCTTCTAGCGGCCGGCATTATCGCGGTGATTGTGGCCGTTGTCGTTGGTGCAGTTCTAGGAGTGCGCGCCAATCGGTACCCCAATTACTCGAAACTAGACTACAGCTTGAAAGACGAGTTCTCGGGATCGTCCTTTTTCGACAACTTTGAATATTTTACCGACACAGACCCAACCCATGGATTTGTTCAGTACGACTCCTACATGTCAACCCCCCGGCTAAGCAAATCGGCTAATGTGTAATCCAGGTATATAGATCGAGCTGCAGCTACATGGCTTAATCTGACCTCCGCCTCGGATACCTCCGCAGTGCTTAAGGTGGACACGACGTACAGTGGATCGGAGGCTGCTAACGGGCGCCAATCTGTGCGGGTCACATCCAACAATACATATGCTGATGGGCTTTTCATCTTTGACATTATTCACACCCCGTACGGGTGTGGTACATGGCCAGCCCTGTGGCTGACAGACCCCAGCAACTGGCCCGAGCACGGAGAAATTGATGTTGTGGAAGCGACCAATGCTGGAACCTTTGGCACTCAAGCGACACTTCACACATCGGAAGGCTGCACCATGGGCGTTAAACGAAAGGAAAGTGGCTCTGTGGACAACAAGGACTGTTACTACGAGGCGAATGACTATAAGGGTTGCGGCGTGAAGGGTACTGCGAGTACTTACGGTCCTGAGTTTAATAGCAACGGCGGCGGAGTAAGTGACGGTGTCCCCAACTGTTCAAAGCAATTTGTTAATAATCACCCCATTTAGGTCTATGCGATGGAACTCCGCGACGCCGGTATTCGCGTATGGCAATGGGTCCGCTCCAAGATCCCCTCCGATATCACCTCGGGGAGTCCCGACCCATCCACCTGGGGAAAAGCATTGGCAGACTTCCCCAGCACGGATTGTGACATCGGTTCTCATTTCAAGAACCAGAGTATCATTATTAATATCTCTTTGTGTGGTGATTGGGCTGGTGCGAGCAAGTACTATACTACACAGAGTAGCTGTCCTGGCAACTGCACGACATTTGTGCGGGATAACGCGACTAGTTTCGAGACCGCGTACTGGGAATTCGGCAGCTTCAAGGTCTATCAGACTTCGTGATACGTTGACTTATTAAGCGCATTTCTCTTTTTAATGTGTCCCTGAATTGATGTATGCGGTGTATGGATCATTGCCGAGGCGTTTGGTTTATGAATTTTATTTGAAAAGGGTAGAAGCCTTTGGAGCAGGCTGTGCAATTATGCAGGCTTGCATGTTGTTATATAGATAATGAATAGATACTCCCATTCTATGTCATTGATAATTGGCGATCGTAGGATATTGATTATATTTGTCTGCAAGACAACCGTTCTATGTATTCCCTCGCGTTTTTGGAGTTCCCCAGAAACCCGCATGTTGACTGGGGAACTATTGCACCTTGCCTCTGGAGTCGACCGGCCAGATTTCTTCAATTACACCCCCTCGGTGGGCGTAATAGAAATCATGCAAGTTGACTGTAGGGTCAATGTGACTCGGTACCATCTCAACGCGATCCCCAACCGAAAGCGGTGGGGTACCCTCCTCCCAACTGAGTGAGCCATGCTCATCACCAAGGACACCATAACTGTATCTGGGGTCCTTGCATTCTGCCAGGCCACTATCGGTGGTCAATGATTTCAATCCGCTGTCGATTGTGACCGACCGAGGACCTTGTTTGCTCAGAACAGTTGACAGAATGGTAAGACTATTGGAATAGAATGTACCGACAGCATTACGGTAATCCGTATCCATAAAGATAAACGATCCCGGCTGGAGCTCAGTTACACCCGGTACGGTGGCACAGAACTCGGCCGTTCCAGTTCCACCAGTAGTGACCACCTCGATGTTGAAGCCTGCCTTCCGCAGCACGTCCGCAGTGGTCGTCAGAGTCTCCATAGACTGCAGGCATTGGCTCTTGCGATCTTCCTTATCATGTAAATGTTGCAAATGGCCCTCATAGCCGTGGAGCCCGATCAGTTTCAGATGCTTCAGACCCTGTATATGTTTTGCTAGGGCCATGGCCGGGTCACCTGGTAGTACACCGGTGCGATGGAGCCCGACATCGAGGTCAATCAAAACTGAGATTGGTTCATCGATACCGGCTTTCGCCAAAGCCTTATCAATAGCCGTTGCACCAGCTTCGCTATCAACAACTATCCTGATTTTGCGATGTTTGCGGTACAGTTCCACTAGCCGTTGTACCTTTGCGGGGCCGATAATCTCGCAGGTGATGAACAAGTCGTCGAATCCAGCCGCAGCAATGACTTCAGCCTCGCTCACTTTGGCCACGCAGCCTCCCTTCGCGCCCGCTTTGACCATCTTGTCGGCTAGGATCGCGCTTTTTGTGGTTTTCAGATGGGGACGGATGTCGAGGCCAGTTGGTAACAGCTTGTCCATCAGTTTCTTGATGTTGGCCTCGACGAGATCGAGGTCTGCGATCATGGATGGCGTGTCGAGGGTATCGACCCTATCGCCGACTTTGGGGGAATACATGTTGAATTTGAAGTCGCGGGACTGAATGAGGCTCAATGCTGGTTCGGTGCTGGTGATGGTCAATGTCTGGGTTTAATCTTGAGAGATTGTGGAGGACGACAGGGGTGTTGCAATTTATAAGGTGACGAGAGGATGCAAGGGGTAGAGATGTGCCCCCGCACTAAATATTCCCTATCAACGGAGTGGGGGGTTTATCATTCGACCCGTGCGGGGCACGATGTTGCATTTCGAAAACAGTGTAGCATTTTTCACGAGAATGTCTAGGTAGTATTGGAGTATCTTATATGGTAGTCGAAATCCACCTGGGGCTGGTGTATGCACCGCTTCCATCACCTTTGCGGATGGCTCGCGATTCAGGGCTGTAACCCAGGCAGCATCTGTACAAAGGTAGGAAAAAGAAGAGTAACGTTGGAGGTTTGGTGGGAAGAAGTCTCATGGGAAGAAAACAAACAAGTGTCATATTAGTTGCAAGGTAGATAAACTCTCAGGTCATGACTCCTTCTTACTCCATCTCCATTCAGCGCCTCGCTGTCGCAGTTTCAATCGCCCATGCTCCATGCTGCTAACCCCCATCCAGGCCACGAATCCAAATTATCCAAAACGATTTAGTTTAACAAGAAGCCCTATCATGGATAGAAATGCCAATGTTGTCACGTTTGTAAAAGTTCAGTTTGGTCATGTACTGTATTCATTGTGACTCAACAAGGTAATGGCTTGAGCGACGGCTGATCAAAGTCAGTAGCGTTGACTGCAAAAGTCAGTATGGAGTTATCGTACGCCACCACTCGAATAGCCACATACCAATTGATATCATCATGAACCCAAACTCATCGGCTTCTCCCAACCACCTTTCCGCGCGCGAATCCATGACGATGCCTGGTCTGATTTTAGCAAATTCGGCTTGCAGATAACCCCTGCCACTCCACCGCGATAGCCAATGGATATAACGAGTGTTCCATTCATGTTCTGTCTGCGCCTGCCAAAGCACCTTTGCCGCTGGCGCAGGCATGAACCCGAGGTCCCTGCAGTCGAAACCTGGGACCTTATGCAACACAGAGTTTGCCCAGTGGAGTAGATACAAAGCAAGGATAGCACGGCGCTTTGATGTTACTTGTATCCAGGCTTCCCAGGATGGTCTCATCTGTGTTCTTTCTTCTGGTAGGAAAAGACCTCCGTGGACAACATGGTAGACCAGCAGCTCCACTTTGCGAAAGATAAGTTTGTGGTCGATCAAGGGAATCGGTGAACTTGCTGATGGAGAGAGTAAAATAATTGTGTATATGACCACCGCTTGTAAGGCTGCTAGCAGGGTTGTCTCGTCGAGTTGGTCGGACTACGACCCCGTTTCGGGTTAGTAAGAACGACGAAGAAAAGAGAAAGAAATAAACTGACCTGATCTGTGATGCTGTCTAGTTCTTTTAAAATTGTTTTCCGCACCATGTCTTCTGCGCCTTCACATTGTCCATGCCACATTTTGCTCAAGGTTATACAGTTCGCTAGTGGCGATGGTAGTGTTTTATTTGGTGCAATGTGGGTAGAGTGGAACAAAGGAGGAAGTTGAAACTCTTCGGCGAGCATTTTTGGCCAAGTACGAAGAGCTCGGAAGATAAGCTCCATGCTATGATTCGCTAGGGCTATTGAATTTGTATCCGCCGGCGAACCCGATAGAGGATTCGGGGGTGGGGTAGCTCGGGTTAGCTCTGGTGTTTCAAATCCACTGCTGGTATTCAAAGAGAATAGCTCTGTGTTGGCTGCCTGTGGAGAACGTAAAGCAAGACTCGTGGGCTGTGTCGGATCCCAAGAACCTGGACCCGAGAAAAAGGAATCGAATAAATTAGGATCGAAGATTGATTGTAACTCATATGGCTGGGTTATGAGTGAAGTTTCTTGTAACGAAATGCTTGGGGCATCATTATTGACTCTGAAATCGTCATTCTCGACTTCCAGGGTGTCAGTTGCATCTGCGCTGGTATATTGACAAGGTATGCTCCGCACAGAACACCGAGAGCAACTAGGACGTTTCAGGCTACACCTGGCTTTATCTGCGACACACTGATCACATGACTTGCGTCTCAGAGTTTGTGGTTGAGATTTATTGCAGTTGTTCTTTAGGTGACGGATAAGCGACGATCCTGTAGGGGTGTCAGTTCCGGGGTCAAACGAGGAAGTATCCAAACGTACGATGGCTGAACTGAGTGGCACAGAACGGACAGTCGGAGTTTTTCTCAGTGGATTTCATTTTGATTGCGGAGCTTGCTCTTGGAGCAAAGGAGGTGGGCATTGAATGAAATGAAGTTCAATTTAACTCGGAACTCCGGGTTGAGTGGGGTCCGATATCCGATATAACTAAGGTTTAGAAGTGACATATAAGTCCATGCACCCACGCAAGTAAACCCTAGGTGAACTCTCAGTGAGTTATCAGTCAATCTTGAAGAAAATGACAATCAATCATATTTTCTTTTGGGGCTCTGCTGCCAAGTATGCCCCACTGCGGTCATTTTATCGTGCCATTCTGCAGCCGATCGGGTATACCGAGATGATTCGTGTAAAAAACGACGCTCTCATCGGCTACGGCAGTGACTATCCTTATTTCTGGCTCAAAAGGCTGCCCGAAGACAAAGAACCTCTGCCAACTCACATCGCATTTGATGCCCCAAGTGAGCATGTCCAACATTGAACTTCTGAAGACTTGCTAATCTTCGCAAATCAGGCCGCGAAGCTGTGGATCAATTCTACCAGCTGGCGTTGTAAGTCGGACCCACCACTTGAATATCACAGACTAGTTGCATTGTATATCGCCAGAGGCTAACCCTATTTCAGGCAACATGGCGGTCGAGACAATGGAGGGCCAGGGATCAGGAAAGAAATGAGTCGGCAGCCGTACTACTCAGCTTTTGTAATTGATTTGGACGGGAACAACGTGGAGGCTGTGTATCTTCCAAAGTAAATGCTTGCGCATCAAACTTTCCACAATGGTAAAAATATATATTCATATACTCTTATCGTCATGCCACGTTAAAAGCATAGCCCATCACCTAGTTGAATACTGCATATCTTAGTACTCGGGGTGGTTAATAACATAACACGGAGTGCACAATTTAATCTTTATTCAATAATTCGCAACAATAAAAACTTAAGCACTAAGTGGTTCATTTTCTATTTATTGTACCCCTTGTTCTGTCTGCACTTAAAGATCCTCGATATAACCCATTATACCACTTTAGGATAACTTTAATGATCTGGCTTCAAGATACAAATACTGCGAAAGAAGCTGTCTCACAGTCTCCTCAAAACCAGTAAATTGCCACCCAAAATGTTTCCTCAGTCTGCCAGGCATTCAGCCTCCATTTTATTGCCGCCAAAGACCCTTCGAGCGGGAGCCTTTTACTCGCCACGTCTTCCGGAAAGGACTTCCTACAGACGTCTTGAACATCCCTATCCAAGATTACTCCATTTGGCGTATCTGAAGAGAGAATATACTCAGAGTTTCCAGGGACCAAACATCGTCTACCGAATCGACATGTGCGCGCGCAACATCGGCAACATGAACTGGCGTTCCAACATAGGGGAATGAAGAGTTGAGCGAGGAAGTCAGCGCGGGGGCAAGAACTGCTGCCCACGTCCCCTGGAGGAGGCTGTCGACCGTTGCGGTTGGATCTGCGTCCAGGCGGGCGTCCGATCCAATTACCACCGAAGGCAAGAGATTGACAAAATCGAATTTCGGACGCGCGTGGTTAACAAACGCTTTTGTTGCAACCCTTGCAAGAGCTTTGGATGCCCAATAAGCTTCCAGTGCAGTCGAGGAACGACCAGTAACACTGGTATTCACATCCTCCGCTGAAAAATCGAAAATAATTATAAGTTGACATGTAGCTATGAATGGATGGTGTAGAAGACTGACCTATATACAATCGCTGGCTGTCAGGGTTGATATTCCATACAAATGGAATTAAGGTGACACCTGTGGAAAAATTTAGCTCCTGGGTCAAAATGAGGGCGAGGAATTGCATACATGAAGATGTTAAGATTACGCGGCGAATTGATGTCACGCGAGTGGCTGCTTCCAAAACGGTAGTCACCATAGAGATGGCTGGCTTCACAATTCCAACATCATAATCATCGGTCTGTCGAAAGGTGTGTAAGCTGCAAGAAACTCCCGGCCCGTAACGTATGCATTACCTCAATTGCTAACGGTGATGCAAGGTGAATGATGACAGGTATTCCCTCGAGAGACTTGAAAATTGCATCTGTTTCAAGAAATTGTGGAATAACAACGAACCTGAGTTGCTCTTGATCAAGACTCTGTGCGATGATCGTACTCTTTTCTTTCAGTTCACTGATATTGCGCTCGCTTCGGACGACAGCGCGAACGCGATATCCTCTTGCCAGGGCAATTGTGATCGTCTTGAACCCAATATAACTAGTGACACCTGTGATCTATTTTCGTGTGTGAGAAGTCTGTTTGGGACAGTATGCCAATGATTGCTTACCAACAGATGCTCGGAGCTAATATCATGGGCTTTGCGTGACATAGTGAAAGATATACCATTTAGTAGATCTATGGTTGAATCAGATGATATGGTCGTTCCAGTTGTATGTAAACAGACCTGAAATAGACCATGCGGTAGTAACCAAGTCCTCGCTATGCACTTACCGGTACTCGGAGTTTCGGGTTGTCAGGTATTCTAGGTAGACTCCGAGTTGAGAGAAGATAAGAACCACGATATTTGAAAGCCAAATTAGACTATTGATTAAGCGAAATACCAAACAAAGCAAAGAAGAAAATGGTAAAATGGATGGGAAATAAATTGTATTAGAAAACAACTTTGGAATTGAATAAGCCGTTGTTAGTTAACTATTTGACGAGGAGCCTGACAATCAAGGCTAAGAATGGGATTTTAGGCTTTTGAGTAAGCTTATCTGATGGGTAACTTGGCATAGAAAGGGAAGGTGCAACTGGAAATTCTATGGAAACTAACCTTCCGTATGCACAGTGGACCGAAAACAGAAATGAAAGCTCGATGCCTAAGGAACAAATACAGACAACACAAACGTAAGTACCCAGTAACTTCGAGGCTTCCTTTACAACAACCCAACTTCAATCTTGATTCCAGCATCTTTCAACCCATCCACATATTTCATCCCCAAAAATGATGGTGTGACCACTCCCCCATGTCCATGAGCGTCCTTTCCCGCCTTGTCGGCATTAATCTTGTGATCAAGCAGTACTCTCGCTCCGACACAGGTAACAAGCGCAGTGAGCTCATACAACGCCCCTTCCCGTGCAAAGGATGCCCAAACTCTAGGTTTCGCCCCTCCACTCTCGCTTCCAACAGCATGGAACTCTGCCCGCTCCACATGTCGCAGCTGGTTTATGTCAGGAGCCGAATCCATGCCTGCTGCGAGTTTTCGCGTGACCCAACGGATGAAAGGAATGGATAAGAGAACGAGAAAAGCTTTGGTGAGGAAATGCACAGAAATAGCGGATAGTACACCATTCGCTGGGAGATACTCTTCAAAGTAAAAGTCGGGTCCGTAAAGATCGGGTTTATAAGAGGCACTGCGGTAAACAACGGCCTGGTTTCCTGGGCCTGTGAAGGATGTCGCCAGAGAACCCAGCTCTTGTGTGTGTCGATAACCAAGCATACGTGCGGCCCAGGGTGCCTTCTGTAGTTTTCGGTGAAGTGGGGGAGACAATATCGACGAGTCACCAAATAGGTACCAACCAGAGCCATATGTCTCGAACGTGTCAAGGACGGTGTTCAGAGAGCCAGCGCTCATGGCCTTGATACTGGGAATGACGAATCAGCCAACTTCCCAAGGAGACTAGGGGATGATCATACTCAAGCTTTCCGGAACTAATGATCACACCTGTTCCGGTAGAGTAGGCCTCTTGGGTTTTGCTTGCAATTAGCCATGCCATAATATCCGATGGGGTTGATGTCGACAAGCCGGGTATCAGCTGCCCAGTGTCAGCTCCGAGCTATTTTTGATCCATGGATATCATTTGCACTAACTAGTGACCCGCTCTGTCGAGCAACTTCGCCATAGCTTTCAATCACTTCATGAATCCACGGAATCTCCGTCGTACTTCCAATGGTGAGCTTGAGTAATCGTTGAAATAACGCAGAGGATGGCCTACAAGTCGACATAGTGCGTGCCGAGCGTAGCACATGCTGCCACAATTGGAGTGGAAAAACGATGGAATGGTCCGATCCCATTGATTACCACCCTTGTTCGCAGTACCAGAGGGTTGAGGCTTGAAGGATCGAGCTCTATGATCTCAATATCTTTGTGGATGTCAGATCCGATCGAGATCATACCAATCAACGGTGGTGTCATACCTGGCGGCACTCGATTTGGGAAGAGTTCTTTTAATTCATTTACCACAGCCTCTAGACGAGACAGTGACCTCCCTGCAATGCACCATTGGGTGGTTGAAGGATAATTTTGCGCGATGAAGTGTGCACACAGCTTTCCAGTAAACCCAGTTGCTCCGAAAAGGATGATGTCGTACATGATTTTGAATTCGTGAATAATTGGAATATATTCCGGAAGATACATTTACCTTCTTTAAATAGTAGATGCTTGTTCTGGTTCAACCGCCCCACAGCCGGAATTCCGAGTTGAGCTTCAACTCCCAACGTCCCAACGGAGTTCCTTGTATGATATTTCGATTCCGGTGTTTTTGGACTTAAATTGAACTCTCTTCCATGTGATAGAATTTAGTAGACGGTAATGCAAATAGCAGTACTTGTGCCTATTGAGTGCTCAGGCTTGCGTTACGATATCGGAGTAGATCAATATATACATATTGAAGAGAGGAACGCTCAAGGCAGTATGCCCTAAGGCGGGTCGATTCAGCACTCTTAGTTTGGCTTCATAATAAACTTTGCATGTAAAGGAACCCTTGTGCACTACCCAAGAAGTGGATTCAGAGAGGCGTAGGAGTGTGTATTCTCAATCTGTGTCTATCTACTTCTTGTAACCTCACAATCCAAGGCTTACATAACAATTTCATATAAATCCAAAATAGAAGAGAGCGCAATGCGTAGTGGAGAGCCTGTCTCCCCACTGCAATATGTACCGGATAATGGCTAGCCACCTACCTGCCCCGTCTGTGGGAGTAAGGAAGGTCCGGTGACAAAGTATGTTTGTAGGACCAGCACCAGGAATGGGTGGTTGGGCGTTTCGCACGGTTACTGATGCTGTCTGTTTGACCCATGTGTTGATAAAAGGTTGTAAAGATCCGCTGGGTGGCCCTCAGGAATCTTGCATAGCGTGTTACGACGCTTCAATTACAAATATACTCCAATTACCATGTGAAAACAGTGAAGGAACAGGCGGATGTTGTATAAGCCTGTCCGTGGGTCCACAATGCAGGCTTGGCTCGTCAAACAACCTTGTGTCAATTTGAAAACGTGCCAATTTATGCCAAGTCTAATTGTCTCCTAATTGTCCCGTGGGGGGGGGGGGGGGGGGGGTTACGCATGGTTATTACGCGGCTAGAAACCCCAGTATATATAGATCTATCTACAAGCTATGTAGAAGATCAACAGTCGATTCATCTTGCATCTCTGGCCTTGGCTCTCCCCTGATCATGCATTTTTCCAAGCTTTTGGCCGTGGCCAGTCTTGCAATTGTGGCCCTCGCCCATCCCGGGCTTCACGCTCACATTTTTAAAAAGGAAGTCGCTCGCCGAGATGGGCTTTCCAAACGCTGTGCCAACCACATTGCACGTTTAAATGACAAACGCTGGAAGCGGAATACTTTCGGTAAACGTTCCCGCGGTAACACCACCGTGCAGATCCAGACCGAAGCACCTTATTACGATGTCATCCAGAATGACAGGGGGACGCCGGGCTAATCCTCGGTCATATCCTGACGGAGGGCTTGGGAGCGCGGCCACAACTCAACATCACTGATTTCGAAATTGGTGTCACGGACCTCCGCACCGACGACACCACTTTCTTGCGTGGAATGTGGCTGACTGACGTCAACGGCGTGGTGGAAATGAAGACCATTTTCCCAGCTAAGCTCCACCCGCTGCATCACATGGGCTCACCCTTTGCATATAAACCTGGTATTAAATAAATTGCTTAATCTGGCTGTCACTAATACCTGACATTTTTGCACAGGATTTTACATTGGAAGAGCGATCCACATTCATGTGCAAGTTTACACCGACTGGACCATCTGTGGAAATGGCACCATCACCTACGGTAACACAGTCAGCACCGGTCAGGTATACTTTGAAGAGGAGCTTGAGGAAAGGATCATGGCTTTGGAGCCCTATGCCTCACATACAGAGATTAACCGCACCACCAATGCTGCCGGCAGCGTCTTTAGCGAAGACACTGCAAATGGTTACAACCCGATCATCTCTATCGTTCCTATTGACGGCAACGATATGACCAAAGGGTATGGTGGGATACATCGCTCTCGGGGTAGACACGACCGCAATCGAGTAAGGAGGATTCCTCAATTCTAAAACTGACATGGGGCATTTAGATGGCTTGGTGTGGGTACCCATGTGATGTTGCAATGTCTCAAGTCTAGATAGATAGATTGCTATATGTAGTTACTGCAGAAAGCCTGAGCCAATTGAAATACCCCATAAGCTGGAGCGCTGGAGCCAATGACAAGTGATCATAGTATATTGTCAACTATTATGCTAGAAATACTATTGTTGTATTTTTGAACTAGTATATATATTATGGGTGATATCAGGCGAGAAGTCGCATGATGCATGAGATCGGGACATTCCGGGGTCCTGGTATTTAATAAGTTTCCCCCACAACTTGTTTGTTCCCTCTCTTACCTATTCCGATCATAATCACCTCTCAATAATAACATCTTGCATATTTAGCCCGCAGGTTAAGCGCTATAATTACACCACCAGTGATAATAATCACCCATACTATATATAGCCGGCCCATTCTTTACCTTCAAAAAGGAACAATTGGATACCTAGGCCGCCCTAGCTCTTATAATACCAATCTTCAGACGATAATGTCAAAGGCAATACTCGACGAGGAAGCTGTGCTGAGGTTGAAGGAATTATCGACATGGGCATTCGCATGCATCCATATGGAGATTGAGATGAACAACTTTTTCAGATGCACAGACGAGAATCGTCACGCGAAAGTACAACCATTTTTGTCCAAAGTTGGGCTCAGCCGCCTAAACGTGAGTCGATACTCGAATGGAGTAGGATGTGCCTAACAGTTTGACAAAATATAGGGATTTGGGTACAAAATATGTCGAGTTACTGGGAAAATCACGCTTAAGAAGCCCCTTCGTTACCGGATCCTACTATTCCCGCTATCGATTGGAGCAGGAAGTTGCAGTATAGGCTCAGGGGAGGTGAGAACGAATATCGGGGTTCTTAAACCTGGATATTGGGCTGAAATAGCGACCGAGCTTGTTATTAACGCTCTTATGGATTGCCTCATCGTCATTTTACCGGAATCAGCGTTCCCAATGGCGCAGGCACAACGCCAATGCCGACAGATTCAGCACAATGTTAGATGTTAGACTAAATTGGATTGAAAAAATTAGAAAATTCTTACTAAAGCGGTATGCGGCAGTTCTGATTATATGGACTTTGGAGAAAACATGCATATTTGGCGTGAATCCTCTTGAAGCCGAACAAACGAATCACCCCAGGCATTTTTATGATGATGGTAATTTTGCAATACAGTATAAAACCCTTATCGATGAAACATTTCGAAAACCATTGTGCGAATTATTTAAGAAGTTTCGTATTGATACCGGTAATTAATACACCAATTCAGAAAATCAGAGTTTGAAGGTTATCGCGCGCAAAGCTTCTACGCACTTTAATCCCACCTTTCAGATTCAAGACAGGATCCAAAAGGATAATGGCAGATCGGAGCAATTTTCACGAGTTGTCTACCGAGCCATACGGTATTTTCTGGCAAGAAGACTTCATCGATGCCGAACACGAGCAACGACTGATCTCTGTCTTTACCAACGAGCTAGAATGGCCCGACCGCCCTGGCCGGATATCACTCCATTACGGCTACAGTTTCGACTATAAAACATTCGGGATAGATCCCGAGATTCCATACAAGGAATTCCCAGCATGGCTCAAGCCTCTCATCCCGACAACCGAGGACCGACCTCCAGACCAGGTCTGTCTGCAATACTATCCTCCAGGCGCGGGCATCCCACCCCATGTAGATGCACACAAACCGTATGACCAACTCTACGCGTTATCTCTTGGTGCGCCGGCGATGATGATATTCCGCCGGGGCGAGGAACGCATCGAGGTCGATTTGACCCCGCGAAGCATGATGAAAATGAGCGGTGACTCGAGGCTGCATTGGACGCATGGTATTAGGAAGCGGAAGAATGATACCCTCCCGGATGGGACGGTGAGGCCGCGCGGGAAGCGGTGGAGTATCACTTATCGATGGCTCAGGGATGGGGACTGTGAATGTGGGAATCTGGAGCTGTGTGACACGGCTCAGCGACGGAATGGCATTGAAAAAGAAAAGAGATCATTAAAGGCTTTGGCAGAGCAGGCTGCGCTTGAACAGCCGGTTGTATAGGTTGAATTGCGATGGTCTGATGCCTTGGCCTGTTTGTTATGTAAATAGTATCAAAGCGAAATATACCCGGGTGTGCGTCAGTATCGATGGCGTCTGGATCTGGCAAACATACTTTAAAGATATGCATATCTCTTCGTTTTGCAGGTTTCCATCGCTGCGTTGCGGATCTGGGATATTTCTGTAGTCGAAGCGGAAACGAGGCGCTGGTCATCTCCCTTCTACGAACTATACTCGTTCCTTGGCTTGGTAGGATGATGGAAATGGGTGTACGGTACTGGGATTGAAAGGGCAGGATACCACGGAGTTGGAAAATGAAAATAGTTGACTTCAGACATATGAAAACGAACCAAAAGGCCCTTAGCCTGGGGTAGGGCTTCGGATTTCATGATACACTCCTCAAGTAGGCTTCTGAAATAGGTCAATATTTACAGTCACTTGTTCCTATCCGTGTCTACTTACTGTGCAAGTTGCAAGTTGCCTGCCTCTGGTGAAGAACTGACACCTGATAAATCGAATTACAGACCTTAAGCCGACAACTGGAGCATCCCCCTCGAAAGCTTAAGGCCTTGGAGGCAAACTTCAATTGAGAGGGATCTTTCTTTGAAAAAGGAATCCACCGATTTGGTTCAGCGCCGAGAGCCAGACCTCCAAGATTTGAAGTGATTATCTCAGCTTCTAGTTCGAGTTTATTAAACAACGCAGCAGATTTATTCTTCGCATGCGTCAAATACAAGTACTTGACATCCTGACGAGGCGGAGTACATGGCCGCCATCGGGTCTCGACTTAGTTTCCAATTTCGTTCGATCCATCAGGGCCAGGGAGCTATGGCTTAATTGCGACTGAGAATATATGTAGCGGGATCAAATATCCGAGCCGACGGAGATATTTCCTCTCAGAAATGGAAAATTTTAACGAGTTAGCTCTGTATTCGGGATTCCATTAGTAGGTAGTACGAATGAACCTAGCAGACTCTATTTCGTCCACGGTTCCGAGTAAGAAATTTCACATAAAAATAAATGAAGCACTATCAATGGGAATATTAGTTCTCAGTCGAAAACAGGTACTTTCCCTGTTTTGTGGAACATCATTCGGCCAGCGACTACCTATTTGGGACACTTCAAAGCTTTTAAGTGTGCAAGGCTCCTTTGGAACATTTGGATTATCCCTCACCAATTCTCAACCGTGCTTTCTGCATCCATAGCAATTCCCCAACTTCTGCTCGACTCAGACTCCTTGAGCTATCTTAATCATGCTAGGTCTTCAGATTGTGGTAATTATTGGTGTGGTGATAGTCGTGGTTCTATCCGCATGGTATACAATGATGCACAACCAAAGCCACGAGCCTCCGTCGGTATCGAGCAACATCCCACTTGTGGGCCATCTGATGGGGCTCATCCAACATGGCCCAAAATATTTTAGCATATTATGGCGAGTTATCTATCTTATCATATGGACAATCTAAACTAACGCAGCATGCATATGCGGCAGTGAAAAACATCCAGAGCACTCAATATTTGCAGTCAACATATTCTCCTTCAAGCTGTTCGTGACATCCTCACCTGCCATCATGCGGGCTGTCCAAAAGCACCCTACAGTCATTACACTGGAACCGTTATTTAAGTTCACGCACAAGCGTATGTGTCAAACCCCACGGGAGAAACTCGTCCATTTGTGTGATCAAAGTCGTGGTCCCAGCCTACTTTCCAGAATCGTGCATGATACAACACCTGTCCTTGCTGGGAAATCCCTTGACAGAATGAACCGGCAAATGCTTCAACAGCTACTACCTCTCATTGACGACATGGGCAACTACGAAACTATTGATTTGAACGCATGGCTTCGGCATGCCATTACCATTGTTAGTACCAATGTTACATACGGTAATTTGAACCCATTTCAAAATCGGCACGTTGAAGACACATTCTGGTGAGTTTACCAGACCTATATTTGGCTATGAAATTTCTCAAATACCTGGACAGGGAACTCGAACGAAATGTGGCGCTACTACTGACCAACATTGTGCCATGGCTGATTGCCCCCAAAACCTGGAAGGCACGCAAGTGTTTGTGTGCTGCGTTCAAAGATTACTTCGATCTCACAGGTTATGAAGATGGCTCCGACCTCCTAGCCATGCGGTACAGATCATTCCTAAGGGCTGGACTTACTCACAAAGAAATAGCATATGCGGAGGTGCCCCTGATTGTAGGATTACTGACAAATACCGTTCCTGCGGCATTCTGGGTTCATTTTGAGCTTTTCTCGAGACCGAAGCTGCTCGAGGAGATACGGGGAGAGGTAGAGCAAAACGCCCTCGATATTGCTCCCGACGGCACACATATCATTGATTTGGGGTACCTTCGCGATGATTGCCCACTTCTTCTCTCAATGTACCAGGAGGTTTTACGGATCAGAACAACAATGGTAACGATCCGCTTCGTGACACAAGATGTTGTTTTGGCGGACAATTACTTTCTTAGATCCGGAGCCATGCTATTCATGCCGGCCAAACAATTAGGCCGACATCAGAGTGCTTGGGGGACTTCGGCTGATGAGTTTGACGGACGAAGATTTTTGAGATCCACTACAACAATCGATGATAATGGCGACAAAAAAAAGGGTCCCCGGCGTACTGGCGGGTTCATGGCATTCGGCGTCTCTCCAACAATCTGTCCTGGGCGCCACTTTTCTACAAGTGAGATCTTGGCACTAGTGGCCATGATCGCCCTGCGATATGACATTGCTCCAGTCGATCGGCTCTGGCATGCACCACTGAGGGTGAACTCGGCGACCACATCAAATATGGGTCCAGTTGAGGGGAGATTCCCCGTGACCGTGAAAAAGCGACAAAAGTACGAAGGGAAGCCGTGGCAATTCAAGACCACTGATGGCAAGGGGCAGTTTGGTTTGGCTGTGGGTTAAATTTGGGACTCAGGGCTTAACCCACTAAATACGAGGAGTGATGAGAGAGTTTCATGACGATGTATCGACTTGGGTAGGGGCCGGGTTGGACAACCAAGGTCACAACGCATGCAAGACAAAGGCTATGTACCGGAGTATTGTTGAGAGGTAATATCCGCATCCAACGTAGTCCAAACTGGGCTGAGACCTTCCTAGCGGATAGTCACAAGTAGGTAGTATATTGGCGTCACACTGAGCGATATAATATGGTGTCATTTTAGTTATGGTATCTATTATTCGTACTTCAGTGTTTCAGTCGTATTTTTGATTATGGTGAGTGCTAGACCATTTTGAAGTAGAATTCGAGTTGAACTATATTTGATCAATCTAGAATATCATCTTTTGCTCCCCGCAATCAACATTTATCTTACACTAGGGTTGAAATGTGGGAGAAACTCGCTGGGTCTAATGGCAATATGGAGATTTGTTAGGGAGGCTGCGATACGGTTCTTGCGTGCTTGTTGGACGCTCTAATGTGAACCTGTTGGAACAGTGACACTAGGACCATCACGGTTAAATGATGACTATGGTAAGTGGCGGGCTGTTAAGTACTGACTTACAATCCTGGCGTTCTCCGTAATGGTGCAACTCAATTCATTTAGAGGAACGCTTGGTTCTAATATGCCGTTCAGTTCTTAATCGTGTTCGCAATCTAATAGGGTTGTCTACGGGGGGGGTTAAGTTCAAGTTGGACCCTAAAAGACGAGTCGGAAATAAGACGGGGTTTATTCCGGCTGCAATCAAACAACTTCGCCTAGTTCGTCTTAGAAGATTAAAGGAAAATCCTAATAGAGATACATAGCTTATCTCCGTGCCTGATCCGTTAACCAAAATTCTTAACTCCGTTTCTTTTGTATATGCGCTTATACCGGGGTGTGCCTCGACCATATTCGCTCTCTTTACTATAAGGCCACCCCGTACACGGAATTTATTCAATTGTAAGATCATATCTCATTTTCAGACATTTGATATATAAGGTGCAAAACGACCACGAACGATGGCCGTCGGATACGCCAAGGATCAACCCGAGGGCTTCACCAACCGCATCGAAAATGTCGCGATTATCGGGGTACGTCGATCACTTCACCCAGTGGTCAATCCACTTGATATTAGTATTGAGATCGCTAATAATCAAAGCTTTAGGCCGGCGGATCAGTTGGGAAACATCTCATCGACCAACTTCTCAAAAACGGCAAGCATATCGTGACCGCCATCACTCGCCCCATCAGCACCAACGGAATGCCCGAAGGCGTCCAAATTGCTCGCGTCGATTACGCCAGTGACGATGACACGGCGCTCGTGGAGGTCCTCCGTGGTCAACAAGTCCTGCTAATAACTATGAACGTCATGGCCCCACCCGACACCATGATCAAGCTCATCCGCGCCGCTGCTAAGGCCGGGGTGCCGTATATCGAACCGAACTGGTACGGGCATGATGCCGCTAACGACTCCCTTTGTGACGATAGCCTTCTAACCCCCAACCGCGACCGCGTCGTTGCCGAAATCACGCCCCTTGGCGTCAGCTCCTACCTGTTCCTCGTCTGCAACTTCTGGTACGAATTTAGCTTGGGCGGTGGACCTGACCGATTTGGGTTTGATTTCCTCAAGCGCAGCCTCACCCTCTATGATGGGGGCGATGTGCCCATAAACACGAGCACTTGGCCGCAGACCGGTCGGGCCATTGCGAAATTGTTGAGTTTGAAGGAACTACCCGAGGATGAGAACGACCAGTCCCCCACACTGTCCCAGTTCCGAAATCATTCTGTGTATGTGTCAAGCTTCCGATTGACCCAACGTGAGATGTTTGAGAGCGTCAAGCGCGTAACCAAGACCAAGGATGCGGACTGGACTATCACGCAGGATTCTGTTGCGGAGCGGTTCAAAGAAGGACAAGAGGGCATGAAGGTGCACAACTGGAATATGTTTACCAAGATGCTGTACAGTCGGATGTTCTTCACCAGTGGGGATGGGGACTATGAGTCTAGGCGGGGCCTGGATAATGAATTGCTTGGTCTTCCCGTTGAGGATTTGGACGAGGCTACGGCAGAGGGCATCCGGATGGGAGAGAACAACGAGGTTCCATTCTCGCATTGAGTACCGGAGTTTCTTGTTCACTACTTAAAAGGTGGGGAGGCCTTTTATACTTCGGTGATCTTAAATCATCAATCCATGGATCTCTGTTCGAGCCTTTGTGTAATACTATGTCCCGTATAAAGCCCCCTATGAATAATGGAATTTAGCTCATCAAATAGTTGAGCAATTCGTCGTATAAAATGTGCATTGGTTGACCATCAGCCTACTATGACCGTATAACTCATATCTCGACGTTGTAGCCCCGTCGAATGCATGATTTTTTGCAGTTTACATCCTACTTGGTAGAGCTGATGATGAATGAAATGGCACCCGCCATCAACTGTTTCGGTAAGATCGTATTCGGATGCCTGGGGGAATGTGATGGAATATTACTAGCGACAGGAAGATAGGACTAACGATTTCCGACTACGCAGTGAGCCGATTCTGTAAAGCACTTAAGTGTATTAATCTAGTTACTGTTTGAACTTACACCCCGTTTCCATAGACAAGGTGACTAACTAAGCGGCAATGCTACCGTCAACAGTATTACACCCTCCATCCTTCCATTAAGGAACACTGTACAACTTAGTTTACATAAAGACTGCAATAAGACAACCAGCAAAAGCGCCAGATACCAGTCCACTACCCGCATTAATCGTAGCACCACCAGTGTAGACGGGAGAGGAGGAAGGGGTGCTAGCAGTCTACTCCAAGTTAGCTATTAGCCCATCAGTAAGTAGAAGAGAAACCAACCGAGCTTCCAGCAGGTGTTGCCGAAGGAATCAATGACGATGGGCGAGAAGAACCAGAAACACGCGGGGGGCTCACGGAAGTTGAAGCGACCGTAGTACCAGTAGAGGTCACCGGATCAGTTGCCACGGAATTGACGCTCTCCTCAGTAGCAGTAGAAGACTCTTCGGTTGAGGTAGCAGATGCTTCAGTTGACGTAGAGGACGCTTTGGTCGAGGTGGAAGACGCTTCGACCGGGGTGGCATCCAATCCACAAGCAGTGGCAGCCTTGGACACAGAGCCGCCGTAATACTTCCAAATGTCGAATTCAACGGCACAGTTCAAACAATCGGTCAACTCGGTCTTAAAGTCATTGGCATCACAGTATCCGTCAGTACGACTGGCGGTAATTATGCCACCTGATTTGTCAGTTTTTGTCATGAATTGCAGGATTGGGGAATATGTAACATACCGCAGTTGGCATGGCATTCGTACGCAGGAGTGCCGGGATCCTGGCGCCGGTGCAGAGGGACAAAGTCAGGGAATTCGAATGCGCTGGCACTGATTACAGCGCAGGCAAAAGCAGCAACATGGACAAGATGCATGATGGTATTAACGAATGAAATAATATGGAGATGGATATTTAGAATTGTAAAGACTGATGATGTAGACACCAAAACTGACGGCAGTTCAGTGTCTACTTATTCACCCGTGCCTGCTCCCCAAGAAAACACAATGTCTTGGCTAAATGCTCATTTCGGAGCAAGAGCTGTCCAAGGTGGTATGAGACCTCCAAGAATTGGGAAATTTTCGGGTGAGGTTTCCCGTTATGGCCATGTCTCAAATGAACCCTCGATGTCGGGTTAAAACGTTGAAGCGAACCAACTAAAAGCAACCAAAACAGCCTTGGGAGACCCACTCATCTTATCTGATTGATCTAATCTGATCTAGATCCTGAGTTTTTCTCTCTACAGTCTTTATCCGCGGGTTCCTCGGCATCAATAAATTAATTCCCTGCATTGGCAAGCCATCGAACCATAATTTGTACCTAAGCTAGTGACTCGTGACTCGACCCCAATAGGTCCCTAACAGTGGTCCAACTTCGGTGAAAGCATTCCCGGCCATGACATCTAGGGAACTTTGGTCGCCACGTGCTTGGCAGTTATTGAAACCTTGGCAGTGGAGGTCGGCTTAGCCCGATACGCATCCACTCGAGACTGTCCCTCATATCGGTTGTAGTCTGCAAGCGAGGTCGATGGTGACTTGAAGTTTATAAACGCCGATGTCTCGGTTTTCCATATTTTCCTTCAAGACCTTTCTCAGCATCTTCCTCATCATACCCTTAAGTAGATTAAGTCTCTCAACATAATTATGAGGAACTACATCACACTGATTGCTCTTTCTGTGGTTGGTGGACTATGTGCTCACGGCGACGAAGCAAGCACAGAGATGGGCCCGGCTGCCTTCATGTGGCCACCCGATCGTCTCTGGGGTGCAGCATATGACAACAATGCACCTTGTGGCTCATCAACCGGGGCCGTGAATCGAACAAACTTTCCACTGAGTATGGATCATATCTATCCACAACCCGAAAAAGTCAAATACACTGACAGGACACTTTAGTCAACGGCAAGCTTGCACTTGTACTTCAAGACGAGTCATGGAATGTGCAGGTTGCGATCTCTCACAAAAGCAGTAAGCCAGCTCCATCCTTATTATCTATCCAGACTAACCCTCGCTTAGATCCGACCACGAATGACGACTTTGAGGCCTTCATTAATGGTTCCACTCTTTCCGAGATTGAGCCAGGACACGAATGTTACTCTGTTCCCAACCCATCTATCGACATAGAAGAGGGAATGAATGCTACCTTCCAGATCAAATACACCTCGGACTTTGATACCGATAAAAACGAAACCTACTACGCATGTGCGGACGTAACGTACATTCCGGCGAGCAAGTTCACCTACCAAGTCCCTTGTTTCAATGTGACATCAGACGAGTTTACGGATGCTACTACCACAACCACGGCCACAATTGGGGCTACTGCTACTACTGCAGCATCGGGCGCAACGAAGAACACAGGTACCACGGGCGAAAAAAGCTCTGGTCTTTCAGGAGGAGCTATTGCGGGTATTGTGGTTGGCTCGGTGGCTGGATTGGCTCTTGGAATTGCCTTGCTGTTCTTCTATAGAAGGCTTTTGCAGAAGTATCGCTTTTTGCGGCAAAGGGCTTCCGCCCGAAATGTGGGCTGGAATGAGGAGGCACCTCAGCATAAAGTCGATGATGAGGTTCCGATTGGGCTTCGCAAGATTAGATGATCCGGATGAAAACTTGGCTTCTGGATGCTAGGTGCGGAAGGGGAAGTGTGCAGCTGTTTATATGTGGGTCCCAGTAATGATTGACGTTCTTATAATTGTATGGCTTTTGAACTATAATATCTGTGATATACCTGCTCCGTAGTTCAACTTGCGATATCTCTCTTTTGTGTCTTCATGGTTAAAACTCAAAAGTCTTAATGCAGGAAGGCCGCCCCTCAGAATTTAGGTATGTACTTTCTACAATTAAAGCCATCTTCTAATCTGACGCTGTTAGGACAGGGTGGGCCATGGATGGTGGAACATACATACCCCGGTAGTGGTTGTCTGGCCAATGCCCCCTCACTCCCAGCAGATTGTGCCGGTATTCCGAAATACAAAAGCCAAGACAGTAGTGGGTAACTTGGGTAAGTGCAGAGATAAAGTGGAGCCATGTTTTCGACCTCGGGGGCTAGTTTTGGGCTCCATTGTGAAAGCAATCTGTTTGAATGTACTACTGCCAAATTAAGTGAGATTGTAACCCAATAGGGACGGTGTACTTGAAATGGAAGACCGTATAAATGATATGAATACGCTGTTCAATCCTGATAGAAAGTATAGGTTGGATAAGTCCCAGAGTAGACTCTGACCCACCTCCCAGCGGACTCAGGATCTGAACGCGATATTAGCTGGGTTTCTCTCGGAAGTGGATCCAAAAGCTTTCTACTAGACAACATTGAAACCTCTCTCGGAAGGTCGAACAGCCGATACCAAGTTCTTTATCTGGATGGCACAAAGAAAGAAATAGGTGCAGATGATATGCTATTCCTCATTAGCTTAAATCATTGATGTAAGGAAAAGAGAGCGACCTATCCAGACATACCTAGCCTAGGATATCATCATAAACAGGATCCAGTCTAGCAAGTGACGTCTTGTACAATCTGGGTAAACCAGTTTCCTCAAACGGAACCGAGCTCTGCACCATATCTGCAACAGCCTTACCAGACAAGAATGCCACGGGCATACCATGACCATGGAATCCAGCTGCGATAAACTGACCTGGTTTACCCGGGATACTGCCAACATGAGGCAACGAGTCTGCACTGTATCCCATGACTATGAATGACTGGTGGTTAGCAAAAAAAAAAAAAAAAAAAAAAAAAAAACTATCCCCTAAAGGAATTGCACATACCACCAGCCCAGATATGTTTGATCTCCGCCTTACTATCCTCCCAGCCAAGGAACGTGCGCTGCATATACCCATCAAGGTAATCCGCAGCAACCTTAATCAACTTCCCATCATCGGAATTATTATACCACTCCTCCCGATCATCATTATAAAGATGCGCCGCCCCACCGACAATGAGCGACCCGTCATTCCGAGAAATTTGATAAACGCACGCCCCCGGACCGGATCGAGTACAATAAGTACCAGGCAGCTCCTGGTGGGGTGCACCAGGTGCCGCAGCAATGTGGCTACAGACTCCCTTGCAGGGAATAATAGCCTTAGAATATTCCGGGGCCAAAGCGCTGGTGTATGCGTTCGTAGCGAGGATAATCTTGCGCGCGCTAATGACACCACGGCTGGTGGTTACCGGCCAAAATCCATCTGCGTTTGGAGTTTCTCCGATTGCAGATACCGGTGTATTGGTTTGCAAGTTCAGGCCGTGGGAAACGGCAACACGAATGAGATGGGCGACGAGTTTGTAAGGCCAGAGATGACCTGTCGGGAAACTGAAGCCTCCTTTGGCGTCTCGAACATATGCAATCTTAATGCAAATATCGTCAGAAAAATCTCGAAGATGGACATACTATCCACAAAGCTCATTTCAACTTACATCTCGGGTCTCGGCCTCAGATAGGTATTTAACATCATCCATGAAATCCAGTCCCTGCTCAACCAACGAATCGTACAAGGTTTTCACCTTCTTCAGTTGATTTTCATCGAGATACATGTCATAAGAGCGGGTGAAAGTGAGGTCACAATCGATGTTCTCTTTACGGACCAGATCCTCTATGATCTTCATGTGTGAGAGTTCAAACCGCACGATCTCTGATGCTGCTTCGATACCATAGCGCTTGGCGAACAAGGCCGTTGCATAATAGATATCTGGTCTCAAATGACCACCTAAGCAAAAAAAAAATGGAGTGAGCTGGAATTCTACCCCTATATTTTAGGTGATAGGTAAGCCTTACCATTGCGCCCGGTGGCACCAGAACACAGCTCCCGGGCCTCAACTAACACCACCCGGGGGGTTGGATTTTGCGGGTTCTCTGCAAGCAAGCGATAAGCGGCCGATGCTCCGACATAACCGCCGCCTATAATTAAGATATCAGTTTCCTCTGGCAGGTCTGGAGTCGTTTGATGGTTATCGAGAGGGTCTGATTGCGTGCGCCAGAATGGTTGGGTATACCCCGCCGTTGGGCGGGGGAAGGACTTCGCATCGGAGTTGGATGACATGATGATTAGTGGTCGAACAGTAGTTTCAAGGCCGATGATGCGATTTGAACTCCAAGAATATGAAAAAAGTAAATACAGAGGCAATGCGAAAAGCAAGAAAAACAGTAAGCATGGTATAGATAAGGCGTCATCGGAGTTGCTACGATGCAACCTATCGCAGGGGAGACCGAACTATGCGGGGCTAGGAAAATGGGGTTGATTGTACAACTTGGGTCTATATTCATGAAATTGATGATATTCCTAATCCTCTCCACTATTTTCATCATTGGGAACTTACTCTTTCCGAATTCGTTGAGCTGGGAGTATTCCCAGGCTACCGTTGTTGAGCTTCAAATGCCTCAATGACATCGGGGCAGCTTGATTGGGCCTTGGCCGATTGTCTAGCCAAATATTCAGACTCTGTCAATCGTGCTTTGACAAGCTGCTTCCGAGTTTTGGAATGTATAGCCGAATGTAAGCTTTTGGCCAAGCCCTGACCCGGATACGCTACTAAGCCCAAAGCACCTAGAGACGGTCAAAATTAGCATAATCCCGCTAGTCTCGTAGGGATAAAGTGCGTGACAAACCTGATGCAGCCTTTGTCCCCATGCCAATAGGCCCTTTCACGAATCCTTTGATTGCACCCTTAATGCCGTCTTTCTGGCCACCCTCGTAGGGCTGTCGGAAGATATCCGTGAGCCCATGTGAAAACCCATGCGTAAAGTTATCTGAAGCCGCAGCCACTCCAGACTTGAAGTCCCGGATGTTGTCGTAGTCTTTGACTTCCTCGCCATAAAGCCTAGGGACGGCTCTCAGGCCTTCATTGACTGCTCCAGGTATGTCTACCAGAACGCCCTTGTAGTAGTAGGCTATGATCCTCCCCACGCTTTTAGCAGATCCCCCCACTGCCTTTCCCGCAACTCTCCAGTCTTCGTCTATTCCGTTGGCTGTGGAAGTACGTGAGATACCTTCGGATGGACTTCGCTCGGATTTGGGATTCGTAGTCTCGATGACTACGAGCTCGGGCTCGCTTTGTTGACGGGCACGACTGAACTCTTTGTAGGGCCGAATGACGACGTCGCTTGATGCTGTGAGGATATCCTTGTACATGCCTAGTAAGGACGACGTGCCGCCTGTGATAGGATCCCATCGCCGAGTCTGGATGAAAATCTGTTTACTCCCGTATCTAGCTCAGCATTTTTGTTAGCATAGATATTTGCAGATAGAATGGTTGGGATGTATGATCTCACGCTTTGAGGTCCTTTATATCAATGCGAGAATTTTCAAGCAAGATCCCCGCTGCCATTTTGGACAAATTTAGAGGTGCTCTTGCGTTTTGTTTCAACTGCCACACAGCCGGCTCAGAATCGATAAACTGGCATTTCATGTTGTCGATCGGTAAGTTGCGATGGAAAGAAGCAACAGCTGCTGAAACTCCATCTTCCTCGCTCATTTCGCGAGCAAGGTTGCTAGCTGCTTCTAGGGTATCAGGATGCAAGCAAAAGCGGATGGCTTCAGCTAGATTATCTGCGTTCAAAGACTTGTGTGGAATGGGCATTGGTCCAATCCCGCGGGACGCGACCATATTTCCCCAAAATAGCTGACTGTGACATGTTAGCGGAGCAATTGGAAAGGTTTCCAGGGGATAACGTACTCTCCGAAGAATGGTACAATAAGAGAGGGTCTTCCAAATCGTAAACCACATGCTGTAGTCCCTGCTCCTCCATGGTGTACAACTGCAGCGACCTTCTGGAATAGCCATTCATGCGGACAATCTCCAAGATAAAAGATCTGATGGTCCGATTGGGCTTCGCCGAGATTACTCCAGCCACGGGATATGATTGCACGACCACCCCAGGATCTGACTGCATTGACGAGTGTGGCAGTCATGGCTAGGGGGTCCTCGATAACAATGCTTCCGAAACCGATATACACCGGCGGAGGCCCAGCGCGGAGAAATGCGTCAAGGTCTGGAGGTGGTGTAAAGTCCGGAGGAGAGCGGAAAAAGAAGCCACAGACATTGAGATGTGCCAGCCAGTCCGCTGGTTTAGGCATCAATGTAGGGGACCAGCAATATGTGAAGGGTATCTTCAGAGTCTCTGCCAAACGGGGACCTTCGGTGGCTGATATAGGTTCTAGGTCTATAGACTTTCTCCAATCATTAATAACATCGCCCAGGCTATTATGAGGTCAGCGTATTGGATTCTGGATCAGCAGAAATCCGGTTATTACCCTTGCCATGTCAGCCATTCGACAATCCCGTACGAAAGATAATTAGCCATTTTCGGCTCTGTGGTTGAATATTTTAAGTTTGCCAAGGGATGGGGAAATGATCTTGTGCTGGTCCAAGGCATGGTAAACATCATATGTAGAGGGATGCCAAGCGCCTGAGCGCAGTGAATATGGGCGAAGCTTGGAGGGTTCGCGATAATGGCATCGGCCACAAATGGTGTTTTGGTCACAAAGTCATCCTCAATACAAGACTGCCAGCATCCCTGAAGAATTTGGCTTACCATGACACGCTTGCGTTGAATATCACCCTCTTGGACGGACTTCATCTGTGGTATCAGTCCCGGATTCTTCACCATATATGCCATCAGCTCCGATGGATCTCCTCCAATAGAATAAAATTCTAGACCGGAGTCCCGCACGAAGCTTTCAAACACGCCATGTGTGGCTAGTCGTACGCGGTGCCCATGGCGCTGAAGCTCGTTGCCCAGTGCGACAAAAGGTTGGACGTCGCCTCGACTACCAACAACTTGAATTACAATATTGAGCTCGAGGCCACATTCGGCATCACCTGAAGGCTCTGGTTGTGGTTCAACATGCTCTTCCTTACGCAGAAATGGTATCAATTTTGACACTTCCCTGCCCACTTTGGAGTCTAGGTCGATCTCAATGCGACCATCAGCTTTAAAAAGTTAGCACGCGCTTAATGCCAAAGAATTATATAGGTAGAGTCGCTCCCACCTTGGACCTTCGCTCCATCCTGGGTCGACTGGTTGCGTTCAAGCGTAGAAGGTCGGCGCGGTGGTTCTTCCATCGCTGCAGCTCGATGACATCACACGCGGGGAGAACAGAGATATTTCCAATGTTGAATATTCGTTAAAACACTAGGTCAAATTGGATATTTCCAAGACTCTGTGAAACATTCAATGTTTTCAAAAAGAAAGAAGTAAATTTAAAGGATTGGTGATCCCAAAAACAACCGAAGACCATGGTAGCTCCGATGGTTCTGGGCCTGGGACTGGTGGATCCCCGACCGGGGTTGGGGCACGTGATCGTTGGCTTGAGCCAATCATAGGCCAGAGTTCGCTGACTCAGAAGCCATATGATGACATTCCTAGGGAGTCCTACCTGAGACGATGCCTACCAACAAATCTCAAGTACACCCCGGATTTCTCTCGTTAGCGGGTATATCAATATATTATTGTCGAAGGCAAAACCGTGTTCCATATTGCAAATATATGGGAGTATGGAGCACGGGTTAGTACACTAACAATTTATATTCATTGTTTGTAAAGTACAGAGTTGTGTTTGGGGGCTTCTCCCAAGTTATTCATCATTTTCACTTTTTTCAACTTTTTTGTTTGTGTTTTTCCAAACAAAAATCCCAAATGATAGATCCAGAAATACCCAAAAATTTGCCCTCTTCAAAAAATTAACACAAGCAGGGTCACTCGCGCCAAGGCAAGGTTGGTGGGGAATTACAAATTAAGAATGGAGAGCGAGGAAGTCGGGGTCATTGTTGAGAACATCCCACACTGACCGATCCAGAGTCAAATTCACATCAACAGCGTACGGAATATTGACACGAGCCAAAGAACGTCTATTCTGACGGCGAGGCACCTCCTCCTCGGTAGACAAGATCATCGCCAAACCATCGACCCGGTAACCTTCACTAAAAGCCGGGGACACTAGAGAAGGGGGAATACGTTTGCCATCGACGGTGGTGTCAAAGTCAACACCAACGTATATCTTCCCCTTAGTCCACTGGGTGGCAATGAGGCAACCATGTGGAAGTATCTTCTTCAACTTGGCGTGGCTTTTGTTGGGCTGTGCGGCAATCCATTCGAACTGTTGTTTGACTTCATTCATATCGACTGAGTGAATCGCATCATGAACAACCTGTGCAACCTGCCAGAGGGCGCCGTTTTCGAGCAATTCGTGGGAGGCGGAAGTGGAGGGGCAGTAGACGGCATTCGGAAAGTAGCGTGCAGGAAGCTTCAGACGGGTGGAGTCACGCATATCCATAGTTGTTCCAAAGTCGCGAAGTGAGTGTAGGACGTTGGGGTCTGGTGTGAGTCCCATGTCACGCAGAACCTGAATCCTGGCTTGGTAAATCCGTTGGTACAGATAGGCTGAGACGAGCTCGAATCTGGTAAACGAGATATGCTCCTTGGCGTTGGGGTCGGTCGCAGCAATCTTGAGTGGAATCAGGTCTTGACCATGAAAACGGAGAGGACAAGTGTATACAGAGGGAGGTTCTGAAACCTCAGGCATAACAATGGTAGTTTCGTCAAGATAAAAGTTCGGAGGGTCGAACGCAAGGGCTTTCTCCTTCTCGTTAGCCGATAGGCTTTGCGTTCCGCGGAAGTGTGAGAAAATCTCGGGGGGAGATACAAGTGTTGGCGGAGAAGAGTCGCGCAATTGTTTGTAGATCTCGGCGAGATCGCGCACGAGCTGCATAAACCCAGTGGCATCACAGACTTGGTGGTGAACACGAATGCCCAGTGCAACCCCTCCACAGCCGAAGCGCGTGTGTTGGATGGCGAAGATAGGATTGTGGGAGACAGATCCCATTGTCGAATGAAAGATTGGAAGAAGAGCATTACCAGAATCAGGCAGGTTGAAGACTAGGATACGGGCTGAGAGGGCAGAGACCGCGATGCTTGTGAGCCTCCTGGTGCATTTTGCCTCCCAAAGTTCAGCGCCAGTGCCCAGGCTACCTATCTCAGGAGCTTGGGTGATTGGATTCTGCTGAAGACGGCCAGTGAGGTGCGGGTAGTAGTCGAGGAGGTGGGATGCAGCCAGCTTTAAGCGTTCGACCAGGAGGAAGTTATCGTCTGGCAATGTTTTCGACGTTCTGTAGACGAATATGGCTTCGATGGTCAACATAGAGGGGACGATGTGATCCATCGGCCCTAGGCTGAAAGGGGACTCGACGGCGGCAAGTGTCGCCTCATTGGCACAGTTAAGCGTGTGGCGCGTAGAAACGCGGACTTGGTCGAGTACCATCGCCATGATTGGACGAAGCAATGACAACGATAGTGGGATAATCAAGGTAAGTAAACAGATGAATTCGAGATGACAAGGATCAGAGATAACGGGGATGAAATATGATGATAAAATATGACGACGAAAGAGTATGAAGACGAAAGAGGATGCAGATGAAAGATGAATGTTCGTGCTGCTTAAAAGCAATGGGGAATTGTCACTTCATCCCATCATTGCCTGCGTTGTTGGGACGATGAACTCATTTGTCCCCCCGAGCTCTTCGAGTGAAGATAATTGACTAAAAGGACACCTGGAGTACCTGGCCACGGTTTATTTGACTAGTCAAAGGAATTAAAAAAAGAGTCAAAAAATGCAACTCGGGGATAGCGTGAACACATTTCAAACAAAGAAACGGCGGCGTATGTTGTTTTTTTAACTTCACAAAGACAGCGAAGTTGCCAGCGATAGTGGTAGCTCCATGTATTTACAGTATAGTTATCCCAATTGAATCACCTACCAAGATGTCCGAGCCTCTTCATTCCTTCCCATTTGGACTCATAGCCTACCCCAGTTCCCCGTTTGCCTTAAGCCACTGGGAAGGTATAAACATCCCTCCCCTTTCCAAGATCATATGTCGAATTTTCTCAGTACTCATTACCGTAACAGGTAACACTGGCCTTTTATCTGAGCTCGGGGTGTAGACACTGACTAGACGCCACGGCTGATAGCCTGTCCTCATGGCCGCAGTGGCAAGAAGCTTTAGCATCCAGATGAGGCATCGGTCTAATTGTTAATACCGGTAGTAGCTCCCACAGTCTTTGCGTGGACATCACCGTAAGGTTCTTAAACACTCCCGTATGCACCGCGGTGGAACTGCAGGTCTCATCTACGATGAAACGAAAGAGCCGCTGGCGGGATCTGACCAATCAGCGACCGTAACACCTTGGAAGGTTCGGGGCGGCTCCGACCAAGAGATCCACTTTGGAGCGGCTCCGATGTGGGGACATTTCTACATACCTAGACACCAAATATTTGTCCCTGGGGGCCTTATCCATTCTGACAAGATATTTAAGCGCTTCACCTCCATATCTCAATCCCAACATACCACTCTTCATTCTCTATTCAGTTTTGATATTCTCTGAATATTCATTCCTCTTTTCTTAATACAACTCCATGATGGTCAATCCCTCGATTGTCATTGTGCCAGGTGCATGGCACCGACCTGCACACTTCCAGGGCCTCATTGATGAGCTCGTAAAGGCCAACTACGACGCAGAGGGTGTGACTATGCCTTCGGTGGACTCCAGCCCGCCACTACCCACCTGGGAGCAAGACGCGCAAGCTGTGCGACAAGTGATTATGAATAAACTGGATGCCGGGAAGGACGTCGTCGTACTTGCACATTCATTTGGCGGCGTCGCCATGTCAGAGGCAGCCAAGGGCCTAGGAAAGAAGAACCGAGATGCACAGGGGTTGAAAGGCGGGATTATCAAGCTGGTCTACATGTGCGCAATGGCGTTACCGGAAGGCCAGTGCCATGTCGGCCAGTTGGTCCCGCAGACGCCCGAGGAAGAAGATATCGAGCGTCAGCGCAAGGTGTTGGAGGAAAAGTTTGGTGGTCTAGATGTGTCAGCGGTATGGATACAAGGCTTTACTTCTATCTCTCAATCTCAATGCTAATCTATCGCCAGGACGGAGCAATCAGCCTGCCGAAGGACCGTGTCCACCTCATTTTTTATAACCGCTGCGACCAGAAGGATATTGATAGGGCTGTGGAGCTGCTGGGCACATTCCCCGTGGGCCCGTTGACCGTTCCTGTCACATACACTGCCTATCGTGATATCCCGAGCACATACATTGTCTGCAAAAACGACCAGGCATTGCGGGAGCCATTCCAGCGAAGGATGGTCGCGCAAGGCCAAGGCTATTTTGAGGTGGAGGAATGTGATGAGGGCCATTCCCCGTTCATGAGTAACCCAGGCTTCATCGTCGATTGTGTTCGGAGGGCAGCCGGAGAGAAGGTCTAGACATGCGAAGATGTCGAATAAACCCTGTTGCCCTCTGTGTGTCCAGAGTTTTCTAATAAATTTTCTGGGCCGGGAAAGTGTACCATATTTAGATTTTTATACTTTATATCATGATTTTCCTCTGTCGAACATACACTTGAATCGTTGCCTCATATTTAAGGCATAATTAAGGCATCAGTGGCTGTGCGGAACGGAGAAACAAGCCAGCCGCGCCGGGAATAACCCAATCCAGTCGACGCTACCTCGGCTTGTAGTTATCATGTAGACACGGAATGCCGGGAGACCTCAATTCTCCAAAGGCGTCGACATCTCCCGTGAATCCACCACGGCGCCAAAACACAAGTTGTGATCCGTGCAGACGTTCCAAGCGACGCTGTGTTGTTCAGTCGGATCCAGACGGAATCCTTGATGCGATCTGCGCAAATTGCAGACGTCTAAAACGCCAATGTACATTCGAGTTCGCTATAGCCCAGTCCAATCCTTTCTCTCGCAAACGCCAGCGGCGCGACTGCGGGGAACCCGGTACATCAACAACGCAGAATGAATCTAACGACTTTGATACAACCACCGAGGAAGCCGCTGGGAGCCCGAGCAATCGATTTGATGCTACCTCCATCGCTGACCAAGATGTTCTGGCGGCTTGGCTGAATCTCGACTATGATGAGATTACCGCGGATAGCGTCAACTTGTTTTCAACCAAACTCGAGCCTTCTAATTCATTCAGCACGTTTCGTTCTGAGGACATATCGCCTGAGGAGAGCGAGCGTGACAGTCAACTTACGGTTATCACGCCCCAACTCACTCGCTTGCGCGGAGGACAAAATCCCGAATCAACTAGTCACCAGCCAACGGTTGGCCTTTCATTCGACAGTCCCATCTACCTGCTGAATTCTGGAATAGACGCGAAGATCTTTGGTGATCGTCTTGCCCGGATTTATGAAGCAATCGCAACAGCCAGTGCGTCAAGGTTTTTGGAATATGACTGCAATCTTTATGCGACTAAGAGTCGCTACCGGTTGGGAGACAGTGACTCAGGGAGCTCAAATGGATCGGCACCTACCAGCTCGACCATGCATCCAATCACTATCTTGCCCCGAGTCGCTTTTCCGGTATCATCACAAGCAATGCCTTATGAGATTTCCTTATTAGGGAGCGTTCGGTTCCTTGATCATTTGGGCGACCTATATGGCAATCGACTGAACTCGGCTGCGCGGAAGAAATCAGATGAAACTTTCAAAGCGGTTCTTCGCGCATTTTCAATGCAATGGTTGCCGAGCTCACCTTCCCCTTCCTTTGCAACGAGCTCAGCTTATGATCACTCTCGACGGAATTCAAATTCTGGAGAGGCAGGAGATGATTCTTCCTTGAATGCCTTCATTGATGCTTGGGTACGGGCAAGATCACTTCTCAACGATGCGCACGATGTCCGATCATTTCGAGTTGTTTTGGCAACACTCATGTTTGTTGGGATTGTCACACCAACTAAAATAACCGAAAGAGAGGACCCCGTACCAAACCACTTTCTTGACACCGCGTTGCAAAAGTTATCCTACTTGGATGGACTAGTCACGCAATACTGTGCAAACCTGGGACCATCATCTACGTATGGTGCTCTTGCTGAAGCAACTTTAAGTATTGTCCGGTGGACTGCATATATCCGCGACACAGGCGCAGCCTTGGCTATGGATCGGCAATGCAAACTTCCAGACCTGTGGGGTACTACGACAGGTTAGTGTTCTTCGCATGGGAAATCTCTAACTCATAACAACCAAACTAAGACCGCACAGTCCTTTCAGATAAAGAGGCCGTGGCCGCATTGGCCATCTCTCAAAATATCCTAGAGTTGGATGTCAATGTTCAACCCATCTGCCGAAAAGCCAGTGCGGAAACATTTATTGTCTGGAGGCATATTATAAATATTAAAACTGTTGCTAATCAGGCGCATGGAACTATCAACGAACGCTCTTCATCAACAATGGAAGCGATAAATTTGAGCCTAGGGGCTGTTCGTGACTTCAGCCAATTATTCCAACCTTTCATCCTTCAGTGCATCAGAAATTTCCGTTGTCTGTCCACCTGTCCTAGGATATCTCTTGGTAAGTTCCACTCCTATAAATTCGCTCACTAGTCTTTTGTCCTGCATTTCTCTCATTGGTATCTCGCTGACAGCTTATGCCTTAGTTTCCCTCGTGATGTTTTGGAACCTTGGCATTTTTCTTCTCGTCGAAGTCTTCAAAAGGGTGACCAAAGACCTTGATCCTTCTGCCGAACAAGATTTAGGGCCCGCTGTCCGGGAATACCAGAGCGACGCAGCCTCGTGCATGGCACAGGTAGTTGAATGTGTACTCAACTTACCCGCCGAAGAGGCCTTCAACCTCCAAAATGGACTAGGTGCCGAAGTCCCCCTCACCGCATATCATGTCACTCCTAGTTTGACCGTCACGGCGCTTCAAAGGGCTATTGAGAGTGTGATAGACCTGCAGCTTTGCTCTAGTTTTAATGATGATCTATCAGATGACGCGAAGTTTTTGATACCGGACGGGATCTGGAATCGACAAATTGACATCCTCATGAAAGGACTCATGTCGCTTGATGTTACTATTGGCGGGTCGCAGACCTGTGGTGTGGCCCTTGCGGGGTTGATGCAGAAACACGGGGACATACTATCTGAGTGCTGGACTTCAGGGTTCGAATCATGACATGTAAACGTGGCGGATACAGCCGAAGGGTCAAGGATGCACGGGATGAGGGGAAGTGGATATGTGAGTGTTGATCAACGCCAAAGCGAAGTATATACGGTCGATATTCCTAAAATAAAGAAAGGCCATGGCAAAAATGACTGACTTATCTAGCCTAAAGCCTTCCATTCAGACTTCCCGTTGGATCCAATTTTAACGATACGCACGCCATCACAGTTCACACTGCATTGTGGCGCTTGCTTTAGAGTAAAACGGGTCTCCATATCGTCAATTGTAGTATCGACTGTTTTCGCGCTCGGGGCCACGCTTTTCCATACCCAACCTGGACTTTGTCCCGGCCCTGGCAAATGACCTGCGAGATGCTCGATTCGACTATCGTAATTATAATCTCAATAACTCAGTTTCAAGGAGGAAACCTCCGAAGTGAGGACTGGGATTTGAAACGTAAGTCGAGCTTGTCCACTAATTATCCTCAAAAACGACACATAAGCAAAAGATTATGGCCTGAATCGTCAGCGAAAGCTTGGCAACGGGCCGGTCAGTCTCATCTCAATTTCTTAGGCTACTCATGAAACTCAGTAAAAGAACAGAACAGGCATCTAGATCCTTTCGTGCGCATGCCGCTGTTGATCTTAGTGTCATGCGCTATTTCCTACCCCGCTACAACAACGCCTTGCAGTCAATCCAATAATATAACGCAGGGTGACAAAACAGAGCTACTGGCAGTAGTGGCTGCATAGTTCTGATAAGTGATGGTACGTTTTGTTCTTTACTTTGCATTCTCATTCAGTCCTGTGTGTGGTGATACGTTGTATCATGCAGGGTGACAACACAATCACAATCACCCCTTGACATCGGGAACTTGAGATTTCTATTTTCTATTCTACATACACCAACTATCAACAATATCGTTTGTTAATGGAATGCCCATCTATCGGTTTTCTTTTGTTGATCTATCGCAAACTCACCCAGCTTTATCTTCGCAACGTCAAATGACACTATTACTCTCTTCAATAAACAAACACGGACCAAAAGTACCTGTCATGCAAAATAGGTCCGTCCACCGCAAGTCTCCTCTTTTCGAATCGAAAATCCGCTGCAAATTCCTGCACATTCAAACCAATGAGCATTGAGCAATAAGTTTTGGACTAATGCAAGCGGGAACAAATGCAGATATGCATTTCTTCATATGCATCTGACCTATGACAGCGATATATACTCCCCAATTTCCGACAGTCCAGCTTATCTTGAAACCTCACGCGGACTAATTTATTGAAATTCGAGTCATCTCCCTTGGCAGGCTGATGTGCCAGAATGGAACTACAGCTCCAGAGTTAGGAGTTCAGTGAGCTGCGCGATAGCTAATCCACAGGTACTGCGCTTTAACACATGCAGTGAGAGTACTGAATGATCGCCCATTATCAACTTTACCCCGCTAGGTGAACAGGCCTGTATGCCATGGCCCTACATACTAGGTGCGGCAGGAGTACACACATAGCTCGTATACAAATATCAATGAAACCCGGCTCGGTATTCTAACAACCTCAAGATATTTCGTTCGCTGCAAAATACAGTAGATATGGTACCAGTGTCTTTCAACCTCTTGCAGATCCCCTTCTACGGCCTTGTGGCTGGGGCTGTTGTGATTACTTGGTCGTTAGCGAAGACTGTACAAACCTTTCAAAGTATGTACCTCTTCCCGGTTAACAGTGAACTAGCACTCAGACTAAATACTCATCTAGGATGGAAGTACGCTCGTGAGCACGGCTGCCAACCTCCAGCACACTCTGTGTCCCATGGCTTGTTCGGCCTTGGTATGGCCGTGGAACTAGCCAAAGCCGGCCCCGATAATAGGTTTCTCGAGCTTATTCGCGGCTGGCATCGAAGCTACGGTCCGACATTCAAGGCGAGAATTGCGAATCGAAATATCATCTTCACTGTCGAGCCAAAGAACATCCAAACAGCCCTCGCATTGAAATTCAAAGACTTCGGAATTGGTTCTGCTCGACAAGATGCACTCCGTCCACTCATGGGCAAAGGCATCTTCGGCGTAGACGGTAGAGAGTGGGAACATGCACGGGCTCTCCTCAGGCCTAATTTCTCACGCACTCGGATTAATGACACTGAATTATATGAGAGCCACGTTGCCGAGCTCATCGATCAGATCCCGCGCGACGGATCGACCGTCGATTTGCTCCCACTTTTTCTCAGGGGAGTACGTTGTTATACTTTATATTTCCCATAGTATACGACTGACCAGAAGTAGACACTCGACACCGCTACCGAGTTTTTGTTCGGAGAGTCCGCTCAGTCCCAAGGCGGAGAAGACTCTTCTTCGGGTGTCGAGTTTGCGAAAGCCTTCGATGTAGCCCAGTACGTGACTGCCATACGCTTCCGACTTGGGTCTTTGGGGATGTTCTACCGCAGGAAGGAATATGCCAAATCCATTAAAGTTACCCGCGCCTATGTCGAAAGGTTTGTACGAGATACCATCGATTATCGTGTCGCAGTTAATAGAGGTCAAGACGTTGATCCAGATATCAAGCGGTTGACTGAAAGTCGATACGTGTTTTCCTACGAGCTGTCGAAGCAGACACTTGACAAGGCCAACATAACAGACCAGCTATTTAGTATTATGTTTGCTGGTCGCGATACCACCGCCAACCTACTGGGTATTGTATTCTTCCTCTTGGCTAGAGAGCCTGAGGTGTGGACCAGACTTCGAAAAGAAGTGCTCACTTTAGATGGACGAAAGCCATCATTCGAAGATCTGAAATCCATGACTTACCTGGGCTGGGTTCTGAACGAGAGTGAGCAGCATTAGTCCCAGTGCTAGCTATGCGGTCTGCTAAACGATATATAGCTCTGCGTTTGCACCCAATCGTCCCCTTCAATATTCGTGAGGCCATCAGAGACACCTATCTTCCCGTCGGCGGTGGCCCGGATGGAATGTCGCCTGTTCACGTACCCAAGGGCCACGAGGTTATCTTCAGCGTATACACAATGCACCGCGACACTGAAGTCTTTGGGCCCGATGCGGACGAATTCCGCCCAGAGAGATGGGAAAAGGCTAGACCTGGTTGGGCGTACCTTCCTTTCAACGGGGGTCCTCGGATCTGCATAGGCCAGCAGTTCGCGCTGACGGAGGCTGGATACACTATTACTAGGATTATGCAACATTTCGAGACGATCGAAAATCGAGATCCTAATCCCTGGATGGAGGATTTGGGGTTGACGCTGGCAAATGCTAATGGAACAAAGGTTGCTCTGACGCCTGTTCAGAATTGACCTGTTGTGGATACACATTCTTGCTCTTAGTATATATATTACGTTACTCCTGATATTTTTAGCTCTGATTGAACAGGATATTGCTATATTACCTAAATCATACGGCCGTGTGTCCTCTGACTCGTATATCAGGTGCTTTGGTATCCACTTCTGTCGGTCTTTTCCGAGATGGATTTTGGATAATACTAGTTAAAAACCGTAGGGTACGGCGGTGATAAGCCCAATTCGTACAATCGGCCATAATTTCCATAACGAAAGGTTTAGACAGGGAGTGTACATGGTACTCATGTGCCGAATTGTCCGAGTTCCCCCATCCACCTTTTATGTATGTGCCCGCCCTACCCGCGTCAAGCTGCGACGCTCCAGACCTTGGAGTTCCTCTTAAATATGATAGGTCGGCAATAAATTGGCTGCTGTTTAGACTTTTGCCAAGTAAATGTGTTCATCCCCGTCGAGGTTTGGGCCAGATTGTGGAGAATAAAATCTCTTTCCCAACCATTAGGGTGGAAAGTATTTTGCCAAGTGAAACATATTTTTCATGACCCCCAATTAACTTGCCATAGCACTACCAATCATGTAGACCGATAGTGGATAATATCGTTGCCTTGAATGCGACTCCGTACTCTCCGAGGATCCCGCGCATAGGAAAGAAAAAAAACGGGGGAAAGCTCCTACAGACCTTTCCGGCTAAGTCTGGAGGTCTCCATCTGCAAAATTATAATCGATGAAAAGATCATAGACTTCCTAATCGTTAGAAAACAGAGAAGCACAAGGCCCATATTTAAATAAGTCAGAAGCCAAGACGCTTGATGAATAGGGCTAAGACTAAATCAGATCTAACCAACACATACGGAGTATCATCCGAGCATTCGGAGTTTCAAGCTATCGAAAGCTTGTACATGTAGCCAAGCTTTGAAAACCACGGGAGGCAGATTTAGTAATTAAAAATTATCTGATCGTAAAAGTTATCTGATCTTCGAATTTATCAGATCCTAAAAATTATCAGATCATGAAATTTATCAGATGGTAGAATTTAATCAGATCACGCCACTCGGGTGGAAACCTTAGAACCCGGCCCCCCACCTTAATTGCATGGATAATTACGGAGAGTACTACGAATTGAGCTATCTGAGACTTCCCTCGGAGTAATTTCCTGTCTACGGAATACTACTGCAGCGCGTTGCACACTATTTATCTTGGAGGACCCACGTGCAATGGGCAACGCCACTCTCGCTTACACGAACTCAAAAGGTCTCTAAATTTTTAATATATACCCATGAGACAGACAGGTTAAAAATCATATCCGCCCTTCTAACCATTCAGTCTGGGTTATTGATCCCAGGCTTCTCTAACCGCCATGGATACGGAGAACATAACCCCCGTCAAAGGGGCCACGGAGCGCCCGCAGTCGTTGGACCTCAAGGACTCAGAGATACCGGAGGTTCAGCAAGATGGTGTTCAAATCGCCGACGCAGTTACATCTACGTGGACTCGCAAACATTTGATTGTTGCTTATATTAGGTGAGCAACCTTAGGAGAACAAATTGGTTCTTAAATGTCAGGTCTAATGCGACCACAGCATGTGGCTGGTGTATTTCGTCAACAATCTCAACAGCAGTCTCACTGCAAACCTGTCGGCTTACATTACGAGTGACTTTTCGGAGCATTCGCTGTTGACCGTGATTACAGTGGTTACTAGCGTTATGGGTGCTGCGTGTTTGATGCCCGTCGCTAAAGTCCTGAATCTTTTTGATCGAACTATGGGATTCGTGATCATGCTTGCGATTGCAATGATGGGTTTGATCATGATGGCTGCTTGTAAGAATATTGCGACATACTGTGCCGCGCAGGTGTGTTTCTATTGCCCATACCCTTCACAGCCCTAGGTCAAAATCACTAATTAAGCAACAGGCATTCTATACTGTTGGATTTACCGGCGCTATTTTCTGCATTGACGTGATAACCTCAGACACCTCATCGCTTCGTGATCGAGGTCTTGCTTATGCTCTCACCTCATCTCCTAGTATGATCACTGCCTTTTCGGGCTCGCCTTTGTCAAACCAATTCCACGAGACCAACTGGCGATGGGCGTACGGCACAATTTGCATCATTCTCCCTATCGCTGCGGCGCCTTTGATTGTGACCTGGGAGTTGGCCAAGCGAAAGGCCGGCAAGAACGGTCAATTACAATACAAGGAGAGGACAACACGAACCTGGGGAGAAACCATTTGGTACTACCTCATGGAATTTGATGGTCAGTAAAGTTTTCAAATCGATTTCTTACACATTTTACTCACCCCTGTTTGCAATGCACAGTCATCGGAATCTTCCTAATGATCGGTGGCACGATTCTTTTCCTGACATCTTTCAACATTGCCGGCAATACTGAAGGGCAATGGAAATCGCCTAAGATCATTGCTATGATGGTTGTGGGATTCTGTGTTCTCGTGGCATTCGTCATTTACGAGCGATGGTTCGCCCCGAAGCCTTTCATTCCATTCAATCTAATCACCGACCGCACTGTCATTGGCGCATGTCTACTGGATATTACCTACCAGGTCTCTTATTATTGCTGGGCCAGTTATTTCACCTCCTACCTCCAAGTCGTTTACAACACAAGCCTGACGCAGGCCGGTTATATCAGCGCCATCTTTGATTTCATGGACCCGGTTTGGCTTATTGGCTGTGGCTTCCTCATCAGAGCAACTGGTCGCTTCAAGTGGCTGCTCTGCGCCGCGCTGCCTCTTTACCTCCTTGCAAGCGGTCTGATGATCTACTTCCGTCAACCTGGTCACAGCATCGGATATATGTGCATGTGCCAGATCTTCCTCGCAGTAGGTGGTGGAACATTCATTCTGATCGAGCAGGTTGCTGTTCTTGCTGCGGCCTCGCACGAAGACTATGCCGCCATGTTGGCACTTCTCAGCACGTTTGGAAACATTGGTGGCGCAGTTGGCAGCAGTGTTTCTGGCGCTATCTGGACAAACACGCTCCCCGTCAAGCTACGCGCAAATCTGCCAACCGAATTGAAGGACCAGTGGGAGGAGATCTACGAGTCGTTGGACGTCCAGCTCAGTTATGCGGTTGGTACGCCTGCTCGCACTGCTATCCAGAATGCGTATGCATTCAGTCAGCGAAACATGATGATTGCCGGTACTGCGGTAATGGGACTGTCAATTGCCTGGGTGCTTATGATGAGGAACATCAAGGTTCAGTCCAACAAGGATCTTTCCAAGGTGCTTTTCTAGTGGCTAAATAGCAATGGAGGGCAGAGGGGGGTAGGGAGGCTGATTGAGAACAAAGACCTCTCTTCTCAGCTTGTTGACCAAGCCGCAATGGTTCGAAGTCGGTTCGTAGCAGGGCTGAAGCCATTAGGCAAAAAGAGATGGAATACGTATATTCAAGGAGTGAAGTGTTGCAGGGTCAATTTACTGTTGACAAAATTAAAATAATAATATATCAGCTTATAGCAGTGACACTGCGGAGCAAATGACCTTACACATACTTCAAGGTGTTATTAACACCCCAAACGTAGACGTGATGTCAAGGCTCGAGTGCCGAACATTATCTGGTACAGTAGAAATAATAGCTAATGGAGGGAATTCTTGAAGTCACCAGCAACCTCTTCTCTGTGAATAGTGACAGAATTATACGATGTGGCATTCACAATATGCTTTCCAGCTTTGCCTCAGACAGGTACCACATTACTCCTTCCTCCATTGATCTCTCTTGCCTTTTTCTCTCCCTATACAGCAGCCTCGCTCATTCCACGGTTTTTCTTCCCCTTTACCTCCGCCATTGTAGCTTATTGGCAATGCTGGACAATGTTGTTCATTTTTCAGACCAAATTATGTGGCCCTCAAATCTCCAGATAGAGACTCCGTCAGGTCTTGTGTCATTTCCTCCCCAGAGGCCTGCGCAAAAAAAACCCCCGTAAGTCCTGTCACCACGCAATTGGAGCCCCGTTAATTTGCTTGGTTCTAATATTCTCTTATGTTGCGGTGCTACACATCCTCGATGTCCTATAGAATCAGTACATATCAGAGATTTGAGCTGAAACTTGTATACTAGAATCGCTGTCTTATCTTTGATAATGTGCTTTAAATAGTAAAACAAGCGAAGACTTTTGTATTGTAACAAAAACTGGGAAACAAGCCTAACTTTTCGATAACCATACACCATATCTCCAGCCATGACTCCAATACGCACTGCTAGATCTAGGAACCAGCTCAAAGCAATAATCAAACGGTTGCACGGTGAACATTCCGGATATGGGCAATCAAATTGTCCTTTCGGTTGAACGACTTCCGGCACTCGCCCTCTGGGCATTCATATAAGCCTGGTGAGATGTGCTTTGTTTTGATATGGCGTAGCAGGGCTCCCATCTGAGAAAATCCACCCGAGTATTCGCAGTGCTTCCATTTGCACTTTAGTGGGCTGCCACGGCTAGATCTACGTTCGATGGATGTTAGAACCCGCATTTAAACAGAGGGGCAAAGAGTTATTCCAAAAGGAACATACTTGACACCCATCGAGACTTTGCCATAAGATGTAAGCTTCGGTAGACTATCATCTGCGATAGTGGCCGGTGCTTGCTCTTCGTCCGCAGTGGAGATGATTGTAGAGGTGATGTCAGACATCCCATCGTGAAGGTCAAGGCTCGGAACATCGCCAGCATGGGCGCCATCTTCGGCCGGGGAGCCCTTATCATATTGATTATCGGCGATCTCATGGGGAGTGCCGTGTGAGGTGGAAGCCGCAGGGTTAGGCGTGAGGGGGGCAGAGGTGAATGCGAGAAAAGGGTCATGTGGAAAACCGTCGACAAGAGGCGACCAATAGTCGGCGAAAATGTAGGCGAAAGGGGGGTCACTTTCGTTCCACTGAACTCCTGCCTCTTGGTCGAGGTATGACAAGCCATGCTCAACTGGTTCTGTCATGATGTAGATCGTAGTTCGCAAGAGCGGAAGAGACCAAGCTTAACGAGTATCAGAACGAGAATTATGAGAGCGACCTACACAAAAATGCGGGGAAGCCCCTGGGGATCGACGCTTATATACTAAAGGGTTTGTAATGGCCGACCTACCTAGGTGCCTTGGGAGGCATTTTGGCAGAGTTTTCATACATCCCAGCGTACCCCAGCGCCACACGTCACCATGATTGGCGATCTTATCAGAAATTTTAAAATTTTCAGAGGGGGCAGCTCAAGCAGTGGCGCAGGCACGATATGGAAAAGGTCTATGCTTGAGATGTGACTGGATGCGCACCTTCAGGGCTTGCTCGGATGCCTTGGAAACGGCTTACCTGAAGAGCCCCGATTCTTTCCAATTGGTCTGACAGCTCCAGACTGAGGCTGTGATTTCCATTAGTTGGAAAAATCGAAATCTGACCAAAGAGGATTGTGCTTCCTATGGCCCGAGCTTCTCTTCTCTTTGCTTTTTTAATCGCACCCCGCGCCTCGATGATTTTTCGCCCATGCCGTCATCTAGGCGCAGTATGATAAGGCCTTGTTTGGCCTACCAAGTTGCACATTTCTCATGAAGGGATGGTGATATCGAAAGAGTGAGCACGATGTATTATTGAAGAGAAAAGAAAACAAAAAAAAAAAACAAACGAAAACAGCCAAGATAGGAGATGAGATGTCCAATCTAACTAACTAAGGGGTCCTAACCACTTTAGGCAGCAATATAGCCTGAGGCCAATATTCTGACGATCAGTCATACTTGCCCCCAATATTGTTTTTTCAGTGATCTAGGACCTAAACCATATTCCGTTCCCCTTCGAATCTTCGAATGAAAAGCTAGCAAGGATGAAAATACATAATAGCAGTTGCTCGCAAGTAAATAAACTCGTTTGGTCATGTGAAATTATCCATGGGTCAGTCAACTGGTGGCAGTCGAGGATTGTGCTATGCACATATGGTAACATTAGAAGCATATTATTGCGATGCCAAAATCATGAATTTCAGTCCTGAGTTATCGTCGAAGGCATCAACGGCCGCGCCATATGAACACATCTAGTTCTGGTACGTGGCCACAGCATCCGCGATGCGCTTGTTTAGGAAGTCCATCTCCCTATGAACTTCTCTGCCACAGGATGGAACTCTATCCATGACCCCCAAAGTAATTAGGTCGAAAGCAATGTCACCTGCTAATCACTCTCATACCCAAGCTCCTCCAATGACCAAAGCAAATGATCGTCGTTATCTGGGTCATGAACTACCTCGGCATTTGGAATCAATTCATTGACTCCCTTGAGTTCTTTCAGTTGGGATAACCCAGACTTGTAAAGGGTCATCAACGCATCCATCTGCTGATCGTGCTCCTCGTTCTCACCCTTCTGGTATCCCCGAATACATAAATACTCTAACCCATTTGGTAGACAGTCTACCAGATCCAACTTTTCCCTCTTCTTGTAGGGTTCTCCGCTAACGCCAGCGGCAAAGTATAACAGAAAGTTTATCCCCAAGCTCAACCGTTTCAAGGCCCCAAATTCTTTCAGTGACCCACCATATGTCCATATCAATTCGTAAAATGTACATGTTTCATCGCTGATGCCTGGTTCAAAGGGGCTTCCATATTGATTGATTTGGTAGTCTCTGTCTCCCTCGTCAACAATTTCGAAAGTATGGATTTCACTTTCCGTGTCGACATCGAGAATTTCCAGTGTTTTCTTGTGCGCGCAAAGCACTTTGATGAATGCTTTTGGGTTGAACATAGGAGAACTCCCATCATTGCTCCCTCTGCCTCCGATAGAATACTGGAATTCCTTGAGAATCTTGCACGACCATATCAGATTCATAAGGTAGAGAGAATCAACCGACGAATGATGGATAGAGAGCTTGCTGATATTGGAACATTTCTCTTTAAATTCTAGCTTTTCGTTCGGATCTTGCTCCATTATATCGACGCGGGCGGATTCAATTGACGGGAGATTGTCAAATAGCCTCAAGCAGCCAGAAAAGTCCATTGGGAGATAAAAACGACCATCGGACCAGGTACTATCGTTTTTGTTGATCACATAAACACTGCGGAGGTGGCATAGATATGGCTTGTTTTCGGGACTGGCGTTAGCTTGGCGAAGGAGCTGTGCGAGCGGGAAGTCGATCGTGTGGTTGCAACTCAGGCCAGAGGGATGTGTCAAGGCCATCGACAAAACATTTGGCGATACAACAAGCAGAATTGCGGTCAATGCTTGGGTGATGAATGTCCCGAGACTCTCACGGTGTCTATCCACGCTATTAGATAGTTGCTTGGAGGCCAAAAGCAAATGAGACTCTCACCGATAGCCACCATACGTTGCCGTTTTTTCCATCCTCTGCATGAGCATATTGACCACTTGATCCACTTGGATTCCTGTAAACCCACCCTTTCTGACTGCTTTTTGCACGAGATTTATCTCCTCGTTGCTCAAATCGCGTTGAGATTTGACTTGCTTGTAGTCCATGTGACTGGATGTTGCTGTGCAGCATTCGACATGACGCACGTAATTACCCAAACTCGGTCGTTTGAGGATATCCATAAGCAAGGCGAATGGCTTGTCGATGTCTTCTTCCCCTGAGGAGACACTAATTCGGTGATACTTCTTGCGCGTTGCCATATCGCACAGAGAGTGGAGAGTTCGACATTGTAGTGATAGAGCGGCCACGTCACGGTTGGAAAGAAGACATGAGATGACCCTCTGATGAATCTCGAAGGGCAAACTGAGAAATGACATTATTTCTGCTCGTACACTGCCAATGTGGAAAGGGAGGTTTATTTAAACTACTATTTTTTCTCCCCCGAAAAGGACTAGCCTAGGCATCCACACTGTTGCCTGAAATTAGGCCTTGAAATTTTGAGGCTTTAGTTGGCTACGTATGAGAAACCCTCATGACTGTAATTATAATAAGGTACGGTCTTCTTATTCACATGGGGTTTGCCAAAATAGGTGGACCGAAATGCCGAAGAGTGTTGACTTGTGCCTAACATGAGCTGTTGCTATGTATTCTACACGGATTGCGGTGTAGGCCAATTGCTTTCACTCTTCCGATTAGAGAAGGAAGAAGATATAAGAAGAAGTATAATGAGAAACAAGATAGCAGGTCGTGATGGACCTAAATATCTGTAGTTAATGTCTCCACGGAGACACTTTCCTATCCTGGTGCGCGGGGATGTATATTAAACTCCGTGCCTCCTATCTGTCCAACTTCTCCTGTCTGTCCAACTTAAACCATTTCTAACAACCTCGATTTCAAAAAAGATGACCCAGATATTCCTGTAGGTGAATTTCCGTTTCCTGATAGAGGGTGATCCATGTTTTGCTAACTTGTGGCTCAAACTTCAGGACCGGTGCCACAGGCTACATCGGAGGCGAAGTCCTCCACGTATTGCAGCATGCGCATCCCGATTATAAGGTTGCTGCTTTGATCAGAGATAGTGAAAAGGCCGGCAAGGTTTTGGCTGCATTTCCTAAGGTCCGAGTGGTCCTTGCGGATTTAGACAATGTTAAAATCATTGAAAAAGAATCGCACAAAGCCAATATTGTCATCCGTGAGCTAATTTACATCTGGTAGTATAACTAGCCTATCCCTAACATTTATCCATTTAGATGCTGCTAGTAACAAGCACCTCGAAAGCGTGAAAGCGATCGGAAGGGGCCTGGCGGGACGTCAGAATGGTACACCATCTCCTACTGCAATATCTTCTTCCGATTTTGATCGCTAATTGAAGTAAAACTGCAGTCTATTACATTCAAGTTACTGGAGCTAGTGTTCTGGCAGGTCCAGAGGTTGATAAAAGCTTATATGGCGAGCCCTCGGATCAAATCATTGATGATTTGGATAACGCTGTTGATCTCCGGGACATAATTCGGGCGTACAAAGATCGTCGAGTGGTGGATAACTACATTCTCGATTTGGGATCAGATGGCCCCAAAACTGCGATCGTCTTTCCACCTATCATATTTGGCGCCGGTAAAGGTCCCGTGAATCAACGTAGCATCCAGGTTCCCTCCTTAGCCCGGGCTGCTCTGCTGCAACATGTTGGTCTATATCTTGGCAGAGGACTGAGTCGATGGGGCATTGTTCATATCTCTGAATTGGCTGATCTCTTTGTCAAATTGGTGGAGCATGCTGTCAACGCGACTCCCGGTGCTATCTGGAATGAAAATGGCCTTTTCTTTGCCGAAAAAGGCTTCGAGGTTGGTTCATGACTTCACATGTCACAATTTGTCCCGACTAAATTTCTTTCTATCAGAGCTTCAAAGATATCGCTTTAGTGATTGCCGAAGAGGCCCATAGCCTCGGCTACATTGCTTCACCCGATTCAGTGAAATCCATGAATCTCGATGAGGCCAATGTAGTGATACCCCATGGAAGTGTGTTTCTGGGTACCAACGGTCAAGGCCAAGCTTCACGTGCAAGAAAGCTATTAGGATGGCAACCAGATAGCGAGAGTTTCCACGACGCCGTGCGGGAGGCAATCATTGCTGAAGCAGCACAGCTGTGATCACTTGCAAGGAGCATTCATTGCAACTCATATTGTTCAGCTTAAGTATATTTATCCATTTTATCTCGTTTTATTTATTTAATATTTCTTTGCGTATAATCCAGTGGTTCCAAGTGGTCATAGGGTAATCTTAGGGCTTCCGTGCCCACGGGACTACGTATCTAAGACGGAAATATTGCTTGCATTTAAAAGCTTCGCAAAAATATTAAAATGGCCTATACCATTTCTCTCAAAATATTTATCAGACAACTGATCTGAATTTTGTCAGACATGACAGCGATAATAATGAGTACTTGGAGCTAAGAAAGGATCGGATTAATTGAAAGCAACCAGAAGCCACGACCAGGCTAAAAACTACCATAAACCTTTTCATTCACACTACACATAGTTTAGCTATCTTTACCAAGAAGAAATTGATATTTTAAACAAATAATTCTCTAATTATCAACAGT